TAATTGTAAGGCCATTATTTACACACACAGAGGAAATGTCTACAGATCTTTCCGTTCGCCCGATTATGGCATATGGAGTACAGGACGGATGTAATGGGTCGACACGGGATGCTTACTCTCTAATTGCACCTGATCCTACCACTAATGTTTTTGAAGGTCTGTTTTTGCTCTGTTCCAGTTTTGCATTGTTTAAACAGACTTCTGAGCTTATCTATTCGTTATCCTCATCTTTGGAGGAAATTATCTTAAACACTTTGCAGAATAACATACATTTTTAAGTAGTAAGAAACCTTTGTCTCACTATTTTTGCGCCCGTCTGTAATAACTTAAACTACATTCGGTAAAACAGATATTATGCTAGTAATTATAGAAAAGTCGGTCCTTCCGAGTTAACCGTTATAAAGTATCATTTAAAAGGAGAGGCTGCTTTCAATATCTAATTAACTAAATGTTAATTCTTTCAAGATCACTAAATGTATAATGAATGGTGTTCGAGTGCAACGTAAACCAGTACATATTCTCTAGAAACCTTTGCGCGCGGCTGTGTACCAACGAGTGGCCATTATTTTTTTCTTCCCTACCATTAATCAAAATCCTCAATAATAAGATGTCATAAAGTTGGCCGAACTGTGTCCCTCAATTTCCAGTCTCTGTATTCGAACGGAATTTTATTCTTGATAAATATATTCTCCACGAATTTCGGTATTGATGAAAGAGATAGAAAAAGGCATAAGTTCCATTACATCTGCCCATCACGAATCAGTACTTGCTTTTCGATCTGTGAATGTTTATGATTTGTTTGGATCCAGTTTCAAATTAAACTTGGGTTCAAGGATTGTGAGCGATTTTTTTCCCGGATATTATTGAAATTTGATGACTTAGGCAACACATGCAAAATAAACACGCTATCTTACAAAGACAAAAAAACCAATGTATACATATAATATATATTTATTAAAACTAAGACTTTGGTTCAAAACAAAGTTTCACAAAATTAATTGATAAGACAAATTCAATGAAAAAGAATTGAAAGATCTTAATAGATTCACTGTCTATGTACAACCTCTGGTGTGAGGAGGAATCTGCATTTCATTATCACAAGATATTTAAAAATATCATTGATGTTTTATGGCTTTGGGTGGTAATTATTTCAATTTTTATTATTTTTACAAAGTAATTTGATACTTTTTCCGCTTCTTCAAATTAATTTCTTACGACTCAAATAATTTACAGTGAGTTGGCACCAAAATGTCCTGTAACTGATCATGAGAAAATAGATTAAAAAATGAATTAAAAGATATCAAATTGCTCGTGACAATAAACTGCAAGAATTTGAGCTTCCCAAAGAGTCAAGCTTGCAAGGATTCAGTTGACAAACATCATGTTCGAGACATATTGTTTTGTCTTCCTGCTTTTCCACCTAGGCAAAGGACAGTTTTCCTTATTCATGCGGACATTATTTAATGTTGAAACTCAAAAGAAACTAATAAAATTTGTATTTGAGAGAATATATATGCACACTTGCTATGCCATTTATTTTTTGAAGTATATTTATTGAGTAAGATTGAATCTGATGAGGAAAGAACCGAGTAACGTTCCGTATGGTCAGATTGTCGATTTACTCCCTTACGAGAATTTGTCCTCATAAGTTCCCGACATATGAGACTATCATTCTTTTGTAGAATTGTTAACTTTAAGAAAATGTATTTCCATCATTTTTTGCTGCAAAAAAAATGCATTTAATCTTTTAAAGTAAGCAACTAAACATAGTAACAAGTGACCGCCAATGGTATATTGTTTAGATCTGTCATTTTTTTTTTTGTATGGAAAATTTATTAAGGTTTTTTGTTTTCATTTTTTGGAGCTGATAAGTATTCTATGAAAAGAGGTAAAATATTGCGGAAACATTTTTAAGAAAATCTGCGATAGCCTGGAGCTTGTGGAGAATATGAATTGCAATCAAATGTACGAGAACTTCCATAGAGCTTGGTATAAACTGCACATTGGAGAAAACAAAGTCAACATAAAAGGGAAACATGGAATTCATTATGGTCGAATAGAATTATTCACTCAACGAATCAAATTGAAATCAAAGTGAATTTTCAATAGTATTATTGTTATTCCAAGGAAGAAAGCTCGGTAAATAACATTATATACTTTGTGTGCAATGAACTGAGTTTTCGAAATTGCAACCAAAAGAACTTCATTAACTTTGATTTCCGTCGATCATTCCTGATATACTCACGTAACTTCAAAGTGGCCACAACCTAGGAAGGCAAAAATTACATGATATTCGATAGAAAGAGTGCCCCTGTACAAAGAATGGGGTTGACCGTTCTTTCTCAATTCTAAACCTTGTGTCCTTGGTTTCACTAAAAAAAATTAGTTTACACAAATGAAATATATGGAGATAACGAACAGTATTTCTCCTCAATTCTACACATCATGTCCTTGGTTTCACTAAACAAAATGAGTTTATACATATGAGATATATGGAGATAACGAACAGTATTCAAGCACTAAGCTATAAGGTCCTCATAACCAATAATAAATGGAAGCAAAGCAAACACGTATCTCCAAAAACATCGGAGTTGGGATCAATTGACATGAAGGAGTGAGCATCTCCTGCTGACTTTCGCACACCCTATGTGCTCCTTGTAATGATCAGGAAAAGCAGAAAAATTATGGTGTGTTTTAGTGAGTTTAAAATTAAAAAAAAAGAAAAACGTCGGTCAGCATTTGACTTAATGATAGTTTGTGTTTGCTGACTTGATCCTTGTATCGACAAAAAACTTGCAAAATGATATCTTCAAACGACTCTGTTGATATTCATGTTTCAGCATCATGTTTGTCAAATTACTCGTTTAGATAGTGTTTATACATAGAAAATGCTCTTGCGTATCGCATCAGGTGATAATGCATGTTGCTACATAAAGAACGAAAGTTGACGATTGAAAAGTGGAAATCATCACGTTTATTGTAAAGCTTTGTTGTAAGATACCATTAATGTCTTTTGTAGTACAATAGCCAAATATGAAACACTTGTTTTAGACTCCATGGTATATTTTATCCCAAGCTCACTTGTATATATCGATCGACATATGAATAAAAGCAAATATTGTCCATTAATAAAACGTCGTCGATGTATCGACATGTCTAGTTGAATGCCATAGCAAGTGTTTTTTCTTCTCGTGTAGAAGTTTTGAAATAAATTCTGCTTCATATAAAACATACATAGGTCTACTAAAAACAGGGCGCAATTGGTACCCATTGGAATTCCAACAGATTGTTGGAATACCTAATCTCCAAAAACTTCAAAGACATTGTAAATCGGAAAATCGACAATTTTTATATCAATTTCAGAGTTGTGTGTATAATCAGAATATTTCTGAACAAATAAACTGTGCAAGTGACCAATGACAAGGTAAGTATAATTACGAGTTCCATTTTTACTGGGGAAAAAAGCAGTTGTCTAGCATCTAATTATAGATTGTCCTTGTATCGACCTTAGAACTTAAGAAATGACGACTTTGCACGAGACTGTCGATATCTTTGTTTCATCAACTTGTTTGTCAACAGCTTGCCTGTTTTTAGAAATTCTATATACACATACTTTTTTCTAGATTTTAAACGTGGTTCTACTAATTATGCAGTCTTCAAAACGGGGGGAAAAGAAGAACCATTTCTTGATATTTCTCTTAATATATAAAAATACATATAAAGACATGTGGCTGATAAGACGAAGGAAGAGCAAGAACTTATCTTTAAGTCGTTACACAATAATGTACAAATGGAGTTTGGTTAATTAATACAAAATTAAAATTAGCACTGTTTGGGGGACCTGAAGGGAAAGGGTTTATTTTATAAAGTAAAATGGAGCCTTACATGCATATCCATTCGTTTTCTAGCATCAAAAAAAAACTGTTTTCAAAAAAGGGGCACAGAAATTAATATAGTATTCCTCAAACAATTTAAGCATGCAATGTGCATTCTGTTGTTCCGTAATACTCTCTATAATAGGTGAGAATGATAGTGTGCCCCTATCGAATCAAATGGTTCTGCATATCAAATTTTTATCCTCCGAAGCGGCCCCATAAAAGTCAATTAAGCCCGATTTGCAGCGAGGAGATTATCCTGCTTTGAAGTTCTGTAGGACTTGACTATTCAATGTCTTTCGCCAAGAAATAATTAGTTTTTACGACAGTCTGCCAGAAACACTCCAGTTTTTGAATGAAAGATCTCTATGTGCGCTTTATTCTCGCGAGATTTCGAGGTGGGAAAATAATCATGGTTGATTTCTGCCGTGACAATACGGACGCTGAACATGTCGAAAAAACAACTAACAAATTAGACGCATATTACAGACTCGGATGATAATAGAGGACTGAAGATTCATCTTCAATATCGTTTGCCTATTCATTCAAAAACGTGATAAGAATACGCCGAGAGGAAATCTTCAGATTAACTTCTCTTATACATTGTAAATTGGTCCTATTGTTAACTGAGGAAGAAGTATGTAACTATTAGATAATTAGAAGAGCTTATTTCTATGATTAAGTCTTTCGATATTTGTGCTTTACTGTATATTCAGTCTTTTCTGAACCTTTGCAAAAAGCGAAACGATGCGGCAAATAAATGAGCATACAAGTCCTTCTTGAATTCATACTCGAAAGTCTCGAGTCAGAGTATTCTTGAACGATTTCTAAAATTATTGAAACATTCTGCACTTGTGAAGTATAATGCCCAATGGAGTTGGAAATTAATTTGGTTCCATTTTTTCCGCACAGAAATTTAAAGGTGGTTTATATGACAATGAAATTTCAATTATGACCTTGACCTTCAAAATCCCAAATTTGACCTTCAACATATGAAATTTATCATGTCCACATGCAGATCAAGTGTCACTAGCTGACAGCTAGCATTCTAAAACCACACAATTTTGCTATAAACTACAACCCACAATAATAAAATTAAGATAAAAAACAAAAGAATACTCATTTTTTTCTTTATATTAACCATTCGTTTTCACTCTTCAATATATAACACTGTTTATGGTTTCTATGAGTAATGTAACAATATAACATTGGAAGACATTGACAATTTCAAGACAATGAGAGACACATGTAGCCATGTGAAAGGCACATTTCAAAGACAGTACAACAATCGTTAATACAATGCTGAAAATAAAATTGATAAAAATTGGTAAGTAGTAATCTCTCAGTATATGTTTTTATACCAGTACCATCTTAGATAAAGATTTGTATGTTGAATCATCAACTAAACTCTGTATTGAATATCACAATACAGTAATGCTGGTGCAATTTATATACATAGCATTACAAAGTATTTGTTTATAGGTCCTAAGTAGCTATGCTTTCAAATATATTTTTTTTTTTTATAATAGTTCTAGCTTCTCAAGACATGTATAGGTTAATAATTTCAATGTTTTAGTTCTGTGATGTAAGACTGCATGTTTAGAGTCAGCCCCCCCCCCCCTTTCTCGATATTTAAACCATTCCACCTCAACAAATCCTACTACAACATATCATAGGCACTTGGGGGCTGCCCCTTACATTTTCTTCTTTTTAAATCAGGGGTACCTTTTTTCCCACAAAAAAAAAAATTGGGGAAAAGGAGTGTTAACCACAAAAACAAGGAAAAGGGGTGGGGGGTTCCTACTCCCAAGAGTCAATGCAATATGTATGGTATGCAAAAACCAGACATAAGTGTATCATCTTAAGCCAAATCATAGACACAAAAGGCTCAGAAATGACAACCCGTTCATTATCGGATTATCCTACACCAATTTATGTTCTTGGTAAAGTTTTAAAAAGTAATAAGCTACAGTAAACATTCAATTTTTAAAAATGAGATTGTCTTGCAGAATTGTTTATATTTAATACTGTGTAAACATTACACATTTATATATTCAATATTGAACTGTACATCACAAATAAACGTATGTTGTGGATTTCATTGTTAGGGACGGAGATTAATTTGAGTACTCAGGTATACAATGGCGATTATTCTTTTTAACAAAAGCTAAAACTCTAATGATTAAGAACACAAAATGGTCAATATAGTATTGCAATTTACACAGAAAAAATATTTCTCCTTATACATATAGTGTTAAAAAAAATCTGTCTAGTATAAAGTCTGAGTCATGACAAATATGTTATAAGCCAGAAAGAAATAATTATGCAGATTTCAAAGCTCATTCACCATCATATCTAATGTTAGAGGTGACATAAAAAAAATTACACAGTCAGTATTAAAAAAAAAAAAAAAAAAGCCAGAAATTGTTTCAGTTTTTGATGTGTCAAATACATAAATTCATTGCAATTTTTTTTTCTCCATCAGTAATGCGTTTTCATAATTCAGATTTACTTTATACAACATATACAATTGTGTACATTTCAAGAGATTGTCAAAATTTGACATTTATGAAGCTGGGGATGCCTTTATCGTATGTAGTTCTTCAATTGATCATATGAATCTAGTATGAAAACATGAGGTTTGCCGTTGAGCACAATGCCAGATCATGTAATCAGATCAGAATTCCGACTGACAACTTCATTTACCCTGTCCAGCAGGTATTTTTTATCTCTTCCCTCCTGAAAATGAACAAATTAATTTTTCATTCTGTCAACCATTTTTACAAGTAAATTTTAAACTTGCTTAAAAGTTCTATGAAATAAAACAAGACATTACTTTGTGTCCTAATTTTCCTTCCAATATCAATAGAATTCCTAATGCTAAAGTTTACTTGCACCAATTAATATACACCTATTAACACTGATCATACAAATACTACTCACCATTTTCAGTTGATTTTGTAGAAGTTCCTCAGTCTTTTTATATCCTTGACCTCGTAACCAGTAATAATACATCAACAGTCTAAAATGAAAGAAAAAATATGAATCAAATACAATGCACATTTTTACTCTTTATAAATGACCATTTTTCAGTATTCAAGTTTGACTCTTTTCAACTATACTTGTAACTTTTCATGACTGCAAAATTTCTAATAAAAAAAACAAGACTATGATAAATTTCAAAGTATATGTATTGTACTAGTTAGACTAAGTCTGTGTCTGTGGACAGGCCCTCACCAAAGTCAAAGGGACAATATTATTTTATCCTCAGAACATTCTATCTAATCTATCAATCCTAATTAGTTCAATCTCCTAAAAAGTGATTTTGCAAAGACACTTCACCCTGTTTTTCTCAAAACAAATTATCCAAAATTGCATTTATTTTTTAAGGATGAATGTTATGTTCAGGGCCATTGACCTTGGGGTTAAATGGTAGTTCATTTGTGAAGTATGCTTGACAAATATGAATTCAATAAACATTTCTCCTGGAGTTAAAAAGTTCTTGGGCTTGTTGTCAGACAAACAGATCAATATTGAAATTAAATAAAGAAAAAAACCTACAGTCCCCATACTCCACCCTTCAATCTTACACGAAATTTTACACAAAGAACTAAATGTAACAGAATGTAAAACAAATTAAAACAAAATTAATCTAAGTGAATACATTTCGGTACCTTCTAGAATTAAATAAGAATTCACATGTACTTACACAAGCAAAACAACCACAGGTACAAAGAATCCCACAGTTCCTAGAAATTCGAACACATCTTTGGCCTCTGCAGGCCAGCTAGCGACCGTCTTAGAGATGACATCAAACATTACAGCCTCAGTCTGGTTTGTACTGTACACTCTGAAAGGGCCACAACTCTGGCTAGGGGAAATGCTGCAAGTATATAGATAATGGAAACATTGGTCAAAATTAAAGATAATCAGCTATGAATGATAACAATAACATTGAACAATTTACATTTTAAATGCTTTTTTTTAAATCAAGAGTACCTTCCAATCATATATCCCAGCAGGCCAGCAGATATTATAAAAGACAGGAGCAGCACCAGCATAAACAGAGAGTTAGAACCAGATGTTTTAAATGGACGTTCCTGGGGAACATTTATCTTGAGAACGGCAAACTGAATTCAATACAAGATACTGGTAAAAATGAAATTTTGTTGCAGGATTGAAAGATTATACAATTTAGTTCACACACATTAAAAAAAAAACCTACCTTTTTGACCCAAAAGAAGAGAGCACACTTGAGGAATGTCATAAATGGAATGAGAGGGCTAAAAAACATCCCTAGCCTGCAATGTAAACAACATACTCTTTCCTCAAACTTTTTTATATAAATGAGTATCAAACAAATAAAATTTCTAATCTTAAGTTTTTACATGTTAATTGAATCTGTCAGTTTGAAATTTCTAAGTACATGTCCTATCTTAAATTGTTTGAGCTTGTCACAGTACTTACCAACATATACTCTGGGTGTAAATGATATCTACCACACTCTGTGGTAAATCAAACTCTTGCGGTCCAACCAATTTCACCAATTTATTGGAATTGCCATAGTTCTTGAACAAAAACCTATTGAAATAAAGGGAAAATTATATATATAATATATATAAAGCAATTTTAAAGAATGCAAGTATCTTCAACTTTGAACATCTGACTCTTTTAATTATGTTGGTGATCTTAAGTGTTTAGGATTTTTTTCCACTTCTTGGTTATAAAAAAAAGTGTTGTGTTCAGGGAGGGCATGGATATGATCAAGGGGCAAGTTAACAAAACTTTTGGAATGAAGTTTTTTTTTTCCTGTAGAATAGCTACATGGAAAAGGAAACTGTACCTATCAGAGATATGTAAAATATGCATTGTATTGGTAGCTAAATTAATTTTATCCCTAACTAAATAAATTTAAAATATTTGTTGGTCTATCTATTAACATGCTGATTTATTTCAACTACTATCCCCTTTGTAACTTACCACCTGGGGACCTGCATGAAGAAAATGATTCCAGTTTCTACAATCAAGTCCAGTAAGACCAACTTATACAACTGTTGTCCAAAATAGGTCTCCCAACACTGCACAAGAAAAAAATGGACATACAAGATAACTATAAGATGTTTTATACTTTAAGTAACTGTATTTCGTATTGTATAAAAATTGACCAAAAAAAAATTTCATGTAGTGAATAATTTTTTATTGTACTTGAATTTCAAAAAACTAGGACCTAAAGGTTTTCCTTGATTCATTGACTGCAAATATTGTGATTTTTTTAATACTATGCAATTGAAATGCCTGGTATGTTATGATGTTAAAAAAAATTACTTCCAAATATATTTTTCTTTTATATCTTTCTGATTAAAGGCATTTTATTCAATGCTGTGTTGTAGAACCTTACCATGATCCTCCCACGACTTGAATCTGATTCCCATTGTTTGTTCCCACATTTTCCTGTAACAGAGTTATCCTCTGGCTTCTCTATCAACTCCTTGTATAAAATTGCTATCAAGGCTATGGGGGAGGCTAATCTCAGTAAAATGGCTCTAAAAAATTTAATTTCATGATATAACATTTTTCAAAACATTCATACATGTAGTAGTGAAATGCTAAAATGATAACTGATTTATCTCGATCTCTTGGAATTTTCATTCATTAAAATTACATAAAATAACACAGGTTTAATTTTTTCAAATTAAATGTACTCCTTTTCACTGAAGACTAGCTGCAGAACTGTAGCTGTCTGAAAAAATAGATAGACCAGAGAGCTACAGTGCCGCCCATTGAAAAAACTGCATATTTATTGTGCACAAAAAAGAGCGCTTGGTTCTGGATAAATTCTTTCCAATTCTGACCTCAATTGCAAAAAAGCTAGATTTAAAAATATTCCTTACTCCTCTATCAAGTATTCTCGTAGTTTACATCTGTGCGAAGGGCATTTGATCGAATTATTTTGCAAACGAAAAGTGCAGTAAAAATGTGTGAAATTTTCGATGATATCAATTTCAGGGCCAGGAGGGCTATTAAAACAATTATAAGGTATTTTTTGTTGTGGAAACAGTGAAAGAATATGTAAGGAACACAGTACATAATATTTTGAGATGACAGTTTTAAAAACATAGAGAATGAAAGAAAAAGTGAGCTAGCTCACATACCCCACGCTCCCCCATAACTTGACGGTGAAACACATAATGAAAGGCACAGTGCACTTTAAATACATAGTATAGATCAAAAAGAGCAATAATTGCAAAAAATCTTCAAATCAAAATGTCTTGCATATGAGGACATTTAAATGTGGAATGAAGTTTCTAGATTAATTATGGAATCAGAATTTCTTGACAATATACAAATCCACACATTAATTTGAAGTGGGGGGGGGGGGGGGGGGGAGAAATTTTCTTGAATAATAGGCAAGCATAAGTTGACGAAACAATGTACAACAGTTTAAGAGGAGTGGTGCTAACAAACTGTTCATCTCTATATTCAAAATATGGCCAAAAAGTCTAAGTTGGAAAGTGTGGAAATTCCTGGAAAAATAAAGGAATCAGAATTTCCTGGTAATATGCACATCTACATATTGTGTCCTAAATATCTGCAAAGTTTAACGAAATTCTGTGCAGCGGTTTATGAGGAGTTGCGCTGACAAACTGTTCAGCTCTATATTCAAGGTATGGCCAAATGCCTAAGTTAAAAGTGCAGAAATTCCCGGAAAAAATAACGGAATCAGAATTTCCTGGTAATATGCACATCTACACACTGTGTCCTAAATACCTGCAAAGTTTGACGAAATTCTGTGCAGCGGTTTATGAGGAGTTGCGCTGACAAACTGTTCATCTCTATATTCAAGGTATGGCCAAATGCCTTATTTAAAAGAGTGGAAATTCCCGAAAAAAATAATGGAATCAGAATTTCCTGGTAATAAGCACATTATCACACTGTGTCCTAAATACCTGCAAAGTTTGACGAAATTCTGTGCAGCGGTTTATGAGGAGTTGCGCTGACAAACTGTTCATCTCTATATTCAAGGTATGGCCAAATGCCTAGGTTAAAAACTGCGGAAATTCCCGGAAAAAATAATGGAATAAAAATTTCCTGGTAATATGCACATCTACACATTGTGTTCTAAATACCTGCAAAGTTTGACGAAATTCTGTGCAGCGGTTTATGAGGAGTTGCGCTGACAAACTGTTCATCTCTATATTCAAGGTATGGCCAAATGCCTAAGTTAAAAGTGTGGAAATTCCCGGAAAAAACAATGGAATCAGAATTTCCTGGTAATATGCACATCTACACATTGTGTCCTAAATACCTGCAAAGTTTGACGATTCTGTGCAGCGGTTTATGAGGAGTTGCGCTGACAAAAAAAGAGGACTGACTGACTGACTGACGGACTGACTGACTGACGGACCAGTCAAAAACATTATACCTCCCGCAACTAGTTGCGTGGGGTATCATTAAATCGAGAAATGGCACAGTTTTTTTGTGCGCAATAAATATATAGTTTTTTCAAAGGGTGGCACTGTAGCTCTCCGGTGTGTCAATATTATTTTTTGGAAAGCTACAGTTCTGCAGCTAACTGAGGATATATTTCTTAGGTATATGAGAGAATAAAACTTATGACCTAGCTTAAACATTTTTGTCTGAGTAATGCAAGCCAAAAAAATTACACCAAGAATCATGTCAATAATAATTAAATTATATATTCACCTAGCTAGAGTCAATTTAAATCCAAATTCATATCTGTAGTCCTCAAACTGAACCAGCTTTTGGAAGATGATTGGTAGTACAGCATTGAGCACAGTTATAGTCACAAAGGGGACATACTGAACCACTAATTCCAAAATCTCTGATAGATCTTTCTGATTTTGTAGCTGGAAAAAAATGTTTTCATTGTACACATCATTCTCACAGATAATCAAATCTTTAAATATTTTCCAATGCATTGACATACTTTTTCTAATAAAATACTTTTAAAAATTAAAAGTGATTATGAACAACGCTTATATCAGTTAATTAAAAGTTTCGGGCTTTCGATAAGTAGTGACATGTTTTAAATAACATATACCGTACCTTAATTGTGTCATGCTAAATTGCCAACCAGTGACACACTGAATGCTTGAACCAAAGCATATGTGAGCACATAGTAAGCCACAGCGATACGTCCCCATGATAAATAAATTCAGCTTATGTCCCCTACTTCTAAACTTATATTGAAATTGTCCTAAAAGGTTAATAACCCTCACCTCTATCATCTGTTCAGTGGTAAATGCAATGAGATACAAGGCTCCCCCTAACAGAGCTAGAACCAGAATGTTGATCAGGAATCGCAGTAGGTACAACTTAACTAGTTCTCCTGTAGTTCTATGCTCTCTCTCCCATTCCTTTCTCTGATCACTCAATTCAGCCTATTTACAAAAAAAAAAAAAATGAAAAAATTCAAAGAATTGTGGTCCCCCACTTTCGGTGTCTTTGTGGGTGAGATGTTATTTTTTATGACATATTGTGTGTAATATGAACATCCTGTCATATGTCATTTATTTAGAAAGTAACACTGAAGTTGATTTTTTTTTGAAGGATGAAAACCCTAATCCTGACCGTTAAAAAGTTATGGCCAAAGTAAAAAGTTTTTTAAAAGTAGGTCCAAGGTCAAGATCAAAGGGTCAAATTTTTTGATATCCAATGAAAGATTTTCTCACAAGGATTACATATGTGAAGTATGAAAGCCCTAGGCTTTACTGTTCAAAAGTTATGGCCAAGGTTAAAGTTTTTTCATAAGTACGTAAATCTCCAAGGTCAAGGCCAAAAGGTCAAGGTTGTTGGTATCCAATGAAATGTCTTGCCACAAGAAATACATATGTGAAATATAAAAGTCCTAGTATCCACAGTTAAAAAGTTGTGACCAAGGTTAAAGTTTTTTAAAAGTAGTTAAAACTCTAGGGTCAAGGTCAAAGGGTAAAAGTTATTGGTATCCAATGAAAGGTCTTCTCACAAGGATTACATAAGTGAAGTACGAAAGCCTTAGTCCTCACCGTTCAAAAATTATGGTCAAGGTTTAAGTTTTTTTTATAAGTACGTAAATCTCTAAGGTCAAGGTCAAAAGTTCAAGGTTGTTGTTATCCAATGAAAGGTTTTGCCACAAACAATATGAAAGTCCTAGTGGATACCATTCAAAAGTTATGGCCAAAGTAAAAGTTTGGAATTTTTGTGTAAAAGTGGGTCAAACTCCAAGGTCAAGGTCAAAAGGTCAAATTTGGTGGTACCCAAAGAAAGGTCTTGTCACAAGGAATACACATGTGAAATATGAAAGTCATAGCTCCACTAAATCAAAAGTTATGGGCAAGGTTATAGTTTTTATGACAGACAGAGTGACAGAACGGAAGACGAATGAGATTTAATGTCCCCTCGCTTTCGCGAAAGCGGGGGACAAAAATACGTTTTTGGCGGGGTGGGGACCTGTGGGGTGGGGGGTTACTTTAAATTTTTTTCCTCATTTAGTTCAGAAAACTTCTATTTGTTACTTAAAATACACAAATATATCTAAAATTTAGATGAAATAAAATCTCTGAAATTATATCTTAACTTGCTTAAAGGGACCGACATATGTCCAAAAAGTCTTTGTGTAAAATTTTAAAAGAAATGTTGCTACAATATGTACTGTGATGTCAAATAACACTGTTCTGATGTAAAACAACATACCGTAGGTACCCATTAAAAGAAATAGCCGAGTTTAAATTTTCAAGCAATTTTATTGTTGTTGTTGTTGTTGTTGAACAAATGTCATTTTTCATGATTTTTGTCATCTAAAAATGCAAAATACCTTTAAATCTGTAAAGATGTTTTTCCTTTTCACTTTGGCTGCCTTTTTATTGTTGATGCAGAAATCCCATCCGGAAAAAGTTTTGTTGCAGTAAAGAGCTACTGTCTCTTGTGTACCCACAGACACTTTTACATTCTTAGCAGCACTGTATAGAAGTACAATGTGTCATTAGAGACCTCAACCATTCAATAACCAGTACAAGTAATTCAAGAGAAGAAACTAATTAATGCCAAGAGACAGATGACTATTTTTCATTCTATTGTTAAAATACATTATTGGAGTTTTATCTAGGTCAATTTTATTTAATCCAACTTTTAAACATCTCATGAGGCAAAGAAAAGAGAAATTCTACAGTAGCTCTCTGATCAAGAGAAACTATCTAGAATTTCACTTTTATTTCAACTTTCTTATTTCCAACTTAAGTTATTTGCACAGCATTTTTTACCTTTTGAGTCTTTTAACTTTAGCACTTAGGTGGTACTGTTGATCTTAACTTTATACATGGTATTTCCAGGTATAGTATAAATCAGTACTTACTTTTTAACAATTAAGAAAAAGGAAATCAAAAAACATCCTCCAAATGCCAACATATAGGCCAGTCCCATGTGGTAGGTGTAGACCTCATTGTCACTGGTCGTGTAAGTTTTATTGTAATAAACTCCATAAAATAAGACTCTTCTCTCCATCCAGCCCTAGTGGGGAAAAAATATCTCATCAACAAGATGTGAAAATAGTTAGTGGCTAAGAATTTATTGCCCAACTCTTGAATTCGTCATATTTAATTTTGAACCACATATAAAATTTTCTTCTTATTTTTTGCCACACTGCACAGAATGAATTTATTTTGTGTGTGTGTTTGTAATTTTATAACCTAGTATACCTTTTGAAGTTTGACAAGAATAAATTCTGTGTTTCAAAACTTATTCTTAAGTCCTGCATACATATTTTAGAGTATTTTGTTTTCATTTACTTTAATAATGATACTTGTATTTAAAAGAAAAATTGAAGTTTAATATATAATCATATATGCATGGCAGAAAAACAGACATCAAAATGAACTTACAGTGCCTTGTAGAAAATCCAGCACTTGTTGTCCCAAAGATTCGTTGTCCATCAGAATTTTGTGGTAGACTTCATATTCAGTTGTACAATTAATGGCCTCCATATATCCAGATACATTAGCATCAGAAAGGGATGAATTAAAATTATATGGACCCAGAGCCAGATAGGGCACAGTTATAACACAAAACATTATAATCATGATGTAGATATTCAAAAACATCAGCCATTTTATGAATCGGAAATAGGTCATCACAGCTGTTCCATACTGACCTACAAAAACGAAATCTGTTTTTAATACAGCTATTTTAACCATTGAATCTGGAAAACAAGAGGCCCATGGGCCACATCGCTCACCTGAGCACTAAGGGAAGGAAAAAGTAGAAAATGGCTTTTTATTGTAAAGTTTAAATCCAAAAGTAGTCCCATGACCAATCATGGATTTGCTATTTTTTAGAAAATGATTTTTAAAGAATTTTCCTATATGTATCTTTAAAAACTTTGGTCGGCCATTTTGGCCCCGCCCTACCCCGGGGGGTCATAATTTGAACAAATTTGAATCTACACTACTTGAGCATGCTTCCATATGAATATGATGAATTATGGCTTTGTCATTCTTGAGAAGAAGATGTTTAAAGAATTTTCCTATATATTTCTATGTAAAACTTTGGTCGGCCATTTTGGCCCCGCCCTACCCCCGGGGGTCATGATTTGAACAAACTTGAAACTACACTACCTGAGCATGCTTCCATATAAATATGATAAATTATGGCTTTGTCATTCTTGAGAAGAAGATTTTTAAAGAATTTTCCTATATATTTCTATGTAAAAGTTTGGTCGGCCATTTTGGCCCTGCCCTACCCCCGGGGGTCATGATTTGAACAAACTTGAATCTACAATACCTGAGCATGCTTCCATATAAATATGATGATTTATGGCTTTGTCATTCTTGGGAAGAAGATTTTTAAAGAATTTTCCTATATATTTCTATGTAAAACTTTGGTCGGCCATTTTGGCCCCGCCCTACCCCGAGGGGTCATGATTTGCACAAACTTGAATCTACACTACCTGAGCATGCTTCCATATAAATATGATGAATTATGGCTTTGTCATTCTTGAGAAGAAGATTTTTAAAGAATTTTCTATATATTTTCTATGTAAAACTTTGAGGGCGTGGCCCTTCATTTGCCCCTTGAATCCCCATCACCCAAGGATGCTTTGGGGTTTGGTCATGATTCTTGAAAAAGTTGAAAATGTGAAAAGTTTACAGACAGACAGCATGCTCCCATATAAATATGATGAATTATGGCCTTGTCATTCTCTTAAAGAACATCTACACAACACTTATTCAATTTTAAGATTCATTTATTACCAGCATAATGCAAAGGTAGCTAAATTTTCTGTAATATGGTAAGAATGATTGCACTTAGTGTAGTAAACGTGGCCCCCGGTAAATTGCGCCCCTAATGAAAATAATGAAACAATTCTTCAAGGTCTAGATCGCAACTTTGCAAAATTACAGAGATTAAAAGTGAGTAATATTGAAGAACGAGACAGTGTTTTGTAAGAGGGGTCAATGCAATACCTGAGCATTGTTATTCATTATAAATTTCTAGATGAATTATGGCTTTGTCAAATTTCTCAAAAGGTGTAGAACTTTTGAAATTTTTTTAAGGGAGAATTTTCCTATATATTTTTGAAAAAAGGTAAAAACGCCGACAGTTTTCTTCACTGTTTACGGGTATTTACATGTCATTGACCTCATTGTGACCTGTTTAATATTCCAATTTTTCACGTGATTTGTAGACTCAGGTAACATTGTGAATACAAAACAAATCGATAAACCACGTGGTTGTAAATTCCGTCGAAAGGCGTACAACTTAGACCGTTACATGTACATTTTTAATCAATCAACATAGAATTATTTCTTTTTTGTCAAGTGTTTTAATAGGGTGCTGGAATATTAAATTGGAAAAAAAAATGTAACTATATTTTATTTTTAGTCCTCGGATTTAATTTTCAACGAGTTAAAGATTTAGCTCCCATCTTCGAAGTAGCATCATTCCTCAAAGTGTTTTTGATTGTAAAAATATAAGGACACGGTGTAAAATATGCACCTTCATTTACCCCCCCCCCCCCCCCAAAAAAAAAAGAATCGCACATACAATTAATAAAATTGTTTTAGTGATAAAATATCACCACATGCAGCATCACAAGGAAAAAAATGCTTATTTGTGGCAAGTTTGAAGTACGAATAAAGAGAGAGAGAGAGAGAGATAGAGAGAGAGAGAGATGTTTAAGATTGCAATACGGCACTAACCTTTTAAAAAATGTAGAAGTTTTTCTGAAATATGATTTTCACCGTTTTCATATACAATTTATTTAATTTAGTGTGAAAAGTTTACAACATGGGGGATCTGGATTTATAGGGATCATATGTACATCTCAAAGAACCTCCCCCAGAACCATCTTTCGTAAAAAAAAATAAAATGTCGTAATCCTTGAAAAATTCTTTGTGTTTTTTTTTTCTGTATACAGTTTGTATTTTGCATTAAATTCTAAAAGCCATTATAACATGCTAAATATTACATGCTTTGTTTCAATCGATCGATGAAATGCCCCGCCTACACTGAATATTAATGTGACACAATTAAAACCCAACTCGGACAAGCGCAACATTCCGGAATTAACACGAAGTATATGGCTTTTTAAATTACCATTTATAAAACTAAGACGCCGTTTTCATGTGAATTTTTGCAAGTAATATACCACAAAATGCAACAAAGTATGAGTTAGGTGTAAAATAATTAACATTTGAGTTAATTAGAAAAAGTTGGATGGGTCCGAAAAAGGGGCCACGGCACTATGCTTAAGTGGAAACATTCTTTATTAGCCAATCAGTTGTATAGGGTAATACATAAAGTAATTAATTAAGTGCCCCTCTGTTGAGAACATTGACCTACTAACCTTCCACCTCCTTCAAAGTTCCAGCCCAAATTGTAAATCTATCTAAAAATGCTTTCTTTTTCAGTTTGAATTTATGCCATTCCTGAAAAAGTGACAAATGAACATAAAAATACTTTTGTAGAAAAAACTGTCTTTTTCCAATTTTCAAACAATTTTCTGGATACACTTTAATGATAAAATGTGCAAATATTTGGATTACCAGGTAATAAGCTTAGGAGGAAGATTTTATGATGATTAACATCTACATTTTTTCTTAAATGATATAATATCAATCAATCAATACAAATTCCATAATCAAGGAAGAAAATATAAAAAAAATATGCAGATCAATCTTGAATGCTAATCATTTATATCATAAATCCTGATTTCCTTGTTAACTTGATAATTAATGTATTACCTTGGATTCAGCTCCTGATGCTATATTATTCATTCGAGTAAGAGTTGACTCCCTTTAAAATGAAAATTTACACATCACAAGCTTAAAGATCCAGTCATTTTTATTTAATGACAGTAATATCAATAATGTTCTCCCATTCATATACAAAAAAATAAAAAAAAACTTCCAATTCAGTTTTGCTTTATAAATATATTCCTTAAAATAACTTTTTCTGATGGAGTCTAGTTGAGAACATAATCCTGTCAAGACACAGACAAACAGACTGATAATGATAAGGAGCCAGATTCAAGTTACAGTTGAAAAACTGTTCAACAAAAATAAAGTGTCCTGTTTAAAAAAACATTTTAAATATGAAAGAGGTTTAAGACTTTAAATTATTTTCAGTGACAGCAACAGCTTGGTTAGGAAAAAATGAATGAGAGATCTAGCCTTGTTCACAAAATATAAAATAAAGGAGGTGAAGGAAATACAGAGGACCCTGGTGGTATTGGCTACACTGTACCTGACTATGGTTGCCACGTCCCCCGCAGTTAAGGTTCCTTTGTTCTTAAGTTCATTGTATTTTTCTGCCAGTGTCTTTGGTCTGGGATGGGACTTCTTTTCTTCTTCTAGCTCCATTCTTCTTTCCTTAAGTCATATAAAATTCTTAATGCTCATTCACATATATAAATTATTATTGCAGTTCATTTTCATGTCCAGTGCCAGCTAGGAATCAATTTCATGGCTGAATCAGTGATTCTCAATAGGACCAGCTTATTAAATCAGTGAAGTCAAATTGACCAGATAATTAGAGCAGCAATCCAAAAATATTACTAAATAGCTACAATCAAAATGAAATCAATTATATATTCTTTTTCTAAACAGCAAATGATATCTAACAAATTTTCACAACAGGAAAATTCAAATTACATATCCTAACAGTGCATTTTTTTCCCTCTAAGATAAACACAGAATGATGTTCATGTATGCTTTAAATAACAATATGCTGAATGACTTACTTTGATTGACTTTGTGCGATTTCTCTGGATGGCTTTCTGACTGGGCAATGTTTTGCCGTCATCGTCGTCATCATCATAATCTGGTTCCCCAATTCCCGATTTCCTGCTGGACTTTCTACGATGACGTATTAACGTTCCCTTCCCATCCGTACTGTTGATGTGTGGGAATACTTCCGACAATTCTACTGCTGGTCTACCACTAATGTTGTTATTCTCCATGTCATTTCTACAAATGGAAATCATTTTTTTATTCTTTATATAATCAACAAAGGATCTTAAGCATAGATATTGTATGTAATGTTTCTATACATTTTGATAAGTAAATGTTTGATCTTATGTATGAACAACTAAACTAACAACTAAAGTTTTAGCATAACAACCAAAGATGATTAAACACTTTAATGAGAGACAACAATTGATCACCTGAGTCTAAAATTTTAGACTGTAGGACTGTAGGAAAATAAAACTTGCATGGGCATGCAGTCTATCCCTTTTTTGTGGCTCTGTTTTGATAAGTATGACTGTGACATTATAATTTTTCAAAAAACATTAAAGATGGCAAAATACACCCTTACCTGTTATAATCTACATTATCAGTCTGGTACATTCTTCCACCATCTCTAAGTCTATCTCCTTGTGGCCCAAACTGGTCACTTCTAGGTCCATCTCTCCCTCTGTAATACCCATCACTTTGATCTCTAGAAGGACCAGGAACATTCCCCCTCCTGCCTCCTTCAGGGAAATCCCTCCCATCATAATCCATGGGGGGTTCGTCCCTCATATCAAGTGGAGGACCTGACTGGTACTGTCTGTATCTATCCCTTCTGGGGGAATTCTCCCTCCTTGAGGGCTGGTAACCCTCATCTATGTCCAGTGGAGGCATGGACTGATATTGCATCCTGTCCCCCCTTGGACCTGCCCTAGGCTGGTACCCCCTTCCATCCTCCATTCCTGGATACCAGGCATCAGACATTTCCACCAGCTGAGATTTGAATTTTATTTGTCTCTCTTCCCTGAGTTTATCTTCTGTTAATTCACTGGCATCATTCTGTGGACTGGCAGATGAAGATTTTTTGACACTGTCCTTCTTTAAACTTTCCACATCCACTGAAGGATAATCACTGATTAAATCTAAAGGTTGTGACTGATACTTTTTATCCCTTTCCTTCCGAAGTTTATGGATGTCTACAGGGGGAACATCAGACTTAGGACGATGGCTTATAATTTCAGAATCTGAGGCAACTGAGACATCATCTCCAATATGTCTCCTTCTCTTTGCAAGCTTGCGTTCTGAAAATTAAAATGAGACATTTAATATTAAACAAAACAATTCACATGTATATATATGGTAAACATGTACATGCATTGTGATCACAGATATTGACACAAGAAACATACAAGTATTTATAAATTAAATTATAAATATCCCAATATTGGTAGTTATGAAAAGATTTTTTTCCTGAAAAGGATTTAAGGATTTCAAATTCTTAAATTAAACATTTAAAAAAATCTGTTTAAGTTATAAATGCATGAATTTTGAAATAATATGTCACAATTCTTCAGAATTTTTATAGTTCACTACAAATTGCACAATGTCTTTCCCTATGATGACCTTACTGGGATAGGCAAAATTCATTTGAAGAGTGATCATACACGTGAATTACTGTCACGTCTGTATACTTTTAGCATGAAATGTGACAACTTGGGTATTCACATGTAAATTTTACTATATAAAAGTATTGTATCTACAAATTCATAATATCTATATATAATTTTTCACGAAAGTTTGGATGATTGCTTCATTAACTGTATATTACTTACGATACATATTACTGTTTTAATTCTTCAAATAGCGTCTGACTAATCTCAGCTGTTATAGGTGACCAGCTGATATATATACCTTTCGCGGCCATATACTGGGGGAAATATACAGGAAACACAGAGAAAATCTACAACTGTCAGCTTGCCGTGACATTCCTACCTTCCGCTGACATCAGCGGTATTCTTTCTTCAGGATACACAGTGCACAAATCCTCACATCCCTTCTCACCACTTCCACTTATGTTATTAGTAGCCATCTTTTGTTTACATTTTTTTCAAGGGCAAGAGAGATAACTCTAGCTTTACTTTTGGACAGTGTTTTGGTTTTTTTTTTTTTTTTTTTTTTAAATATTTTTTCACGTATATCATTAAATTAAAATATCTCTATTTTTATTTATTTGTATTTTGACAGAAATTATTATTTATTTGAAAATTAATGCAACATTTTATTCTCTGCTAAAGGGGGGGGGGGGGGTATCTGTACACACTTTCACAAATTACTTTGCCTTCACTCAGCAGTGGCTGAGCAGGATTCTTCTATTCTAATTCCCCCTTTTTATTTGTCAAAATAGACAATATCTTCCTAAAACCATGTGTAATTTTAAAGCATAAATTGTATTAAATGAGTTTTTTTTTTATTTCATTGATGAACAATATAGTTGTGTTAATTACCAAGTACATATCATCCTTTGAGCATTAACATTACATTAATTTTGGGAAAAAATACATGTATTATTAGAACATTCAAACATTTACCATTATGAATTTTTTTAAACTCAAATCTTGCTCATTTAATGATGCATGACTAGAAACACTTAATTCTGAACCAGGAAGCTATTATTCATGCTACATTTTTTTTTTAATTATAGAGTTTCATTATTCAGCCAACTTAAAAATACAATATATCACTACAGACTGTACATTGAAAATGTTTTCTAAAATTGTTCTATGATAAGGTTTTTTCTCCAATTAAATTGGCACAGATTGTCATACCTTTGCACAAACTGCATAATACTAACAATATATCATGAATATGGCTTTATGGATTTTGTAGCATGTATATATTTTATTACACAGACTGCAAAAATTAAGATTAACAATTAAAGAATATCCTTGTAGTCCTGACTTATGAAATGGATATGTTATTTATGTAAAAGTGTGATTTCTACAAGACAGACAGATGGACAAAATGATGTTTTTGAGTTGTTATTTTGAGTTCCATCAGTGTATAAGAATATTGTTAGGCAACATGTAAAGCTTATCAAACTAAAAGCTCAAGAAATTTTGCTTTGTAGATGAAAATTTATCAGTCTGATTAAAATCAAACCTTCAAAATGACCATTAAATTAAAATACTTGAGAAGCAAGAAGAAAGTTTTCATGATTTTAACCTGATGCAGACTGTAAAAGTATTGCATGCATTTATCAGTATACAACATATGTTTGTAGATACTTTCCTAAAGTCATATTGAATCATATTGTCCATATACAAGTACTGCCTTATTAAATATTTAACTTTTTGAAATATGTGCCTGTTTTCTATGAGATAAAAATTTATGTTTAATCTCTTTAAGCATTATATTTACTAAATATGTTTTTTATCACTTAAGTTTCAAGTGTTTTTCAATGTGCTGACAACTTACCCGCATATATGCAGACCCAAAACCCTGTATCTAAATTTCTGTGATGTACATGTACTGATGTGTAAGACTGTCAGTAAGGTTCCATGAGGAAGATATATAAAGTCAAATTTCCAGAATTCAATTTCGAAATTTGATTTCAGCAGCCACGACAGAAATGACATTAAACACAAAAAATAAACTGTCATGCAAAACTTCCTGCTACTAGCTAGTTACTCAGCTATAAGAACTTCAAAGAAAATAATAAAATAAGATTGGGAAAACCATTTTAGCTTTTTACCTTAAAAAATCGACTTCATGTTCACAACAATTCCAATTGTAACACCTAGCTCCATTGTTGGTCCAAATTACAATGGATTTACCCCAGTCAATAACACAGTGCTCGGCCCTATATATCCCTTGGGTATAATTATCAGGACAATGAACTTGTTTTTACAGTAAATCAATAGGAATGAAAGAAAAAACTTCCTTTAAATGATAAAAATGACAAAAACTATAGTACAAAAACAGGTAATGTTTTATAATATTGAAACCAAAGAACTTGGCAGTGCTTATAGCTTCAGCTATAATACATATTCCTTTACTTTTGAAGGATTACAAAATCTATTCAAACCTGAATCTCATATTACAGAATGTTGATACTTTTATGAATGATAATATGTCATGTGATAATTCTTTATCTGAATGCTTTAAAAGGAATCAGAATGAAAATTCAGTCCAGAGAGAGAGAGAAATAAGCTATGAGAAATCAATGGACTTCCTAACAGATGACGCAAAGTGTAATTTATAGAATATCATGTCATACAAAAATAAATTTTCATAATGGAGTTCAAATGTAGTTAATATTCAGAAAGGCACCCAACAAATTATTCAATAACTTATGAAAAATACTCCATAGATTACCATAATTCTGATAAATGAGCAATTACAGCCAGGTTTTCCTCAATTTCTCATAAAAAGAAACGTATGACCTCAGGTATATCAAAGGGGCAATAAAGTTTGTCAATATTGGGCATATAAACATGTAAATAGTCAAACATTCTTCTCATATCAGTGATTTTATTGAATGTAAGAAATATTAACAACCTTTAACCACTTTAGCCAAATATCTTCATGCATCAATACATATATCTCTTTCAGAGGTAAAACTTACCTGTAGTTTCATTTCAACACCACCAAACATCTAGGGGTACATTACATTGCACAATTATAATATAATCACTAATACTTAAAACTCCACATGGACTGCTGTAAACTATCAAAGATTTATAGCTTTTCGAAATTCACCTGCCGTAAAGGGGTGTTTCCTTTAAATCGGAGGTAAATCGTGGACCACTGCAGCCTTCATTGATTTTCCGTTCATATTTAAATTTGATAGCCTAGACCGCGTTTATTGTCCCAGAAAAGGGGTGCCTGAAGGAGTTATTTTTTTAACTCTGTTTACATCTTATATTTACAAAAAGGATTAACAGCGTATACTATTATTCAGTAGAAATGCTGAGTAATTCATGTTTTTTCTCTATTAATAACTTAGTAAAGTAGTTTTTCTAATTTACATTAATTGTCTTTCAAGTTCGTTATACCTTACTGTGACAGCTGGTGTGTGCATTGAAAAACACAGATACGTGATGTATGACAATTGCTTTGAATTATATATACAGTATTTTTTAAATTTTTTAGTTGCACTGTTTAATAAAAAAAGAATACACTAAAGGCATATAGCTTTCAGATATTTACATCATACATACGTGAGCTATTTGAATGATGAATGAGAATGATTAATTATCATGCAGTAAAGTATACACACCTTTGACAATTGTTTTTAAAATTTATTGCAGTTTATCTTGCAACATGTCACAACAGTGAATAAGTTAAATCCTCATTCTGTCATTTCATTCATTTTTTTTTTAAAGATTTACAAACTTTGTATCAAATGAATTATTAAACTACCATATACAATGCATTCTGCATAAAGGGGAATCACTCTAACTATTGCTACTTTTATAATTTTAAACATATATCATAAAGCTACTTTTAATATATAATAAGTAAGTCTTACTTTGCATGAATTGATAATTATATTTTAAATACATGCATGCAAGCTATCTTCATTTTTAAGTTCATTTGGGTTTTTTTTAACTTATGATTATAGCAAAGTTTTTTTATACAGCTAGTTTACTTTTCTATCACTAAGTCACCACTCCAAAAACATCCGTGCTCATACTATTGACTCTGGCAAGGAGATATTGTTTGTCTTTGCCCTCCTAAAATAAAATTTGCATGGTATATACATTATATTCTCTAAAGATTTATAAATGTTTGATTATATGTTTTATAAATATCATACATCATCGGCACAATATGTTTTATTTCCATTACAGAAATCTTCAGAAATAAAGGCGCATTTAGTCATCTGACTGGGACAGCATGACGTTGCAAATAATACAAAACATACAAATCTAAATCCAATTTTAAAAGTTAAATGTATTTGTCATTCCGATTAAAGAATAGATAAACTGATAGACATATGTAAGAGAGCGAAAACCCTAAATTCATCATACATTAATAAAAATATGACATTTTCGAGGCATGTGCATTGTATTTAGATAATAAATAGATATATATGGTAAACAATAGATAAAACTTGATATCGTTGTCGTTTCTACTATTGATGCATATAAAGTCCACAACAAGAAAATAATTCATTTGATTTTTGTTAGGTTTTGTTCACCGACATCTAACATATTGTTTACATGTTTATGTTATGTTTGTCCCAGATATCTCACGATATATGTGCATTTTGTGACTTTTTACAAAAGAATGCACTAAGAACTTTAACTCTTCCTTAAAGGAAATAGGACGTATTGTCTTAAATATTGATACTCACCATTATAAGCTGCTCTCTTAATAACTTGGCCTTTCTTTTGTAACCAATGGATTGCATACAGTAAAAATACATTACAAAACTGAAAATAATAAAATAACCATAGTAAAGATTTGTAATAAACTGATGGCATTAAACTGCAGATGAAAAATGTTCAATAGAAATAATACAATGATGTATCATGTCTTTTTCACCTGAAATTACATTAATTGAAAGTTTTTTTTTTAAAGAGTTATCTTAAAAGATACCAGAAAATAAACAATATGAAAATTAATCAAGATCAAAAGGAACTGTGATCCTGAAGGAATATGAAAACATTTTACTGGAGAGTGTTATTGTTAAAAAAAATCATTAAATTGTATATATACTAAGAAGAAAAACTGTTAAATTGTTATGGTAGACTTACCATACAATAACTATAGCTGGAATGAAGAAGGCCATAGTGCCTACATAGTGAAAGGATACCCTGGCCTCATAGGGGAATGTAGAAATCAGATTACGGATTGTATCAAAAAACACAAAGTTAGATACACTATACACTCGGAAAGGCCCACAACTCTGGGATGGAGAAATCCTGTAACAAAAGATGTAAGAAACTAAAAATGAATATCCTTAACTGCAGAGCATAACTGGCAATATTATCCCCTTGCAACAGAGTTTGCGGGTACATAATAACGCAATCACGTGTGTTTGTTTGTGGGTGAGACATAATTTGCATAGGGATTAATGTACTAATGAGTGGTTCTCCATATAATTAACAGGTATGAACAACATTTAATTTATATACATGTAAATTGATCTATCACTTAGACTTTCATCGATGTAAAACAAAAGTCCTCTTACATTCCTATCAGGTATGACATAGGTCCAGTAGAAATGATGAAGGAGATGAAGAGAATCGCGATGAATAAGGAGGTGGACTTGGAGGTTCTGAAGGGGCGTACCGGCTGGATACAGTTGTTCAGGACGGTTCCCTACGAGTACAGAAGAATGGAAGTTACAACACTTTACACAGAAATTAAAACATAATTAAACATTTCAATTGCTGCTGTGAGATGGGGGAGGATTATTTAAAACCCTGAGGTACTATATCTATGAAATACTTTTTTTTAAATGAAATACAGTGAAATAGCACAAACCTTTTTAACATAAAAGAAGATGAAGCACTTGACAAATACCATCATTGGAATTAAAGGGCAGAAAAACAGTCCCATCCTGCAGAAGATAGGACATCATATACAGTAAAACTTGTTTAGTACGAACATGGATATTGCGAATTAACGAATTATAGCAAAGTTATCTTGGATCCCCAGCTATATTAATTTTAACAAATTCCTTACATGGTTATAACGAATTACGGATACAGTGAAGTAATTTCACAGGTCCCAGTGACTTTGTTATAACTGTACTATCAATGTAATACATCTGATACACTTCATCCTTTAACACTGGTCTTAATTTGTTTTTTTTTTAATCAAAGTTACATATTAAACATACCAGCACAGTGTCTGTGTGTATACAAGGTCCAGTACAGCCTTAGGAAGATCAAATTCTTGCTGTCCAATCATATTTACCACCTTATTTTCCTGAAACCTTTGGTACACCAGCCTTAATGAAATATATAAAAGAAAAACAATATAAGTTGCTGTTACTTTGACAAAACATATTTGAAGTTACATCTAATACAAATGAAATTCTTATATTTTGCAGTGTATTCTATTTAGCATCTTTCACGGAAAGCACTTTATATGTTGATTCAAATACATCGCTAAACGTTAATATATATGTTCATGTAAAGAACATTCAAAAAGCGCTACACTGTATTACAAAAAATCTGCTACTTGTTCTTAATTCAATTTCCGTCAAATATTAAATAATACCAACATGTCAATTAAAGTACATTTACAGTACCTTCTGGGATACTCCACAATAAAAGTCAGTATGAAAGGAACAAGGAAATCCAAGAGAATAAGTTTGTATATCTGCTGTCCCACATAGGTCTCCCAGCACTACAACAATAATGAGAGTCTTGTATTCATAGAAAATGAAGCGGATCATAAAAACAGACAGACAGTCGGAAATAAGAAAACCTATGATTCCACAGGGTGGTTTCACTGCAAGGGACTAAAAAAAGACATGCTTATGACCAGGGTAAGTAATGTATATGTAATTTACCTTAATTGGTACTTTTTCTCCACTTTCAGATTCATTCGAAGAATTCTTTTTATGAATTATAAATTCCCAATGCCGATTTCCACATTCACTCTTATACTCCTCATTATTTTCCACCACAATTTGATACAAAGAGCCCAACAATACTAACAGAGAGGCTAGTCTCAGAATCACAGTTCTAAAAGGTCAAAAACAAAAAGTATGGTTTATATACTTTATGTCTTGTCATCACTGGCAAATACTTTTATACCGTATAAGTAGAATTTTTAGCGAGGATTTAATTTTGGCATTATTAGTGAGGGTTCTGAGATCGCTAAAATTTCATATCACTAAAATCAAATTGCGTTCTATTTGTAATAACTTCTTTAGTGAACATTTTAAAATTGCTAAATTTGCATCTTGCTAAAAATAAACACCAATTTTTAAGGAAAAATCGCTAAATTTGCGTCTTGCTAAAATTTCCACTTATACGGTATTATAAAGTACCGGTACAATATAGATCAGTTGAATTATGTACAATCGAGTTTTCTGTCTGGAAATATTTACCTGAGAAGGGTGATTTGCATCTCAAAGTATGGCAGGTAGTCTTCAAATGGCACTAACTTATTGAAGATGATAGGTACAATGACATTGAGAAGTGTGATAGTCACTGAAGGCAGGAACTCGATCATGGTTTGTAAAATGGGAGATTCACGCTCAACCCGTTTCTTCAGCTTAAACAAGAAAATATACCAAATTATAACACCCCTCCCTCTGCTGTTATTAGGAGGAGTAATAAAAAAAACATTTGGTAAGCTTTCTTTGGTCATCTATTTAGGTTCTGATTTGGAAATTTTGTACAATGTATATAAATAAGTACACATGTGTAAGTGTATAATATGAAGGATACTTGTTGTGTTATTCCTCTGAATTTATAAAATGAAATGATAAAATAAAATAAAATGCTGAAAAAAATTTCATTTTCATTAACGTTTTCATTGAACACAGTTTAAATCAAGTTCAAATATCACTGTTAAATATTTTCTATTAAAATGTGTTAATACCTCTGTGAGTTGGCCATTGCAATACCAAATAAGATACAAAGAACCAATCAGAAAGCCTAGCACCAATATGTTCACTACGACCCTTACAGTGTACAGCTTAGCCCGCTCACGCTTAGTTCGGCTCTCCTTCTTCCACAGCAATTTTTGATTTTCTAGGTCCCCCTAAATATACATGTATAGACAAAAAAGTCCAATCTGTTAAATGTATCAAATACTATACAAAATTTTAACAATTGCAAGAACTTAATTTGTGTAATTACACAAGAATGTCTTATGAAAATTTTAATCTCAGGTATACATGTACTTGTATTATAAAAGATAATATAAAAAATTCATGGAAATTTCATCCCATTTCTGTATACAGAGAAAGTTTCACCCAATTTTATTTTCACCCCTTTCGCCCTACCCTCATTTGGGTGAATTTAAACGGGGCAAATTCAAAGAATACATTATAATTTCTTAAACAAAACTATGGTTGGGCGAATTTAAAATGGAGCAAAATTGTTTGCAAGTGTGAAAGGGTGAAAATAATCTTGTATACTGTATTACTATCTTGAAAAAAGGGGTGTACTGCAAAAAGTTAATCTAAGTACATGTATTTTAACAGTTAACAATGACACTAAATGTCTGCAAAAAGTATCAGTATTTGTCTCAATTTTTACAGATGTGTGTTATAATTCTTTTTACATAGAACATTATAATTTTTGTACCCTAAGTTCCAGTAACAGATTCTTATGTTTTTGGTTGGCTGCCTTATTATCTGATATACAGAAGTCCCATCCTCCAAACACCTTGTTACAGAACTGTATGACCTGACCACCTCCCTCATCCATTACAGTAGACTTCACTCCTTTGGCTGAACTAAAAAAAAGAGAGAAACAAGTACAAGTTGATGTATAGTAAATGCAGTGCTTCTTCCAATTTCAAAATAGATACCCACTACTATCAAGTCCAAAGTCATCCTGTCTATTATAGTTGATTTTTCTTCCAATATTTACCCTATTCTTGTAGGATACTAACTTCCACATAAATTTCAGCATTTCCAGCCCAGTGCAACCTCACAATGTCAGTGGCCCTGAGTCAACAGGTCCAATGGTGTTGACTAGGACCTCTGATGTTGTGAAGATGAGCCCAGTGGTTCTTGAGAAGATTTTTTAAAAAAATTTCCTATATATTTCAATGTAAAAATTGAATTCCCTGTTGTGGCCCCACCCTAATTCCGGGGGTCATGATTTGAAAATTTTAGAATCTACATTAGCACCCTAGAATGTTTCCCACAAAAGTTTCAGCTTTTCTGGCCCAGTGGTTCTTGAGAATTTTTTTATTTATGACTCCACCCTGTTTTTGTCTTTCCTCGATTATCTCCCCTTGTAAAGGGGATTAGGCCTCTCAATTTAATAATTTAAAATTCCCTTTACCTACGGATTCTTTGTACCAATTTTGGTTAAATTGAACTAGTGGTTCTTGAAAAGAAGTTGAAAACGTTAAAAGTTGACAGATGGATGGATGGACAACAGAAAATGGGTGATCAGAAAAGCTCATATGAGCTTTCAGCTCAGTTGAGCTTAAAAAAGTGTTAAAAGCATACAAACAAAGGTGTGAGTGCTGCAGCTAAGCAAAATGTATAAAATCAGCAAAGACTGAGAGATAATGACTTACTTTTTGACAATAAGGAAGAAGCTGACCAGAAATGCTACACCAGTGGCCAACAGATAAGACAGACTCATGTTGTATGTCTTCTCTCCATCTGAAAAGGCATAATGGTAAGTCTTGTTGAAGTACTTTCCATAGAACATCACTGTATCTTCCATCCAGCCCTGAAATGGAGGGTAGGGAAAATTTTGGTTCACAGTGTGCATGTTAGTTCAAAAAAGGAAAATTTAACACAAGAGAGGCTTAAAACTGCTCCTCTATATGTACAGTCATGTAACAATCATATCAAACTTGAAATGCATTATAATTTGTAGCTTTTTTCAGAAGGTAATCATATTTCTCCCCTACATAGCTCTTTAACTTTGAGACACAATTCAATATCTAATGGTTCAAAAGAAATGCACAGAATTGTGTCTGCAAAAGTCTAGTCAATACTGAAGCTTTATCATTTTAGATTAACAAAATATTTGACTTACTGTTCCTTGCAGTACGTCCAGGAACTTGTTAACGCCTCCCTCTGAGGAGACAATATTACCGAGGTACTCCTTGTACTTTTCTGTACAGTTAACAGCCTCCTCATGGAACCCTGATGAGTTGGTGATGTTTACGGGGACAGTCTCATGGAAATGGGAGGGGTGATTCAGTCGCAGTAGATGAGGCAATGTGGTCAGACACAAAATGATGACCATCATGTAAAAATTCAGAAACAACAGCCATCTCATGAATTTGAAGTAAGTCATTACTGATGTCCCAAAATGACCTACAGAGATTGAAGCAAACATCTTATCCACACAAGAACAACATATACAAAATCTGATATGAATATTGTCACATAATTAAGTAATCAGTCTTGGTTATGATATGTAATTTTCAAATGGTCTTTCTTCTGGATATTGTTCTGATTTTCAATTATTGCTAATTTTCACTTTTTTATTTTGTCACACTCTAAATCAAGGATTTACAAATCTTTGTGTTGATTTTCTTCTTCAGCAGAGCCAACTCATCAGAGTTATCATCCTTTACAATTGAAATTTTCTAGAGTTATCCCTCTTTCCCCATTCATTTTAAATTCTTGTAAAGAGCTTTTACTTACCTTCTATTTCTTTAAATGCCCCAGACCACAATTCTAATTGGTAGAGTACATTTTTGGTTTGTTGTTTAAAATTCTCCCATGCCTTCGTATGCAATAAATATAAAAACTTGTAATGAAATAGTGTGAAAGATATATATACATGTATGTAGTTTTTGATCAATTATTACATTAAGAATAAGCACTTTTGTCCATTTATATGTAAATTCATTTAAATCTATTACAAGTCTTATACCTATCTGAAGAAATATAATAGCCTCTTAACTTACCTTTATTCTACGGTACTTTAACAAGCCATGAGTGCTTTGTACAGGTTCTTGCAAAATCAGGTCTCTAAAACAAAAAATAACCAAGTAAAGTTAGCTTGTAAATCACACAGACACACTTGAATTCAGTATAAAATTCAAATACAACTTTCAGATGTACAAAAAATTAAAGTCTTTTTTTTTCAAGTCAGAAGGCTGATAAAATAAAAATCATAAGTAAAATTGTTGTATCAAGTTTGTTGGCTCAGGTGAGCTAAATACTTTGACTCTGATTTTGTTTTTTTTTTTTAAACTAAAAATAGAAACTATCTTATCAAAAAAAAACTCATTGCATAAAATCAAATGCCCTATGTATATTCTTTTAATTTTGTACCTCTCTAAATGAATCAGTAAACAAAATGATTAGAATTTTTTTTGGGGGGGGAGGGTGAAATTTATAGGAAAAAAAACACACTTTTCCTGTGCATCTCTCTATTTTTAGCAGAGGATCTAGAAAGAAAAATCTGCTCAGAATTTACTGTTTGAAGTCTGTAGATTGGTAAACATATGCCTGCAGAATTTTTCCGTCACCTTTTTTTTTGGAATATCAAAAGCGCTGCTCAAAACCATGCAGATAACAAAAATACACTCTGTAGACTGGATATTTGGCACTTTAAACTTTATATATTGACTTAAAATCCTTGGACAAGGAAGTAAAATTCTGATACCAATATTGATCAATTTCAATTTATCTACACTGAAAAAAAAATCTTCACCAAGCAATACATGCATTTGCCTATCTAAACATTTTTTTTATAATTATATATCACTGCAGCTTTGCATATATCACATATTTTGGTCACTCAACAATGCAAAAAAATAACCTTAAAATCTTATACATAAACCTTCTGAAGATTTTTTTTTCATTTCAGCAAGACACAAACAGACAAATTCAAATATACCCAGTAAAATAATTAAAAAGTAATATATACATGTATTTTTAAAATATAATCAGTGAATTAATGGCAATCAAAATTTAACCCGAAACATCATCTCTAAAATCATTTTCTTGTTCTAAACCCTATACCTGTAAATCTCAGTGTATTCTCCTATATTACTGGCTTGCCCTAGAAGCTCCGATTTTCTATTTTTCAAAGGTTTGATCCTTCTGTCATTGCTTGGCAATGTACGGGCATAAGCCGACTTCCGAGAGGCTCTCTTTCTGACAACAGCTTTCAGGCTGCTGGACTCCGAGGCTGTCTCACTCTGTCGGTCAGCATTGTCCACACCCTCAGTTTTCCTCTTTCTGACCACTAAAGTTTGTTTTCCGTCCCAGTCCTTCTGTGTGTGATCAAGATCAATCCTGGTGTTAAAAGTTTCTCCATCACTGTCACTGCTCTGTGGTATTTCATGATGTCTTCTCCTGAGACCAGCATCCGTGTGATCGTAGTATCTTGGATTAACATGTTCATATTCTTCCCTCTCTCTTCCAAATCCCCCTGGTTCTCTACTAACTTCCATTGGAGTTGCCTTTGTTTGGAAAATCTCTTCATTGTCATCACTGTATGCATCATTTTCAGTTCCTCTGTATAACCTTTCTTCATAATGTCTTGGTGTGTTAAACTGCTGTGACCTTGGTGAATAATCTTGAGACATTGAGGAGTCAAAATCTCTATTCCTCTGTGAATCATAGTCTCTGCTCCTTGGAGAATTAAAGTCTCTATTCCTTGGTGATTCAAAGTCTCTTTTTCTTGGTGAATCAAAGTCTCTACTCCTTGGTGAATCAAAGTCTCTATTCCTTGCAGAATCAAAGTCTCTAGGTAATTCAAAGTCTCCATTCCTAGATGCATCAAAATCTCTATTCCTAGAAGACTGGAAGTCTCTATATCCTATTGAGTCAGAATCTCTATATTTTGTAGAGTTAGAGTCTCTATTTCTTGGCAAATTAAAGTCTCCATTCTTCGAGGAATTAAAGTCCCTATTTCTCAAGTCAAAATCTCTATTCCTCTGTGACTCAATACCTCTAAATAAATCTGGATCTTGATAGTCTGGTGAATCAAAATCATCTCTAGCATCCAGGTAAGAATTCCTCTGGAACTGATAATCCGTACCCCTTCCATCAAAGTCCTCTTCAAAACCTGGATTGTAATACGCATTATTTGGCTGACCATGGTACTGGTCAAACTCTCTCTTCTCCCATTGATGTGCCATTTTTTATTTTAGAAAATAAAGTGATTGGGGACTGCACTTAAAAAGCTCTAGGCTGACTGGGTACACAGTTTGTGACAGGGCCTAGTCCCCCTGCACAATGCTATTGATAAGACATTCAATACTGATAAGACAAATGATCGAACTCTTACATTCTTCTTGTGTCACAAAAAGCATGTGTACAGGAATGGACAAAAAAAAACTCTTAAGAAGTACAAAGTTTGAAGTGTTACAAGGTAAAAACAGAAGCAGAAGCACTAGGTTACAGTACACAGTTGGACAGAGTGCTCTGTATTATTTATCATTATGCAAAGAAAACTGATAAGATAAATATAGATACACAAAAAGTTACAATATCGAAACTACATATACTACATACATAATGACATATGAATATATATAATAAATATATATAATATATAATAAATATACCTGCTTAAAATTTATTCATGTTCTCTCTCTTAATCAATCATTAAAAAAATCAAAATATTTTTTTCCCCGGGGGGGGGGGGGGGGGGGGGGGTCCTCAAATCTGAAATTCATTTTAAATTATAAAATTTATAAACTTTATAGAATAAAAAAGATTATTTTCACATCATATGAAATAAGATTACACACAATTTTGAACCCCTTCCCTTTTTTCCATGAGAGGAAAATTAAGTTATATGTCTTTTAAAAAAAAAGAATAAAAAGCAAAAAAAAAAAAAAAGAGGTTTGCATCTAACACAAGTCTTCTATATAACTTTAATCAATTTGAGGCTTGTGTAAATAACAGCACTAACAAGGTGTCAATAATGATTTATTTTAATACTTGACATTGACATTCAATGCCTAAAATAAGAATTTTACTTCCTGTTCATTATCAGTCCAAAAGCCAAGGGTTTCCCCTAGATCAATGCTATCAATATTTAGAAGCTCGATCAGCATGACATTTACCCTGACTATGAATAAACTGAATTTCAGTTTGTTAAACCAGTAAAATTCAAATAAAATTTAATATGTTTTGTAGTGTTATTATAGGTTTTCTACATTAATTTTTAAAGTGCTTATGATTCTTCCTTTCTCCTTGTGCATTATTTGTACTGGTCATTATTTAAGGACATTTCACACATTGCACACTGAAGAGCTCCAATGCATGTTACATGTACACCAGTCTGACTAAAGCAAGCCCCTACTATTTCACTTTGTTGTACAAATGAAGTAAAATAGTAAGGGCTGCCTTTTTTATCAGACTACATGTACACGTACATAGATGCTGTTAAAGTGATCTGCCCCTTAGCATACAGAAAAATGTACTTGTACTTGTAATCTAATCTCAGGTACATTTACATATTTAACCTGTCAAAATATAAACATTAACTATCTATCTATAGAACCTTAAATCAAAGAGTGCAAAAAAAAGAGTTGTCTTTCTTTTTCAAACTATATAACTTTACAATATTCCTCTCCTAATGGAAAATTGCAATAAACTCAAAAATCCTGAATCTAAAGATCTTTCAAAGGATGCCCCTAATTTTTTTTTTATTTTTCATCTTGTCCAAAACTCATATTTAATTAGTATAAAATTGATAATTCTAGGCTTCTTAAGTGTAGAATGCAAGAAATAATTACCAACAGAAATTGACTGCAAGTATAGCTATTGAATCAGAAAAATGGAGTTCATTGACCTACGTTATGTTTTCATACCAATGGGTATATAGGGCTAAGGATACATCAACTGACAAGATTTGATGATTCTTTCATTAAGAATCTATAAATTCTGCCATTTAATCATCAAGACCAAACTTCTGTGAGGTTTTGGATAATATATCTGCACTCTTTGAAACTTGGGCATTTAAGCTATAGATCTCTTTTTTAATCTTTATATCCTGCATTTTTCAAGCTTTTAAGTGTGATATTTTGTGCATGTGAGGCCATCAAAAGTGGATTTTCATAGCATGACGTGTACAGTGCAAAATGAATCCACTTCATCCATATTTTAATATTATTTAGAGAACGAAATGGGTTCTGTATCGTAGACAGATTTGAGGGTGATTGAGTTTTCTAAATGACTTGTGACACAATAGCAGTGGGCATAATAGCATTTATATGACACTTCTCAAAAACTATCACCTGTATTTGCGTTTGGTCTGGATATTGGCCACCATACTCTTGATGCTCTGTCTTCTCTCCCATTGGTCCAATTTCCCTTCAGAAGTACCCCCTGTCATGCTCATCAACCTGGACATTCGTCTGGTTGCCATGATTCTCTCATCATCTTCTTCCTCATCCTCTTCATCACACAGTACCTAGATATTTTCTTTTAATTCACATCTTTATTTATATAATAGTGTTGCATTATGCATGTACTATGCCTAAATAGTAGGCAGGGTTTGACACATGGTGCACGAGCCGGAGGCGAGTGCACTATGTGTCAAACCCTGCCTACTATTTAGGCATAGTTCATGCATAATGCAACACTATTGTTATTATTATGCTGACTGTTGTTATTATTTATGCGGCAATCCATTTGATTTTTTCCTGAAAATAATGATGGTAACACAGCGCACTTGCAAAAACTTCAAAATCTTCATGCTAAAATTAGTTGCATGCTTATTTATTTTGGTTACTAGTATTTTCTCTAAATAAGTCAGAATTTTCTGTCCCAAAGATACTCATCTTTATTTTCTGTTTTGTTAGTAAGACTGATTTGTTTACAGACGTGGATTCTCATTGATAATTTTCTTTTACATCCTTCAATCAAGCGCTATATAAAGAAGCGTTTTAATGACCCCATGATATCAATTCATCTAACGATCTGTATGTAATTAGTTTGAAACTTTGTTGTATACATTTATCTAAGATTCCTTAGAATAAATATAACCGTTTTCAAATAATATTTGTCTATTTTCTCCTTCTTGTGTCAATTGTATAAATTAAGTTTATATATTTAATAAAATTCTCCCAATCAGTGATCGTCTCTTTGGCGTAATCGATAAGGCATCGGACTGGCAACCCCATGGTCGTGAGTTCGATTCCCGGTGTGAGCATAGATGAATTTTATTCAAAAGATAAAGCCGTACACTATTTCGGCATAGTATGCTTACGCTATATAAATCCTTAGACCACTATGCGAGAATAGTAGGGTATGGGTTATATAGAGACAAACTGACAGGAAGCATAATAAAATGATATATTTGATCTATACAGTCAGACCTTATTATCCAATAAGCAGATCTATAGGTCTTCCAAATCAATTCAACATATCCATCAGTTTTTTTCACCTGTTAAGCATGTTTGCCTACTGTGAGTATTGTATGAAATTAGGCCTATTTTATCCCTGATCTTAAATAGCCCAATCCTTCCTCCACTCCTACCGCCATGAGGCTGATGAGCCATGTTCTGCATTGAAATATGCAAACCAAAATGTTTCATTCAAAATATTGTATTACCTATACGATTTTTTACTAAATACTTTCCTACCGATGGTGATGCCGAGTGCCTCCGGTATAACAGTTCCGACTTTCTTCTCGCCGTGCATGACAAACGTCGTTCTAGGGTGAGGCCAGCTTCAGAATGCAGCGCTTTTCTGCTGGGAAGCTGGGCCAAAATGGCTGCTTGACTGGTCCTTCGGAAACGCAGATCATTCTGTTCTACTTCTATAACTTCTGTTGCAGTAAAATTAAAGAAGAAACCTTTCTCAAGATCTTTACACAAATGAACGTGATGAAGATCTAATTTTAAGATATTAGGCTTACAGTGCTTGTTAACATGTTTGATGCTGGGTCGTGATTGCACTTAAAAATTTTCCAACTATGGTAAAATATTATCTTATACAGACATACCCTCTCCCTTTCGCAGAAAAGTTGGAAAATTCTTTGTTTGTCCTGTATGATCCATACTGTGGTTTGATTTATGCATGGAATATGACGTCACGCTGTATTATGATGCTGTGACGAAAGCGCTGCACATGTAAGCAAAGGCGGATCCAGTGTGGTTTGTTGTGACGAAAGCGCTGCACATTTAAGTAAAGGCGGATCCAATAAATAGAAGACAAAAATCTAAAATAGAAAAATTATGGCAGCAAATTAAATCCCTTAATTATTAGAACTTGACCTCGGTGTAAATTCTTGAAAAATAAATAACAATATTCTGTTTTAAAAATCTAGCATAAAATTGCATTTCAAATGAAAAAGTTAAAATAATGATTGAGCAGTGATCCATCGAAACAAAATATATAAACAAAACAATTTTGTAAAGAGGACATAAAACGCGAACCCCTAGTAATATCAGAGGTGAGATCAGGTGCCCTATGAGAAGTAAGTTCAACTGTGTGCCAGTTATATTCAGCGTGAGCCCTATGTTCATGTTTTGGTCAGGAAAAACTCGACATTCCCTAGTGAAAGAGAGTATTAAATGGAATAACAACCCAATGATATTTGCTTACAAGGTCATTATAAGGACCATTTTATAGTCAAAATATGTTGACTTTAACCGAAGTTGTTAAAATTCTTGTAACACCAACTTATCTGTCAGTAGCCCCTCTTATTATCGTGCCCGGAGCTCGGTTTTTGAGTATCGAATAAGTCTGAAGATGTAAAAAAAAAAATTTATAAATGTGCAGATTGGTGTAAAGCTGATAGCAGGATATCACCACATAAATGCATGTACATGTACAGTGTACATAAGGAAAAATGATGATTGAAAAGTTGAAATCATCTTGTTTGTCATCCAAGTTAGTTGTTTGTTAGTCCTTATCGTCTATAGCCAGTAAAACATCGATTAAATATTCATTTTACAGATTTGGCAGACTTTGTAGTGTCTTTTATTTCAAGTTGAAAGGTATATATTGAATCGACATAATATGAATGAAATTACATTTAACTATTTTGTTAATAAATAATTACATCTTCGATATATCTAATTGTCGACCTGAAGACCAAGGCAAATATTTTCTTCTTATGTAAAGATTTTTGAATAATTTCTGCTTCATATGAATAAAAACAGGTGAGCTTATAAAGGGGCATAATTAGGTCCATCGAGATTCCAACGTTACATTTTGTTGAAAGACTTGGTCTCCGAAGACTGTCGTCATTTAGGAACTCTAGCATCCTTTGAGTTTCTATATCGACACTATAAAAGAGATATAACAAAACTTTGAAATTAATGCAACAAAGTTTTTTTCATGGGACCAAGATATGCAAGGAGCGTCCAATTAACACAAATAATGGGTGATGTCGTAAGTTATATGAACATATCATTAATTCCAATTTAATATTTCTCGCAATATATAATATTTACATTCAGTGTAATTTTCCTTATGAAATCCATTAGAAATCCACGACGTTCAAATTTCTATAACACACGCGAAACCTTGTCACCGCGCGTTAGAATACACAGTAGGAACTACATGCATTTTCAATACTCTAGGAACACCAAAATTTAAAATGTTTTATTTCAATTTAATGAAAAACTATAACCCTGAAAAATTAACGTAATGTGCATTAAGAATTAATTTGTCAATGTTTTTCCTCGCAATGTTTGTTTGCGTTATTTAACTTTGCAACTTCATTTAACGTCATTTGACGTCACAAACGGCTCTTACATCTATTAACCACGGCAGTTTTGAAAGGCGCTAAATTCACACATAAGATTAACGAAATAAGCAATTATGAAAAAGGAAAATTAGAGAATGTAAATATAAGCATTGAATTCATATTTTTGGATGTCTTCGGTCCTATAACACACCTGGCCGTGCCGACAAATTATCATACCGCGCTAACGCGCGCTATTCAATTTGTCGGCACGGCCAGGTGTGTTATAGGACCGAAGACATCCAAAAATATGAATTCAATGCTTAAATATGCGCTTCAGTTGAAAGAACTTATTCTTTGAATATGCAAATTCAAAGAATTAATTGTGGTCCCTGCTTTTAGTGTCGTTGTGGGTGAGATGTCATTATTTATGGCATGTCATTCAAAAGTAAGGCTTCATTGAAGTTGATATTTTGAAGGTCAAGGTCAAATGGTCAGAAATCAGAGAATGCTCGAAAATATCTTAAGCTTGTCACAGGTAATGCACATGTTAAATCTAAAAACCCTACCTCTTCTCAATCAGAATTTATAAGGAAAAAATAACATTTTTGAAAAGTAGGTCAAACATCAAGGTTCAAGGCCATGGGGTAAAAAGTTGTAGTGTATTTAGAAAGGTCTTGTCACAGGAATAATGGGAAATGTGAAAGCCCTCTCTCTTAAAAAGTTATGAAGTTATGATTTTTGACCACGTGACCTTGACCTTAAAGTTTGACCTACTTTTCAAAAACCTTGTTCATAACTTTTGAATGAGAAGAAATAGGACTTTTACATTTCACATGTATGTTACATTATGCATGTACCTGTGACAAGACCTTACTAGTATACACTATGATTTTACCCCGTGACCTTGAACGATGAAGCTTGAACTAGAAATTTTCGGAAATGTTATTTTCATAATTATAACTATAGATTGATAAGAAAAAGGACTTTCATATTTGCATCTACATTACCAGTGACAAGTTATTTCCGAGCATGTTATGGTTTTCTGTCCACTTGATCTTCATGCTTGAACTATAATTTAAAAAATATTAGCTTTGGTGATAACTCTTGAATGACATATGATAGGGCGTTCATATTTTACACAATACATGTATGCCATAAATACTGACATCACAGCCACAAAGACATCGGAAGCGGGTAGCCACAATTCTTTGAATTTAATTGCTTGTATGCTCTTTTACATGTTTATCTTAAGACCGCGGAACATTAACTGGCAAAATTAAAAAGATACAGCTTACGTCATTTCTATCTGTTACAATCAAAACATTCAGTGATAGACAATGAAATGGGCGGGTACAATTCGACGCGGACGTGGGGAAAACATCGGATTGAAACTGCAGATTGAAATTCATTTTCAATCCACCTGAGCTGTTTTCAAAGCAAAGAGTGAATGTATGATTCAAAAATCAACTAATTTCAAATCCCAAATACATATTGTTTGAAATTCACATTAACATGAGTTTTAGCTTATAGTTTTAAGAACGCGAAAGATCACAGAAGACAAAGATTATTTTTCAGGAGATATTTGATTCCAGAGGGAGGGGGGGGTAAAAAAATTGTCGAGTCAGGTCATGGCTTAACGTGACAATATATTTTATTTCTAGGATTATAAGAGTGCGTGAGTTTTATACTTATTCTCACTGAAAATTGTTGGACAACTTTATTTAAAAATCGTTCAGCCCCCCCCCCCCCCCTCCAACAACACAAAGATATACATATATTTACCAAACAGAAATGAAATATTTGTCCCTTAAATATTAATTCATTTAAAACACTGGACAAAAGAAATTCAAACTGTACCAAAACTGAAATCATTTGTATTCTGGATCAATCAGTAATAATGTGCTTTCTAGCGTAGCTGAGGTGGATTGAAAAGGAATTTCGATCTGCAATTTCAATCCGATGTTTTCCAAACGTCCGCGTCGAATTGTACCCGCCCATTTCATTGTCTATCACTGAATGTTTTGATTGTAACAGATAGAAATGACGTGAGCTGTATATTTCCAATTTTGCCAGTTAATGTTCCGCGGTCTTAAATAAAAGTTTCACTTACCTTAGTGAGGTTTGGCCTTAAAAACCAATATTATTGTTATAAACGTGCAAATGAACAGATGAATGTGTCAAATTCGCATGCGACACCCTATATCAATTAATTATTCAAAGAATTCAGCATCAACTACTAATTAATCCAATGTAAATCTTGTCCTGATTCAATAGTATATGGTACATATGTGTTCCTATAGATTTAAGCAATTTGGTTTCTATCACGTCACTAGAACATATGGCAAAAAAAAAAATTATGTTGAGTTTATTTTGATTGTGTTACAAATGTAAGTGCTGCATCTATGAATGAATAACGGCATGTACATAGTTACGGTGTGATATGTTTATAAATTATACAAGTGCACATTTATTTTGAACCAATTAACCAACTCTAAAAAAAATACAAACTTTTATTTTAAAGCTGAGGTACATTGCATCCTAAAGTATAAGTATAGCTCAATTTGACTTTTGTAGGTGATCATCGCAAATACTTTTTTATTTTATCAGTCTTCTTTCCATGAATTGGATTAGCTGCAGATCTGTAGCTCACTGGTCTGGGGGTAAAATAGGATGGACGACTACAGTCTTTCAGTATTTTCGGAGAGCCACAATTTTTCAGCTATACTATATTGGATTATGACAAACTTGTGAGCACATTTTCCCCAGCTTGCCATCTGCCACTGAGCGATAAGATCAATCAAGTAATAAGCCACAGAATACTTTGATCACCTTGTTGCTCAAAAATCTCGGCGAGTGTTTGGACAGCATATGTTTTACTTATAACCCTAAACCAATATATACATACACACCCCTTCCCAACTACTTGCTGAATGGCAAATAGCAGGTCCCGAACCTGGCAAAGCATTCCCCCCATTAGACATTGTGTAACCCTCCTCAATCTTACCACGGAAATCTAGGTAACTGATAATTAGGAATGGCGTGTGCCTAAAGTAATTGGCTTCAGTTGTGAAGGGACTAGCAGAAGCCGGGACAGTGGCGCGCGGACAAAGTCAGGTCTGTAAGTGTTTGATACTTATAACGACATCCCTTTTTTAGTTGCTTTTTTATCCCTTTAAGTTTTGCAAGAAAAAATGTCCAGAAAATTAAGATAAATAAATGTTTAGGACCTTAGAAGACACCATTTTGATACCATTTTTGCAATTTGTTTTGTGCAAATATGTTTTCTATGAATGGATTCCATTTGATAAATACTTTTCAGCAAGTTATATTTCCAGCAAGTTAATTAACGAATAATCAGTAAAAATATCACTGACATTGTAAAGCTCGTTAAATATTGAATGTTGTATTATGAAAAACTTGCTTCTAGTTTATTAAATAATGTTCAGTACAATTTAACACCAAACCATGCATTCTACTTTAGTTTAAAAATTGTAATTGTACAATGTAAAATTGCAAATTGTGCATCTATTTTAATGGTTAAGCAACCATTCATTTTTCCGTGAAACCTGTTCTCTTAAAGATCGCTTATCTTTTGCATAACAGAGAGTAAAGGGTAAGGCCCTCGTGTGTGCCGTTTGATGTGAATTATCACTTTTTGACACGTGCTATATCAGGTACAACATCTCAGTATCCGTTATATTGTTACAGAAGAGAGCATTATGTTCTGCGTAATAAACATCAGTGTTGCATGTAATCCAACACATACACACAATTTCTCCCATCTTCTTGGCAAACATATACGTAGGTACTGTTGATTTTGCGGATAGGTGTATTTACAACTTTTCCTTGCATTCGATTGGCATAAGTCACATTCCAAGATCCATCTTGCCGCCTCGGTTTCGGTTTGAAGGTGAAAACCGATCTGATGATAAATAAAAACTTATATTTTTACAGGATGGCAACTTGAAATCGACTAGGTTAAAGCGATGCTGGTCCGGCTTTTTAGGGACTCGTTCGAAACCCCTTGGGGTTTTCGACTTCAAGGAGGCCGAGATTTAAATCAAGAGCTCGTGGTACAGAGGGTGAGTATAGCAGACGACTTATCCTTATATAGGTATGCACGTGCAGCAATAGCGCACTGATTTCCAGTGATGAAGAGTGACTGACAGAATCCGTCTGGTGTAATTGTCAATTAACAGTTTTCTGATAGGGAAATATATCTCGGCTATTACAGTTTCTCTAGCAAGACCTCCCGTTCCTATTCGTCTTCCTAGTTTATAGAGGTAAGTTAATTTTTACTTTCATATTGCGTTGAGAGGGGGCAACGTTCGGCGCAAGACTTCAGCGCACCTTAAAACTTAATTGATATGCAGTAGGCGAAACTTGATACGCTAATACACAATGGTTGATATAGTGGACAACTAATTATTAGTTACACGTGTCATTATCATTTGGGTTAATTAGAAGTTGATGTTCTCTTGTATTACATGGGAGATTTTTTTTGGTGTTCGATGCCAGATCACTTTGTTTTTCTTTGATGTGCTGATTTCAGAAGCAAGAGAAGTGTTTTTGTAAATATTTTACCTGAAGGCAAATCATTATGTCTTGAACCTGCGTTCTGGCTCTTCTTAAAAAAAATCAGAAAGATTAACTTCAATTGGTGATGCTCTTCGATATCGTCTAGCTAACATTCCTTTGAAATTTTGCAGAATTTCTCAATAACACGGCTTAGCAAAAATATTGTTTAAAAAGAACTCTCAATTAGAATTGTATTTTTGCAGCAAACACCTTATCGTTGCATGATTAATGGCATTAAATTATTTTTTCTTCAATTGTTTAATTGAAAATTTTTATGATTTACCTAGAACCTTTGCGTCATATTAAGAAGTTCGATGGTCTTTTGACTTTATTCCAAACTAAAATAATAATCTCATAAACGATTACCGAAATTGAAAATTTATCTGAAATTCAACTTTATTCTCACAAAATTCTTACATACGTCTTTTCAAAGACTATAAATTCAAAGCTTCTTTAAAAATGCTTTAACTTTGGATTCTTTTCCCTCTCTCGAGAAAAAAAAAAATTCCTTAGAACCGTTCTTCGCCTCCCGCTGTCTGTATTATTAATGCTGCAGTTACTCCTGCACATTCCAGTATAGATCTATCAGACTGTTTCATCTTTTGATAGAAAAGGATTACGACCTAGTACCATTATCAAAAAATGTTCCTCTCCTAACGAAAAAAAAGATAATGAAAAGATGCTGACTGACTGCAGCGATTTAAATTTGATAGTAAATGTTCCTGCAGGATTAAGGATATTTCATGTAACACACATCACGTCTGGATGCTTTAAATACGCATCTTCAAACAAGAACCTTATCTTAATTATTGTTTCTTTTTCAACATTCTTTTTTTTTTACTAACTAAAAAAGTCACTATGACTCAGGCGAAAGGTATTTTATCTTCTTGCATCAATCAGCCTGAAATGAAAATTAAAACATTTTTTTCTTCTTTCTTTGTACAGAGAGAGAGAAGGGAGGAATTGATTGATATTTTTGTCAGTTTAATGATGTCTTTCAGCAGAAACTTTATCAAGTTCAAAATGTGTTTAATTTTTGATCTAATAAATTGTTTCAAGCTAATCAAAAGTTTAACATGAAGATGTTACACAAAGTGACTCTTAAATGTTAACCACACAGTCCAAAAACCATGGTTCGAATCTCTCTGACGACTAATTTTGCACTGGTCATGTTTTCCAGTATGTATCATTAATATTCAACCTGTATCCCGATCTCATTACATATGCATTTTATAACAAAACGATCATTATAGCAATATCTAAACTTCAGAAGAACTATAGCGTGACGTATGAAATAGTAAAACCAAAATTGAACAACTAGCATAAATGCCCCCAACCCTTTGTGAGTTAAACTATTGCCCTGTGGCTCGGAATGTAAATTTCGCACATTGGAGTGTACAGTATTGACCTTGCAGTATGACATTATGCACTCCAATAATACAACCTGCAAAACCAACATTCCACTAAGTAGATCAACAGATGGTTCTTATGCCCAAGCACCCTGCAGGAAATTACTAAATTCCTATACCCCGGACCTTTGTCTTTCAACCAACATATTACCGGCCTTGATCGCAGGTTCCACTGTTTACAAGACGCATATTGGATACATTCACATGAGCTGAGACGATTCTGGCACCACCGTTGGTAGTGTACCTGTCAGCTGCAATTTACATTTTGCCCATTTCTCTGTCTTTATCAAGCTTTTATTTTGCTTATTGTCAGTGTTCTGGGGAACCCATTTTCTTTTCTTATTACTGTCCTTCCAGAATATTTTATTTTTGTCTCCAAGATTTATAGATATGACCTCCACCACAATTCGGATTTTACCTCGAAGGGCGGGGTCTGAGCCGTTGGACATTACGGTAGGGGGTAGTGTTACGTTGGCTTTATTGAATTTTTTTTCATTGCTTTTACGGAGTCAATTTTCTCCATTTATTTTCAAAATAATTATTTTGCACATCTTTTATTGTTAAAATCTTTACACCAGGCAAAAGGGATGCTGAAGAATATACAATGTAGATCATTGGACCACAAAAAAGTTAAATTTGTCAAAATTTAATGGCATCAAGGTCATAGGTCATTCACCGGCCTTCAAAGGATGAAGGTCATGTTGTTGTTGGAAGTAAACCAGCAGTTGAAGAACCAGCCAACGATCTTTATAACCTCCCACTAAATTGAATCATGTTATTACATGTGTACTTTTCTATATACGTAAAAGTATATTCATGTAGAAATTAGCAATGACTTTTCATGTTAGTAAGATAGAAGTTTGTACAATGTCTTAAAAAAAAGAATTTGATTTTGTTTCAAGAAATTGCTAAAATTTACATTTTCATGGCCTAATATCAATAAAAACAAAATAATTGATCAAAACACTGTTTCTCTGTTTGAAGAGAAAACACTGTACATGATATAATTTCTTACATAATTCTAGTAAATGCTATCTTTTTCGTGTACCGATATCATTACAAAAAACTCCCCGTCACTTGTATCTGGGAATAAGAAAGACATTTATTGAGCGAGTTGAAACTCCTGAAAATTCGCCAAGAAAGAACCTTGATATATATATATATAATTATGCCAGTTTATTTTCAGCAGACCCATCTCCTGAAAGTTATTTAGAGATAAAACAGTTCTACATTTTCCCGATTTTCACAGAGGAGAAGATTCTTTAATAAAACAGATTTATGTTTATGGCAGGTATTTTCGAACAGTCCTGCGGAAGGGGAACTCCAGAGGGGTGACGTCATATTAGCCATCAACGGCCGTGACGCATCGACGCTGACGCATAAGCAGGCACAGGACAGCATCAAATTTGGCGGAGGACAGGTCGAACTTCTCGTCAGCAGGTATAAGAATATATTGTTTGTGTTCTTTTTACCCATAAATTTGAAACACATGTGAAACGTCAAAGAAAAATAAACCTTTCACTATTTTAATTAATACTAGATGGCGATACAGGAGATGATATGATGTCATTGGTGTGTGTTTTCTTTGATCGAATTGCTTCTTTTTCTGTGTATAATCAGCATTAATTTGTGATGTCAAGATTACATCATGATACACTTCAGTTGATATACCTATAGTATACTGTATAGAATATACTATAGATTAAGTTCGTTACCCTCCATGTACAAATGATTGTAAAAATAATTGATAACGTCAAATAATTCAGATGCACTTTTATCTCCGCAATAATTACCAGAGACTATATAACCGCTCTATGTGCACACTCTCAAAGACACAAGTGGGAAGTCGGAAACAAAACAGCTCAAATAATCTTCTATTTCGGGAGCTCTGTGTAGCTTCATATGTGTTTTATTACAAGGCTTGATTCCTCTTACCTACTACCTACACACATTTTTCACTTTTTTTCTACCTCCAAGATATGATTCACTCGTGTTAACGGCAAGTTTATTTCTAGACCTTCTCATTTTTCTGTTTTATCTTCAACTGCCAATTGTTCATTTTTTAGAAGTCTTGGAAATCTGTTTGGTCAGTAATTTTTATGATAACATTTTGTTCCTTTTTTTTCTTTCGTTTATATACAGTGAAACTTGTCTAATTTGGATGTTGTGTAATCCGAAATCTTGCCTATAATCCGATCTTAATTTTATTCGTTTCAGAAAGTTCAATTTTTAAGAATTCGTCTAAACCGGAAGGTTTTCTAATCCGCCCAATTTATTTGGAACAAGTGGTGTCCGGATGAGATAAATTTTACATGCATTTTAATTATTTGTTCTCATTAATTTTTGTTTGTACTTTCAGGCCACCCTCTGGAGCCTCTGTGAAACCTCTTACACCACAGAGTCCAACTAAGGCCCCACCTCTGCCTCATAAGACTGCCTCTGTAAGTATACACATATTGTCAAATACCTTAAAAGTCAATCCAGCACAATATTTTTGGTAAAATGTGTTACCATTCAAAATTACATTTTGAAAAGCATTTCGCTCTTACTGTTACTTAAATCCCAGAAATCTTAATTAACCTAGCACAATCGCAACTTCACCGATCTTCCCTACAAGTGTTTTCCGAGCTTCACGAAAAGGTCCGAGAAGATGCGATTGAACCTAGCACTGTCTAGCCTTGTTCCCTGTCCCTATTTTGCTTTGTGTACTCCGCGTCTCTCCTGCCTTGGCAAGGATGAGACAGGGGACCAGGCTAAGCACTGTCGTTCTATTCGTTACGCTTCTGCTACTTTCACTTCTAACCTTGTTCCTTTATTAATACCATTACCCAGATTCAGATTCCGATCAGACGTTCCTCAGATCACGGTCCTAAAATCATGCCTCCTCCAGCCGTCGCCGGTCATCAGCCCAAGAAAATCACAATGAACAAATTTGGTGGAGGAACTACGAGCTTTGGGCAAAGTTTCGCGGGTCAAGCAAAACAACCGGGCTGGTCCCCGCAACCTTCGATCTATTCCCAGCAGTTCACGCCACAGTTGTCAATGCAGGAACAGCAAGGCTTTTCTCCTCAACAGGTGATTACAAATATATTTACGAGTGTGTTCGTATGGATACATTGATGAATGTGCAAGTCGATTTTTATCTGCTCACTACATGACAACGGGAAATCGCATTCTTCATTCCGATAAATTATTGTAAATTAGATTTGTGTTCTGTACAGTTTCAGAGGAAACTACACTTATCTTGCAAATCAGGTGCATAGCTGTTCCTGAACAGACATTATACAAATGCATGCCATGATGGAATGTATAATTACCCAAATTGCTTGCTCTTCTATTGCACAAGTTTGTCTTTCGCGATTTAAAGAGCGATAATTGGCTACATGAGCAAAATAATGATCTCTTTCATTTATCCGGTTCTTTTTCTCATTAAAGATTTTTGTTTATTTGGAAATAAAATCTGAGTTATATTTATAAAATTCTCATCAAAATCTCTTGAATACTAGTGCCGATGCTTTTTGACATATGATAGTTTGTTTTACGTAATTTCTGCAATGCATTTTTCTCGCAGCAATCACCTATGCAACAACAGTATCAACAATATAAGCCACCACCGCAACAACAGCAATACCGTCCGCCTCAGCAACAATATCAGTCACCGCCTCAGCAACAATATCAGCCACCGCCGCAACAATATCAGCCACCGCCGCAACAATATCAGCCACCACCGCAGCAATATCAGCCACAATACCAACCGCAACAACAGTCGCCACGTACTCCCGAGCAGGCGCAGTATCAGCCTTATTCTCTTAACCAGCCCCAGAAGACATCTTCGGCCACCATTTCTCCGGCGACTCCTACGTCACAGTACATTTCGCCTGGTTTGAGCCAGCCCGACTATGTGCGTGCTGATGACCCCGTTACTGACGAGGTGGACTATGAATACGTTCCCGTCAGTCGTAGGAGAAACGTGTTCAAGGAGAAGGATGAGAAGCCACCCCAAAGTGAGTAGTTTTTTCCGTTTACTTAAATTTGTTAATTGGATTTCTTTTTAAATTCCATCCAGCAGTCCAAAATTCCAAATACCGAAAAAATTTCTTTTATTTGTTTTTCCTCCCCAGTTTCTACCGCTGAGGTGATTGACCTTTTAGTGGTATCAAATAAATCGTCAACAAATATTGGACAATCATTTTGTTTCAAAAACTTTTCGAACATTCCTCACTTTTTACCTTTAGTTTTTATCGTTTCTATGATGACCCGTATTTTCTGTTTTTCTTCCCTGAAATGTCTTTTTTGCATGTTCAGTAAATGCTAACGGGACAGAAGATGATTATTATTACCCAAACTGTCCTGTTTGGGAGCGACGAAGAATGTTTATGAAAGATCAACCAAGAGGTGACACAATTAATGTAGAAAAATGATAGAAGCAGTGTAGAAATTAGTCTCCTGATTTTATATAATGTGGCACATTCTAATACAATTGCACAGAATTACTATCTTTATTTCAGCTTATTAAAATTCAGTTACAATGTAGCTAGCAATTTTAAAGGTTTGACAATAACAGTGCTGACTACCAATGTTTTCATAGGAGTTTTTGTTTGATTACATACTTTCATTTATTTCGTTGCAGTTTTTTCCCGAATTCATTTAAGCGCATTTTCAATTTCTTTTTTAGTTTGGAATTTAATAATGCTTTGTTAATTATTTTAAATGAAAATTATTAACATTTTAACTAATTTAAAAAAAACTTCAAATAAATCACATTTAAAAATACTAAGTATACTTATAATTTCAATAATTCTAACATCTTTTTCATAATAAGTCTCGATTTATTTTTATTCATTGCGTTATTGCATTCAGTACAACTAATAAAACGTGTTTTCTCACAGTCAGTAGAACTGGCAAAAGGAGGTCATATGGATCGCCAGCAGGGGGAGCAACTCAGTTTGGAACAGACTATTCCAAGGGCCCGACCCCCGCAGCAGTCACTGTTCAGCAAAGGCCACGCCCACCCCCTGTCACACATGTACCTGTGAACGCAGCTCCTGTACAAGTGTCTGTACAGTCTACTACTCGTGATGAGCCCGACACCAGCAGTTTCTCGAGAAACTGGTCCGGAACGCTGAAGAGCTCGGGGGGACCGAGACCTTGGGAACAAGAGCAGAAAGAATACGTCATGCCATCCATGCGTGAACCAGATCAGCCCTCAAGGCGACCAGCGCCAGCAGTTTCGCCAAAACCTTCACGCAGCCCACAACCTAGAAAGCCGGCACCTTCACCACAGCAACAACAGATTGTTGTCAGGTCTGTTCCCAATGACGGGGCACAGCAACAGCCGCAAGAAGGCGCTAATGCGGTACACTTGCAGTACAATTCTCCTATGGGATTGTACTCCAATCAAAATATCCAGGACACTTACAATGCCCAAATTGGTTATCCTGGCCAAAATACGTAAGTCCGTATGGGTCTGGTTTCTCCTATCCCCCTCCAGATTAGCATGGGAGTAGAATAGCCGCCTGATAAGCATCTGCATGACCAGAAGTTTATTCAGCTTACTCTCTCAATAACAATTGAATTTCGATTCAGGTTAATTTCAGTAACAATATCAGTAAACACCTGATTACTAGTATTTCACCTTTTTGTGATGAATGCACAGTCCAAAATTCACTCCTTCCAAGATTAATGAATTTTGCGTCAACTGTATTTCCCGACAAGCAATTCCGAAACTGGATTCCTCTTACATGCCAAGATCTGAATTCTAAACTCTTAAGCATGTTAATTATTCTCCAATAACGAAAAAATGCATTAATTTGAAATAAGTATTGATGTAACTTACATGTCTGAATATTAAAAAACGTCAGCACCTACTATCCTAAAAAAGTGCCCTCGAGTGAAAACATTCAATTTACCTGATTTTTATGTTACACTTCATGAAAAAGAAAAAAATTAAATGCAAATTTTAATAAAAGTAGATTGCTTACTAATATTTATATTTAATAGATGTATATATTGAAAAATATATACGTGCCTTTTTAATTAGTTTGGTTAGATAAATAAATAGAAGAATCTGTAGAAAGCTGTTGCTGTTAGTTCAACGCAGCGCAAGCGTAGATTTGATCATATATCATAAAATGATAAATTTGATCTGTTGTATTTATAATATAGAAGTAAAGTTAATTTCTTCATGTTGACAATAATTATGAAGGTTTAAAGCTTCGTTCGTTTGATCTTTCTCAGAGATTTATTACTCTTTCATCCTTTGATCTTTCTGAGTGATTCATTATGGTCAAACTTTCATCCTTCACATTGTTGTAGTAGTTATCATATTAAAGTTGATATGCATTGTTTTGCAGGACGTCGTCCACTGTGACCCCTCAGGCAAAACAGGGTAAGACAATGTCCCTCCTCCCAGTTAGTATCAGAAGCCCTTCTGTGTTTGTAGCATATAAATGTTCCTAAACCGTAGCTTATTTCCGATGTGGTTAACCTGTTCATATCAGACTCCTAAAGTTAAAGTCAGGCTGTTCAAGATAGAATGTATATAGCTACTTTACCTTATTGACAATATTATAGCATGAATGACGAATTGAGATATTTTATAAAGCATTTTGGGGTGATTAGATGTCCGCATGATCAGGAATTGCTGTTGTAATCTATTATTATATATCTTTTGATATAATATGCATGCCTATCTGATACGTCCAGATATTTTCTTAATTAATGATATACATTTTCAGATATTACTCATTTTTTTTCATATTCATGTTGCATCTTAGTAGGAGAGTACCATACGATGTTTGTAGTAGATGATTCTGATGAATACCTGTACAAATTGCTCAGCGAACACAAGCATTTAATCGGCAAAACGATTGAAAAGAACATGGCACCCAAAGAAGGCCCCGTCACACAATATGTTCCAATTGCTCAGGTACCAGTGCAACACCAACACCAACAAGTTGAAAGCACACATCAAGATAAACCAAGGTATTCAAGAGTTGAACCTCCAGTGAGAGTTACTCCTGTGGAGAAAGCTCCCCCACCCTCTGTACCGGCCAAGCCTGTCACTAAGCCTGTGGCTTCCCCAAAGCCACCAGAAAGCAATGCATCTGTGGTGCAAAAGAGCAGCCAGTCAGAAAATACAGCTCGATCACGTTCTGAACAACAAAGAAGAGAAGATCAGGCAAAACTACAAGTCAACGAAACGCCTCCGGGTCCAAATGAAGGACCACCAAATAATGACTCAACAACCAAGAACGATCAAAGAGTAGAAAAAGTTAAAGATATATCTAGTGTTTCATCTAATATCGATGGCGTTATTGAGAAAAATGTAGACCAAGAAACCGATATAGCTAAACCTGATCAAAATATAGAGGGGTCGGTTACTCTTTCTTTAAATGATGAAAAATCTAAAAATATGAAAGATATAAACATTTCAGAATCAGTTGAAATAAAACAAGACGATACAAGTACTTCTGATAATCAAAATAGCAAAGCTGAAAGTGCGCCAGCGATTTTAGATGAATCTTTAAAAAATAATTCAAAACCACCCGAGGAATCAAAATTAAATGAAACAGTAAGTGAAGACTCTGATAAAGCCGATACCCCTAGTTTGAATGAATCGAGTACGACAGAAACCATTGAAAATAATGCTAAAAATGAAGTATTATCAGAAGAGCAAAAAGAAATTGCAAACGAAGATTCTGGAAAAGAGGTAAAGATTGAGAACATTGGTAGTGAAGATAAAGAATCGGTTGAGAAAGTGGAAGAAGAAAAAATCGTACAAGATGAAAAGCAATTATCAGATGAAATTAAAGACACTGTAGAAGGTAAAGTTGAGATAGATGGTAATGTAGAATCAAAGAATCCAACTCAGGATGCTACTGTGGATGTTAAGGTTGAAGAGCAATCTGTACAAGAGGAAAATACACAAAAGGATAACGTAGAAGGTGGACCTGAGGAACATGTGGAAGCAGTCATTGAATTGAAAGAAGAAAGCCTTGAGCCCGCACCAGAGGTGGAGGTGACTGTGAAGGAAAGTAAAACCGATGGAGAAGAAGTGGGGGTTGATTCTGAGGAAGTCGTCATCGAACTAAAGAGTGATGAAAACCAACAACCAGCAACTGAGGAGCTGGTGAATGAAGACGAAAGTAGAAAAGAGGAACAAACAGAATCAGCAGATGTACCATCAGAAAAAGCAGAAGAAACACAAGACCAACAACCTGACAAAACACCAGCAGAAGAAGTCAACGACCAACAACAACCAACAGCACCAGCAGAAGGATCAGAAGATAAACAACCTCAAGAAACAACAGCAGATCAACAAGAGAAATCAGAGAATGTGGAGGCCGAAAAGGACACGGTCCAGGAAGATGCTGAAAAGAGTGAAGAAACAGAAGAGTCAGAACCAAAGGCGCCAAAAAAGAAGGAGAGGATGGATTTATCGCAGTTTAAGCAAGAAAAGAAGCCACCAGGAAAGTTGAACATGGACAAGTGGACCTAGTAGTGTGGCGGAGGATGTATGTCATCGGTAATTTCTTACTCCTTCCAAGCATGGTTCCTGGGTTGCTTGAAGTGAGGCCAGTTCCTATCCCTCTAGACAACTTGTGCTAACAGACTATTATAGCATTCTCAGCCATTGATTCCTCTCTTGTTTGCAGTTGTCTTTTGCCAATTTTTATTCTGTGACGATTATTTTTGCGGATTTGACAATCTTTTCAGTATTTTCGTTTTTCATGCAATGGTTTTATTATATTATTTCTATTTTATCCACAATTTTGCGAAATATTATGTTTCATTTTTGTTTTGTATTTACATTTAAGGCAAGGATCACATATATGAGTTCAGAAATAAAATGTGTTCATCAATAATGATTTTAAAACGTATCACAATTTTTTTTCCAGAATTTAGCATGTCTGTAATGCATATGTATGTATCACTTTTTTATTGCACGTTGCACAAAGGCATACATGTGTACAATTTGCTGATAACTGCGCTGAATGAAGTTTGTGAATTACAAAATCGTGTTAAAAGATGAATTTGACACACAAAAGACAGAATTTTTTTTAATATATTCATTTTCTTTTCAAAATGATTTTTAACATCTAAGATATTGCTATCCATTGCCAACCATTCGTTCAGCAAAGGTGCACATTTTAAAAACGTGAAATTTTAATGTGTAGTATTTTATTTGATTCGTGAACTGAGCAGAGCAAATAAATAGTTTAATATCTGGCAATCAAGGATGCATTTGGAATATTTATGTGATTTTCATATTAAATTGGTATGTAACATCCAAGTAATGCTTCCAAATCTTTGCCAACCATTCGTTCAGCAATGTTTTTACTCGCGGTATGAATTTAAATGTGTAGTATATTTGTTTTAATTCACGAACTGAGCGGATGGTTTTTTAAATATCTGGCAATCAAGGATGTATTTGGAGTGTTGCAATTTTTGGTAATTAGTAGTAATTTTTTCTACTTATTTAACTTAAATACTAATTCTAACAGTGATTTTTTTTTTTTGGAATTCGAAAATTCTCGTGTTCTGTAGCTATTATTACTGGAATTTAAAATCTATTCTTTTTCCGGATTTGTAGGTGAAAGAGACTGGAACCAATCACACGTATACCGTATGATCAACGAAACGCGCACAGACAAGAGACAAGTGTATCCGCCAGGCCATCCGAACCAGCCCGTAACCACGCAAACAGTGCAGACGACACAGAAGACGTATTCTTACGACTACACCCCAACGATGGAAGATGGATACGGGGTATCCGAGTTTTAAATATCATTTGCCGCCAGAGTGACAACCGGAAGTCGGCTTGTAAATAAATGCGTGCGCATTTTGTCCTAACTTCGATGATATATATGCAGCAGCAGTGACAAACACTTTTCTTTTTTGGTGCTATTGAGACATAACTGTGCAATAACTAAAAGAAACTGTGATGTTATTTGTGTTCGCTGTGGTTATGCTTGTTTCTATGTTCTGTGGTGTCGTTTCAATGTTACTTGCAAACCCTCTGTACATAGTAGGAATTATTTGCAAACACGCATTTTTATTGGCCTTATTTGTGTGTAGACGGATGTTCCCTTTAATCATTATTGTATTCGGGATGTTTCCTAAAGAGTATCTTTTACTCTGTATTGATGTGTCAAAATGTGTTAACTTGATTGGATGCAAAGGGGATATTTATAGAAAAAATACGGCATTGTATATATAAGAATAATTTATTTATTGTTTTTCAATTGTGAAATTTTATGACTTGTGATAAAAGGCTTATTTGTCTTTTTGATTACAAAGAAGTGAACGTGTATTAAAGTTGAAGAAGAGCTGTGCCTCCAGTATCATTAAAATTAACAAATTGTGTAGTTCTGCTTTTCAAATAAAAAGAATACATATAACATTTGAAAAAAAAATAACTGGGATAAAACAATTATACAGGTGTAAAGTGAAATTTAATTTGGACGGATTTGAAAATAAATACAATGGGAAACACACAAGGTTTTTCGAAGAAATCGATGAGATAAAATACAACATTATCAATGTAAAATGATATTGTCTACAGATTCTGGTTATAGAACGAATTTCAAAAGTGTAATTTAGTACAGAAATGAATCATGATATATTATAGTATTTTAAACGCTGGAATGCATACGGTGTATCTTCGAGAACTTTAGGAAGTGAAATGATTCAAAGTTTTGGACACTTTATGGAAACTCTCTTGCAAAATCGGCCTGTTCCCTATTGAAACTTGCCCGCATCATGCTTTCACTCTCTTGTCTCAGAGCAGCAGCGCTTCTTTTCCTCACACCTACAAAATAATTTATTTGGTAAAAACTAAAAAGTAGTCTGATATATTTGCATTTGCTTTTTAAAGAAACAAGGAATTGTTTTTGCATAGGTTTGATATGCAGATTACCACCACTCAGCAAGTTTCAAATACTCGTTAAAATATTTTTTATTATATGTTTAAGTCGAAGATTATTGTCTGAAGTTTCAAATACTTGTTAAAATATTTTTTATTATATGTTTAAGTCGAAGATTATTGTCTGAAGTTTCAAATACTTATTTCGAATTTGAGACTTCTATACTCTTCTAGTAATCCATATACTTACTGTGAGGCGGATCTAATATCCTAAAGGGAGCCAGGATCTCCCGGGTATAAGTGGGACAGCCACCTTGGGCAAATTCTTTGACGAATTTCTCCACCTCGCTCTGTACGGGTGATTTACTGTTGGACTGCGTGACGTGAATATGGACTTCTGTGACATTAGGGTTGTACATCAGTGCCGCCTAGGAAGAAAAAATATGGAAGAAAATTTGAGGTTTCAAACTTGCAAAAATCAAGCAACAACTAGAAGTAGGTGCACCAAAATGCATAAATGTTAATTTCATCTACTGATACCAAAGTGAATGGTGTTTTGTAATACTGTATTAAAAAGTGAAGTAATTTATGGAGTTTTATTTTTTTTTAAAAAATATACTGTGAAAAAATCACAAAATGATACAAATATATTTCACTTTACAAATTCTTATTTTCTCTCTATCATTACAATCTATTAACGTAAAACGTTTATAAAACAACATACACGTAGGGCAAGCTTCATGGAACTGATTTCTTTCTCGTCCTTGACCCAGAATTTGGTTACTCCTATAGCGTGAATGGCATACAGCTCCTCCAAGAGTGAAAGGACAGGACTGGGGTTCTCCTCAGAGGAATACAGGTCCTCAATAACACTCCTGTCAGGGTCAGGCCGATAACGGAGCTTTACACTGGGAGCTTCAGGAGGGAAACAGTGATATTGATGGGTTTAACATAATGAAAGTTTTCAGAAAATGTTGGATTGGAAATTACGAATGACATATTTGATAGCTAAAGATAGCTCTACGGAGAAACAATGCTCCCAAAAGAGATCTAATTCTATAGGTATCAGCTTATCTATTTGATTCATTAATGACATTGTCAATATTCAAGAATGAAGGCTCTTACCAAGAATAGAGAAAATGGGTGCCCTCAAAAGACAATGGCCACCGCCTTCACAGGCAAGAGCGAAGGTCTCCATATTGTCTCGTGCAAAGAAGTTGGTCATATCTTTTTGATCGTTCATCAGATCAAATGGCATCCAGTGAATCAAGTTACTACAGTGTTCCAACTTTTTCTCATAGATAGCTCCTTGAAAATTATCAAAACAGATTAACAAAGATATTTTAAAATCAAAATCGGTTTTGGTATAACTGTAAGTGTGAACAAAAAAATATACCAGCTATCAAGAGTGAACAAAACTGCAACAAAAGGAAAAATTTTAAAATATCTTAATCTTTGTGTCTTTTTTTCTTTTTCAAAGATTTTTTCACAAATCTGTAATTGAAAATTGCTTCTACCGTCAATTGAATGAATTCAAAATGTACAATATACTCATTCCCTGCAAACGGAAAAAGAAATGAATACCTTCCAAACATGTGCCACAAGTCAGGAGACAGCCTTTCAGGGCGTCCTCCGCCTCTGACGCAGGTTCATGGTACATGTGTTTATCTTTCGACATCGTCTTCCAGAGGTCATCCACTACCTGTTGTCTGTGTTTGAGTGTGGACGTGCAGAAATCTGTTGTCTCAGTGGGAACACACGAGTCGGCAGTTTGTCTCCTCCTTCTCCTCTTCCTTTGAATAACCTTTGGTTCCTTGTATTTATACCGGATGTGTTGTTTCTGGGGAACATCCGGGTCAAGGCATGCTTCTCTGATATCGTCTGGATCCACAATTCTCGACTCTGCATGTTAAAGCATAAGAAATCAATTTTATTCTTGGGAACATATGTACAGAAAAGAACATACCATGTAAGTTTGTATATTTAGGTCAAAATACTAACGCAATGCAGCCTCTCTTCTGGCCTCCAAGTAAAGATCGAATTCTTGCTCGGTGAAGCCTTGTGGGATTAACGATTCAGTACTGGACCAAAAGAGAAATTGATCCTCGTCCATGCTGACGAAAACAGATTTGGGATACAACCCAAGGTTCATGTTAAAACCGTATGTATTGAAAACTGGCCCACAGACATCTACAACCTTTTTAATTAATCTCACGTTGTTGTAAACTGTTGTGCTGTTGACCACAGTTGTGGCGTATCTCAGTTCCAAAGCCTGTCCCAAAGTATGGGTGTTGTAGCGTTCGTCAGAACTTTGTATCAACGACTTCTGTTCCTCGTTTGTCATAAAGGCTCGTACAATCTCAATATCCACTGGTGGATCTGACAATTAAAAACACATCGTTAATATTATCTAAACGCTTAAAGACCTCGAAGCAATGTTCAATTATTTCAAAATCTACTTACCAGAAGCATTGAGCCACTTGTTTTCATTGTAAATCAGTTTTGAGTAACACTGTGCAATAGCGGGTGCCAGACGCAAGTACCTAAATTGGGTATCTTTTGCAATGAATTTCGAAAGGGTTGTTCCTTGACTTATTGGAAGATTCAACTGTGAAAAAAAACAAATCCAAAATCCGTCAATAATCTTTAAAAAAAAAATCACTTTACCGTACTAGGATCAAGAAGTATGAAAAACAGTCTTTTTTTTACCCTTCCACTAGAGTCGAAAAGTGGATATTGGTCTTCTTCATCCATCATTTCTGTTGGCAAGGCGTAAATTGAAGCTTTAGATGCAGGTGGTTCAACAGACACCAGGGTGGCTTTGGGAAAATTGACCGTGGCCTCTACTCTTCCTTTCTGTTTCTTCGATGATACCAGAAGGTGGGTTCCTGTATTAAAGATTTTTACTCATTAAACTCGTATTTCCCTACATACCATGTACATGTATAGGGTTAGTTTTATAAAACGAACGTACAGCCATGACACACTAACAATTTTCAAAATATAACTTTTTTGTACACTTAGAATTCGAACTAACCCATGTTTGACACGTGATCAGCTTTGGCACATATCGCAAACTGTGCCAGGCTTGCAAGATTGCCAGCGGTGTTACCAGAGGACAACTTGACCTTCATCATGCGCCCCTCTGCTCTCAAGCTGGCTGGATCCGCGCCTTCATTCCAAGCTTCCTCGACTGTAATTTTTCCACCTAATAAGGAAAAAATTATATAATATAAGCATCAAGGTTTCTGTTTACAGATTTATTTTTACATGTTTCGCCAAATACATGTTACACTTGCAAACAATTTTGAGTAAATACATGTAAGTACCTGATCCGCCTAAGTTAGCATTCTTTGCATAAGCTTTTAGATTAACGAGGACATTGTACAGTCTTGGGCTCATCACACGAACAGGGCATCTAAAGCAAAGATTAGAATCATTTTATACAAAATAGTTTCTTAAATACAGATCACTTCTCATCGTCGCAAACCACGGTCAAAAGGTACGAGCCACTTCCATGAGCTCTTCCTATTTGCGTTAATTTTTTTTTTGTTTGGAAATAATGGATACTATCTGCACGTAAAAATTTCACTGCCGCGAATATTAGAGATTCGTGAAAACTTTTCCTCACAGTCATACATATCTCTGAAATTCAGCGATATTCGGTAAAAATGCAACTCATACTGATTGATTGGGACTTACCTGTTGGTTATAATGTTCCCTGGATATGTCATACATCCGGTGAAATCTACATCAGTCCCAATATATTGGGCCATTCTGCAAAACGTTTTAAAGGGGTATATAGATTTTAAAAAAAAATAAAACAGAATGACAATGCAATGTTTCTCGGAAAAGAAAAATGATTCAAGCAGATTTGAAAATGAGCGATAAACTCGGGTATTTTTGAAACAAAGGTTTGCAGTCTCGTCGCAGTAATTTCTAGTTTTGCAGGGGAAGAAGGGTTGCAAGACCAACAAAACATTTCCCTGACTTTGAGATTTTGTCACATACCTTCTGACGTCAGTGTCCATACTTGTGGTAACGGCTTCATCAACTACTCCTACTACAGTTGCGGGGTCAGTTTTACCAGAGGGGTAATGATCCCCATTAGACACCTGTGGGAAATTGCTGCAGTCTGGAATATTCTTTGGTGCTAAATTAAAAAAAAAGATAGATATAAAGTAAAGTAATTCGCCTCAGTGCTTGACAGAATCATTGCAAATTTACAATGAATTCAATTTTCAAAGAAAGTGGCAATTGTCAGTCAAATAACTAGTACCTAATCCTTGGTTGACCATTGTTTCAGCGCTTAATTGGGTGAGGCCTCCACCTTGGTATACAGGTAGAGAGGTAATGGCACCAGTCATGAAGATTAAAACCTGGGTTGAGTCTACGTATATACCAATATCTCTTTGGTTTTGCTGAAAGTATACATGTACGTTCATAACTTCTCTGTAATATCGACATGATAGTTTTAAAATCATACAAAACGCTGCAATGCACACAAAAGTTAAAGATACTATTTATGTGGCAATATAAATTACTAAAAATAATTTTTATTGATTTAAAAAAAAACATTTAAAGCTTTGTTTGTTTCCAAAAAATGAACAAACAAACGTATCTAGCAGCTTACTTCAAAAATGACGGGACAGAGGGTAAGAGCAGCTTTTGCGATTTCATTGACGTCCCCTGATGTTCTGTAGGAGATTACGGCCCCACATCCGCTGCTAAGGTAGTTCTTCCTGTCAGTCGGTGTGTAGCCGCTTGTCACTGATATTGGTTCATATCCTTTGTCAATTTTCAACTATAAACAATGAAGAATATTCACAGAAAGTCATTACTGATAATTTACACATGCATTCTGGTAGTGACGTCATCGAAATTCTTCAAGTTGATGTTTATTACTTAGAATATTATCAAGTAATTCTTACCTTATTCTTTGTAACTTCGTAGACCTTAGAGAAAACTTTCTGTAGACACAGAGTAACAGACGGATGTGCACGGAAGTAGTCAGACGAGCCTTTGTTGAAGTCTGCTACTCTAATGCTCACCGCCATGTTCTTATCCTTCTCGGCAGCCATACTGTATAGTTTGCTTCCTGACAATAAAATTTAATTTAAACTAAAATTAGAAAATGTCTCAAATTAGAGAACTTTTGATAGCCAATTTTTAGAAGGTTTAAACAAAACTACAAGTTAAATTCGGTAATTAAGAATTCAATTGACCATCAATTTTTGCTTTCTTAAAATCGAGGATCTTTATATCCATGCAAGAAACAAAGTGAAAAATCCATTTATAGACTTTGTTACAAGTTTCTTGTAACAAAGAATTCCATAAAAGTGAGCTCCTTATAAATGAGTTTCACTGTACGCGTGTATTTGAGTTACCGTACCACAGTCGGTTGGATCTGCATATTCTGCGGCATTGCTGAGCGTTGATGGATCGACAACAGTGAAGGAATCCGAGTCGAACACCACCTCTACAATAGAGAAGATAATACACCCAATAACCAATAATTTATTTATGTTGGATAGGACTTGCAGGAAAAAATATTAAAATTGACAAATAAAATTCTCCATTAAGAAAGTCAAACAGTGATTGGTTTGTTATCTTTTTGCTTCGTTGTAGTCTTGACAATCTGACTAATTGCCTTAATAAACATTTTTCATTCGATAGAATTTGAGTGAAAACGAGCTTTTATTATTATTATTATTATTAAGATAATTTCTTTCAATTTATATATTCTAAATTTTGCACATACAAATATATCTTAAGATCATACTGGGATCTATAAAATTTTACATACTATATATATTTTTTTAGGAATAAGATACCCGGTAATTTTTTTAGGAATAAGATACCCGGTAATTTATTGGTCCATTCTATATTATTATCATAAAACTCTATTAACATTAATTGAAACACTTTTTGTCGTTTCTAAAAGCACGTATAAACATCAAAAAGACAACTGAATGGTTTATTGGCTCAACGGGGGAAAGGGCGAACAATAAAGAAATCACCCTTGTATAGGCATCGTAAGATTTTCAAAAGACTGCGTATTTGAATATACATGTATATATTTTTAAAGAGTAATTAAGATTTTGGCAATTAGCAAAATCATTTTAAAAATTTTCTTACATATATATAGAAATATATGTATTTTCACTAGTCTATTAGGCGGTTGGGTTTTATGGTTGTGAACTGAAAATAACCGGTATACAGTTACTTTTGAAAGATTAATGGAAAGAATAATATACCAACAGAATTCAATGTCAATAAACGCTGCTTACCATTATAAGACTTATGTTTATTTACTCTTAACCATTATGATATATATATAGAATGTCAATTACATTAATTCAAGGAGAAAGTTGTTTGCTTAAAGGGACAAGCATAACCCAAAAACATTCCTTCTAAAATGGACTTACAATTACTACATTTGTTAACTTTTTTTTCAAAACAAGACCACGTACGTTAGTTCAACTTTTTAATAAGTTTTTCTTCCTTGGTTTACATAGCATGAAATTGAAATTACAAGACACAAAAATGATTGGGTTTAAACTAAATACGTGCACAGCGTTTCTACATTGTTTGCTTTTCTTGTTTTGGCTAGGCAATCAGCTGTCAAATCTTATCAATAACAAAATTTAGATAAAAAGGGAAACCATTTTTAGTTCTTTAACAATGCGAGTTCAATCTGGCCTTTGATTCTGGACAGTACTAAAAGGTAAATAACTGTTTTAAAGGACAACAGATATGGTGTGTAATTGATCCAACGGTTTGGAAATGTAACTTTAAAAAATTAAACTATTGAATTCTGTCTCCGTGTCATCGGCTCATCGCTTTAGCGGGCTTCATATAAAATGTTCAGCATCAACATGTTTTAGCCATTCTGCTTCCATAGCAAATCAGCTGAATGAATTTGTGATTGTCAAATATAAAGACAAACTGATATCTGAATATTTAACGTTTACTCGTTTACTAGTTTCTCATATCTACCTTCTATCATTCACCCCAAAGTAAATATAGATAAAATGTTAAGTAGAGTCTTATTTCTACATATTCCTCCATTCTCTCAAATTAATAACTCACGGTTTCTGTGTTAGATTGAAAAACCAGTGAATCTCTGAACTTGGGTATTTTGAGAAAGCAAGTATCAATATGGCTATCATGAGAAACTAAGCAACTAAAACTCTATATTTGAAATCTCGATAATTTTTTTTTATTTCTAGATAAAAGATAAGCAAGTTTATAGTTTTCTGCAGCAGATAAAACTAGTTTCAGAAGGCTCATATTTTCCGGAACTTTTTTCTGTGAACATATAATTTAGTATCAATTTTCTAAAAGTATTCGTGTGATGTGAAAAATAAAAGACTTTTGCCAGTGACATTGTTGCTATGTCAGTTTTGCAATGTAATCAACCTTACTGCATTTTATTTGTGAATTTTGGTTTGACGACGATATTCGTTGAAGATACAATTAAATACAGTACATCGACCTGTATTGTTGCCCCCAGTGTAATGTTGTAATATTAACCTGCATAAAAATCTTATGATCAACATACAATTATATATAATGTGCACCTTTTTAAAGCCCAAAATATGAGGAAAACACGATGTGCACCAACATCCTTCTTATAGAAATTCCTCCACCTCGGGTTACGAGACGGTAAAATATATTAAAATAAAGTATAGTGATTTGTCACCAAAAACTATCTATATCAATAACGATATCAAAGTAACATAATCAACGTACATGAAAATTCCTTAAAATACATGTAGAATGGAAATGTAGTATTTTAGTCACCTTAAAGTCAGTTTGTCAGTAGAGAAATGAAACTGCTGTAAACAGTAGCTTCGATATATTTTGTAGTGATATACACATTGAATTACATTATGCTGTACTCACTTTCAGCTGTAATTCCTGTAAACACCAATATCAAGACAACAGTACGAACTGCTGCCATATCTATCCATGAAAACATACTCGGGTTTAAAGATTACGTGTACATTCAGAATTAAACATCCCGGTGATTCCAAATGGCGCAGAACTGATTGAATCTCGCTATATACCTTGGTGAACATTTAAATCCCCCATCTCCCCCATATAGCCAAGATTGTCATTGTTTGGCAATTGTCTGATAAGAAATATATATCATTGTGAATTGCCGTTTTTTTTTTTTTTTAAGATTTGTTATTTGAAAGCACGGGGAAAATGTAATCTATCAACATTTGATTAATTATTCTGTTTTGGAAATTGTAATAAATACAGATAAGTTATTTTAAATTAATTATGAAAAAGATGCGCTAGCAAATTCAAATGTAGACAAGTTTGCACTCATTGTCCTTGTAACAAAAGAAATGGGGCATGGAAAGTTGCCCGCATTCAACAAAAACTCTTTGTTCAAATAATCATTTTCATAACCAATGGTACATATATAATGGGTTCGCGTCTTGAAATGTTTTAAATGTACAAGAAATGAACCATTTCCACGAAGATGAAGTGTAAAAATTTCATTTAACCCTTACAAAAAGCATCAGCCGATCCTTCGATCCGTGTTTTGACTCACATTTACCCTCGGTTGATCATGCAAGGGGATTTCTCCATCAAGTTTTAAAATTAATTACAAGTGAAATTAAAAACATTTATGTGTAACTCTTTGGTGATTTAATAACACCCTCCTACATCTCATAGAATTTCCATGGATTTCCTTATTCAAAGTACAATCACCCGCAATGTTTTCGGAATTACCGATGTACCAAATAGTCTTTTCATTTATTTAGCTTTCCGTAAGGACAGACCAAAAAAAAAAGTTAGTGCTCAATGGGGTTTGGAGTTGATCAATTGAAAAGTTCCCTAATAAATTTTTACTAACATAGTAGCAACAAGATACTGTACCGCTTCAAGTGTTCTTAAATTTTTCCTGTTTCCAAACTTCATTTTCTCAAAATTTTCAATATACATATTAATTTCAAAGATAAAAGATACACAACAGTTATACCAAATCTGGCTTTATTTCTATTCCGAAATTAGTAGTCAACAAAAACTTGATACATTACAAAAGAATCGTGTTCTCTGTCACCCGTTACAAAACATAAATAAAAAGAGAGAATGAAACTCGTCATTCCAAAGTGAAATTAAAAACCACAAAAATATACATACAAAATTGTTCTACTGGCCAACTGCAGGGTACGAAAAATACCTTCTCTATAGAAAAATTTACAATAAGAAACCAAGAAATTCAACTCCTTTTATAAAACTAAGTAGTATCAAGTTAACCTGCTATGCATCCCTTGCAATTTTGATTCAATGCATACATGTACATGCTTTGTTTCATTTTCAGAGAATTAAATCTGAATTCTTTACAGTGCACTACCCTCTTTAAGGATGAATCAATGTGCCCTTAACCTGATGACTCTACATATTCAAATTCAAGATGTCATACATATATGGTTCTAGATGTTACTTAGCTGACAATTGTCTAAGAACAGTTGACAAAAACATAAGTAATCAAAGATTTTAAAAAAATCCCATCTTTACAAATATTGTCTATAGTTCAAGGCAAAGTCTTATATCAATTAAATGTTCATCTCCTGAGGCACACCAATGCAGGGCTGGTCTTGGTACAATTTATATTTTCTTGGAAATAGACCTTACACCTATCTTTGTTCTGATGGCCTTGAAAATCTAGGTCAGATCGTCCAGGTAGGTAAACAATTGCCTGGTAAATGTGCATCCCTTGATGCGTCATCCATGCAAAAGTTTTGTCTTAAGAATGAATCTGTTTTGTAATACATTTGGTCATTCATTGGGAATATATTTCAGACACAGCCTAGTACTATCCATCCTTTGATGATGTCATCCATGCAAATTTGGTCACCAATTATTTATGAATAGAACTGATCTGAAAAAAAAATTAACCAGATTACTGTCCCAAAATTTAAGTCAGTGCAACTGAAGCGTTACTGTTAGTGGACATCTCAAGAAACATCATCTACATATGATTGATCTAAGGTAAGTCTGGTAGTGTCCATGCCTATACAGTATATACATCATCCACACAAGTTCACTGACCTTGACAGTGATGCAATATAAGTGGAATAGCATAAGCTCACCAAAACTGAAAAAATTCTGTCGGACCATTGTTACAAACTCTGTACAAAAATAGCCCCTTAATTCTTTGATTAAGGCAATGTAAAACGATGAAACTTTTGCAATTTAAACCACAATGGAATGAATTTGTTACATCCATCCTTGGTAGAATAACTCCTAGCAAGATTCTATAAAGTTACTTGTCTTCTAAAAAAAATTAATTAACTACCATTGCTGGGTTAATAATCCAGTACCCTCAAAATATACTTTCAAATAAATGCCTATTAATTACAGCTACCCGGTAAGTGAATGTGAAAATAGTAATTTCGTTAATTTAATATTTGGGAACAAAACTGTTAATAATTTTTTCTCTCTAATTTCTGACATAAGAATAAATAGTGCCTATGCACATATAACATCAATGTTACCCAGAGCCTCCAAAAATTTTAAGTAGAAAAGCACTAGTGTTTAGTACAACATACCAAAATAAATGCACATATACACAATGCAATAAATATCTTCTCACATGATTAAAACCATCAATTAAATCAAATCTTTGTACTAGAATCATTATGAGATCATGTGAAAATATCAATTATTACCCAGTATATGATTAGTAAAACAAGAGAAGGGAAAAAATATATTGCACCAGCATGAATTGTATAGAAACACAACATATATGAAACCTTTTACGCCAAAAAAAAAAAAAAAAAAAAAAATGCACAAAACATTCAAACTGTTCACTTCAAATGCTCAACTGAAAACATCTGTTTCTCAGACTCTCCTTTTCTTTTTCAGATTCAGTCCCTTCCCAAACCAGCCGGGAACGGAGGTGCTTCGTACGATTTTTCGTTTTTTGTTTGGAGATGCCTCATCCTCTTCCTCCTTTGTCTTATCAAAAATCAGCTGTTCCGACACAGATCGTTCCAAGGTCAAATTGTCATTGGTTATCACAGAGGGCCATGATTTGTTTTTGTTAATGCTGTTCAAAGGTTTTTCTTGATTTTCCTCTTTCACACGATTGTCCTGAAATTGGATGTCTGGATTAGATGTAGCCAGACGAGGACTTTCTTCATCTGAATGACTCTCAAGTGAAAAAGTGACAGACGGATGATTAGTTCTTTCTCTTTTTAGGGAAGACTTGGATGATTCCACTTTGATCCTAGGATTTGATATCTCATTCTCGGAAGACTTGGTTTTGTTCTGCCGGGGAGGTTGTATTTGCGAGACTGGAGGAGACGAGACCTGACTTTGGGGAGACAGTTTTTGCATCTGAGCTTTGTTGAGGTAGCAGTGGTCATTCAGCATAGCACGCACGCTATTGGAAGGTGCACTTAAAGGGGGCTGAAACATTCCCTGAGCAGAAGGAAGCCAGTGAGGGGGGACTGCTGGCATGCCCATCCGAGGGTAATCCAGCAAAGAGGGTTGGGGAGGCAGGAATGGAAGAAAGGGAGGCAATCTCGGAAGGAGGGGCACTCCCAGTCCCTGAGGCAAAGAAGTCATACAGCGACAGTTCAAATCTCGTCTAACCTTACACTTCTCACAAGCATTGTTCAGTAACTGACTTGACATCTGTTGAATGTTTGAGGCAAGAATAAGTGCATTCAGATTAAGGTATTGTTGCACGAGTGGGGGTAGTTGATTTGTTCCGTTCATGAATGTTGGAAGGGGGGGAAACAGATTACCATTATTTGGATTAAGTAAAGGAGGTGGTCCTGGTCTTGTGTCTGTTGGGGAAACAAAGGGTTGGACAGGGACACTACTCCCCATTGTACAGTTCACAGACAAAGGCTCCTTTGGTTTCTCTTCTTTTGGTGGTTCCTCTTTTTGCATATTCACTTTGTCGAGTTCTTTGGTCGGTTTCCTATTTTTCCTTTTGTGAAGAGTATTAGGTATCATGAGTATTTTCTTTGATGTTGAAAGTCTTTCAGATCTCTTTAGATCTGAAAACATGCTGAAAATTGGGTCATCCTCTCTGAAAATGTAAAGACATCTTTATGTTAAACAAAGTTCTATGGTATACTATAAAACATTGAACATTGGTAAATATAAGGCTATAAAAAGTGTACATTTATGCAGTTATTGATGCAATAAGTTTTTAAGATGAAGAATGTGTTAGTTTTCCTCAAATTTTATAACTATCCTTTGTTATAAAATTAGCATTAAATTTACATAAAAGCTGGTATTGGAAAAAAAAAATGAGCCAACCATATGGCTTTCCTGCCGATTCACATGATGTACATGTGTTGAAATAAATTCACTTTTACAATAAAAAAGGTTGCAATGGCTATGAAATCACTATCATTTACATGTATATCAGAAAAATCAGAAAACCATATAGGAATAAAATGTAAAATCACCTGTTGTAAGTAAGAAGGGGTATCCTCATCATCTCTAAAACTCTCTTCATGACTTCATCACAGCGACCTGTAAAAAATAAACATGATCCAGCTGAATTTTTAACTGTTCAAGGAAAGAACAATGCAATGGGATGATGAATGATTAAATTTACTGTTATCCTACCATTTATCTTCAGTGTAGCTGTGTCGTCTTTGGGAGTCCACTGAAGATTGACAATGAACAGTTTAGGTCGTTTGTGGAGTCTTCTGTCCATACACCATAGGCAAGGATACTTCTTTAATATCTATTCAAATATTAATCAGACAATTTAGCATTGTAATCTTTTTATTTCATGTTAATAAAACAAATTTATTCTCCCCCTTCCTTCTTCAAAAATAACATTAATGTTATACAATTTCATTTCAAACATGTATATAAACCCAAACCTACATGTATTTAAGGTATGGTTTGTCAAATTTCATAATCAGATACTGCATCAATATTAAAGTCCCTAACTTTTGATATTTGTGCTTGTACTTACCTTTAAACTGGTTCCAAGACATAGAATAATATCACAGTTGTTAGCAGCTTTTGCGGCCTCCTTCCATCTGTAAGGAGACTTGAGTCCACCCTTTTCGCCGAAGTGAACAATGGTGTCCTTCAGTGGTTTCCCACAGATGTGACAAGATCTGTCAGTGCTGTGGCGTCGAACCCCCGTCTTCTCTGTCACATCGAATAATCGGATATGCTCTACCTGAGGCTTACAATGGGTGCACACCTGAGAAAAATGTTAAAAAAATATATATATATTGTGAAACAAAAATTACATGAAAAAAAAAACAATTTACAGTGAAACTTGTCTAATCTGGTTGTTGAATAGTCCAAAATGTTGCCTAATACAATGTTAAATTAAAATCCTTTTTATTGTTCAAAATGTTGTCTAATCTGGAATGTTGTCTAATCCAGCCAGTTTTCTTGGAACCAATAATACAAGTTACTTTGAAGAAATGGTTGTCCAAATATTAATTTATAAACTTGTTCATGGTATATGTAGTCCTAACCTCGATATACATGTTGCCATGTACTTCAGATAAGATCTGTCGAGGAAATCCACTTCTTAAATGGAGACCATCACAGTTCTGAGAGACCACATGTTTTATCTACAAAAAATAAACACCAAGCACATGTACTTCTAACAACTCAACTATTGGAACTAAATGTAAAATAAAATGTCATAAATATAAGATTCTTTAAATGGTAATTTACTTACATGTCCCTTTCTGTAAAGCTGGGTGATGCTCATGTGTGTTAGTGTAGGCTCTGCATCACTCAAATCTTGGGCCCTGTATAAACAGATATAAACTAGAACTGTCCAATAGGGACAAATACCCCCGCTGGGTTTTCAGAGTAGGTGCCAATTCAGAAATATCTTATGGATCTAGTAAGAGGTGTTCACTATTGTCTAATAAAGTGCCCCGCCACAGCATGATACGCCCGTCAAATATTGTTCAATAATCATAAATTGGTTAGGGTGCAAGAAAATCAAGTAACCTTGATTAACAGATTGACACAGATTTCAATGATCTAATTTCCATTTCTTATCATGTTAAAACAAATAATACATCATATAATTCTAAACTGGCTGTGTTAGAGCTTAATAAATATCCATCTGCAACTTCAAATTGTTTATTGCATATTTTATGAAATAATGGAAATGCTACAGTCTAATAAAAAAAAATCAAAAATTAATTATTCTTTAAACTATTTAAAATTCTGAGACATGACTGCAATTTGTTGCAAATATATAAAAATTGAAATGCATTTTTTTTTTTCAATGAACACATGTATAGTTTAATTTTAATTATATTATACAATACTAATTCAGTTTTAATCATACACTAAAACATCAATTTATTTTAATTACATTACACCAATTGAAAGATCTTTATCTGGACTACAGCCATCAAGAACTCTTAATTACATTACACCAAATATAAGGTCATTTCTTTTTGCCCAACTCCCAAGAGATAAATTAAGATAACACTGCATGATCGGATCTAGAGATGCTCTTGCCAGTTAACTCCCGATAATGAACTCATTAATTTCTCTCTAATTTGACATGCACATTTCTGCTATCAAAATTCTCCTTGACCAGTGCTTGATAATTATGCCCATGGGACAAACTGAATTCCTCTCAAAACATTAACATTTGTTACAGAATTTGCTGTAAAGAATATGATGAAAAAATAAGTTTTTACTTAATTTAGCATTTTTTAATAAGGATACAACTATATTTTTACATTTTTTAGGATTATGAAATTTAAAATTTTAAAGACTTAGTTTTTTTTTTAAAAATCACTTAAATTAAAGGTCAACGTGACCTTGAAATAGGTCGTGACACACCTTCTACCCAAGATGCATAAATTGTCCAAGTTTGATGATTGTAAGTCTAATAGTTTTCTAGTTATGAGCAAAACAAAATCACAAAATAAAAAAGAAAAAACGCCTGTAAAATGCAGAAAAATCATCCAATCATGATGAAAATACCAGGTGCACACCTTAACCCTTATCCTGCCAATCGCGACCTAGAGTCGTGATGGCTTATCAGTACCGCTGCTGCCAATCGCGACCTCAGGTCGTTTTGGGGGGTTTCCTCATATGATGCTACATTCCAAGCTATTTTCAGCACTGTAGTAAGATGTATGAATCAAAGTAACAAAAATACAGACCAATGAAAATAGTTTTATAAAAATACTGAACCAATCAGTGATGGTAGGTGTGAAATCTGGGGCAAAATGAGGAAAGTATCAAAACAAAGAGAGTTTCTAAAATGGCTAACAGAAATCTGCGTGGCTTTAATTCAGATGAAGTATTAGATATGACGGTTTCAGATGAAGAATCTATTAATGAGGAGAATATTGATGCTGAGGTTTAACATACACACTGAGTAAATATTAATTATAGCTTAATTTATTAATAAACACATCTTTTTTAGTTGTCTTTATAGTATGCATGTATTTCTTATAAATATAAAAAATATATTTATAAATATTATATCGAAAGATAGGGATATTTATGCTGTGCAAGTTTTCTGCAGATTGCATTAGTGTAATTAGAAAAATAAAGATAATACAGGCAGATAACAAAGTTTTCTGCATTCCCTTTGACTGGTTTGTTTACACTGAACTTTCGCGGCAGCAGCTGTGCTGATAAGCCAAAACTATCTCGGCAGGATAAGGGTTAATATGGTGAATAATAAGTGTATAAATTTTCAGACAAATCCATCCAACAGTTTCTGGGAAACGGTCCGGACAAAATCTTGTCTACAGACGGACGGACAGACGGACATGGTGATTCCAATATAGCCCCCTAAACTTCATTTGCGGGGGTATAAAAACTGAAATCTTAAGTTTATCAAAGAATTTATGAAAGTTATTGCCAGATAAATATGATTTTCTGATATTGTAAATTTGATAAAACCTTTACGGAGTTATCATAAAAACTGAAAAAAAAACTATGCTTAACTTATGCCATAGTGTTAAACATTTTGTCAATGAATTGTAAAAAAAAAAATTCCTAAATGAAATTCAAAAATGAAAACAAACTCAGGTTGTTGGCCTTTCTGCAATAAAGTCCACACTCCATTGGGTCCTCTGTAGTCAGGAATGGAAGCAGCCTATAATAAGATTTTTTTTTAAAGAAAATAACCATTCATACTTTTTTTTAAGGCAATTCTACATTTCAAAATTATCATTTTGTATATTTTGGCCAGCTGCATGCCTCAGTAAAATTATGACTTAATATGAACATTTATATATTACTAGTGACAGTGAAAATGTAATGTACACTATACAAATACATTGAACTCTTGAAATTGCAGTGCTTAATCCTGAACCGGCAGCACTTCTACAATCTATCAAATAATTAATATTGTATTTTGTTATTTGCAGTGCTTTATCCAGCACCTGTACAAGCCATGAAATATTGCACTCTGTATACTTACAGTACTAATGCCAGCACCTGTGTACACCACCACTTTATTTGAGGCTTGAATGGCTTGGGCAAGTTGTTGGCACTTACACTGCAACACATCCTCTGGATCCTCCACCTTAAGGTATTGAAGAATTAATGTCAACTTGTGCAATTTTTGCATCTTTTGTAATTTTTAAGATGAACTTTTCATGCCCAAAATTTCTTTTTGATATCTCAAGAATTTTGTCAAATTACACTTTTCAAAATCTTTGAGTAAAATTCACTTGTTGGCCACCTGCACTGCCATGAATGCTGAAACCAGTGCTACAGTGGACTTGTTCAATATGCCAATTTTTTTCCATTATTGTACTGGATACTGTAGAAGCACAAATTTTCGTGGGGGTAAAATTTCGTTGATTTGTCATATAAAATAGTTTCGTGGGCATTTAATTTCGTTGTTTTGAAAGTAACCTTATTCAATATATAGTCATACAAAATTTCGTGTGGGATTTAATTTCGTTGAAAATTGTTAACAACGAAATAAACGAAATTTAATCCCCCACGAATATTTCTGCTTTTACAGTATGTTACATTAATGCTCTTAACCATTGAGAGTTGAAAATCAAATACATAAAGATTTTGTTCCATGTATAGAATATATATATATATTTCATGGGGGAAAAGGTGTTGTGAAAATACAGTATAAAATTTTATATACAATAATACATGGTATTGTCCTGCTCTTTGGTAAAGGTTTTGAGGAAGTTTGAGATGAAGAATTTACTCAGGTAACTAATTTATTGCTTTTCATAAAATTTTGCAATACCTCAAGATGTCTTGATTTTGCTGCATCTCTTTTTTTGGCTAGCTTCTGGAGTCGACTTGTTAATTCAGGCGACTTTGACAAAACTTCCAATTCCTCAGTTGTCCTGTCACTTGCAGCTTTCTTCAGAATTGCTGAAACCTAAAATCAAAAAGGCAGACAATTGAATATTTTTATTTAATTACATGATCATTTGTTTGGAACAGCTATAAAACAGAAATTCATAACTTCTTGAAATTTTGCAGACCCTATCATTTACTGATTTAGTGCATGTACATCATCTTTTTGATATTCTCACACTATCTAAGTCAAATATAATTATTTTTATTCTCAAAGATAATGAAATAAAACCTATTAAATCAGGGATTTATCAAGGCTGTTTTTACTACCGGTAAACGGTACCTTTCCCCTCTTGAAAAAGGTGCAAAAATTCCCCTTTTTCAATTAAAATTCTCCGATTAAACGGAGAATATACTTAAAACATTGTTCTGAAATTTTCCGTTTTTGTCCGATTGAAGTTTTACAGCTAATTTACCATCCTAGTCATTCAAACGCTTTTAAAAGAAAGAATATATTATTCAAGCTTTTATTTGATATTGATCGGTAAACATGTGCCAAGTCCATGATGTCGAAAGATACGCGTGCGATTGCAGAGTTAAAAAGAAAAGTGTAGATGAGTTAGATGGAGCTTATATCACTATGAATCGGAAGAATGGAGTAACAACAAAAACAATGTTAGTAGTGAAACATGAAAAACAGAATTGATTTGTGATATATATTTAGAGAAAAAATTAAATAAAATCCTGACCTGGTTAAATTTTTTTTTGTGTGTGTTATTTAGTATTTTGCCCAAAAAGTGAAGTTTTTGTGGCCTTTGTAAAGGTCCACAAATGACCCTCAGAAGCTCTAAGAATGCAGGATTTTGCTCCATTTCTTTAAAAATTTTATGGGGGGGCACAACTGTAACCCCTCAAATTAAATATTTCTTTTGCGCCTCCGGCGCTCATATTGCTATTTCTGCGGCTCTCATTTTTCCCCTTTACATATAAAACGGTAGTAAAACAAAATAGCTAGATAAATCCCTGTAAATTAATTAGATTGTTATGTTTGGAACTTTATCTAATGCAATGAAAGGATCGAAATTCAGCAGGCAACAAGTGAGTAGTGACCTATGATCACCCAATATATAGATGATCACTAAGAATTCATTTTTTTCAATTATTAACTTCTTCAATTAATTTGTTCATCAATTTGTTAATTTGTATATACTTACAAATCCTACACTCACAAATGATATAATTGATAATGAGTATACTTGATATCTACATACAAATCTATCCAAGATTAAGAATATAATGTTGGAAAAGAGTTATCAGCATCGCAGTAAAATATCTGAATATGCAAATGAAGTCCAAATAATTTACGCACAAGAAAGCAAATAGTTTTTATGTTAAGGGAAAGGGCTAAAATAGACTGAGCCTGCTGCCCATGCAGTCATATTCACGTCTAGATTTGTGAATAAAATACACTGTATTGTTTAGATTAAATTATCCAATATGAATATAAACAAACATGCAAATAGCATGTCCAGCACAATCAATTCTTATTTAAGCTGTATAGCTTGATTACGTTACACTTTCTTGTCAATTTCATACAAAGCATATGATTAAAAAGTTTTGAATGTATGAAGAATGCAGCATATTGAACAAAATTCTGTCAACCCACCAATCTCAATGTCATTTTGAGAGAAAATACACAAAAAGAATTTCTAAAATATATGCATACAAGTCTCGTAGCTGCATTTCTTTCATTCTTGAGGATAATTTGTGTTAATCTGGCGTTCTTTTTAGCTTGTCTGGCCGAGCGTTCTGATGGAAATTTAACATTCTCTGACGTATTATTTGGTTCCTGTTCCTCCTCGTCGGCCATCTTTATCATGACAACAACCCCTTATATCCACGATAAAAAAAATAAAATCTTTGAATATAGGAAAAATCATATATTTAACGATAGCAAATTAAATTCAAATTATAAAAATAATTAAAAGATAACATTTTAGTTTTTCAGTAACGATTTAATATCTTGAGAAATTTGTAATTTTCTTAATGATGTAAGGGATGTTTACAAAATACAGGAACTCAGAGGAAAAGGACACATGACAAGTTCTAGAGGTTTTCGTTTTATGTGTCTGTATGTGTATACCCAGGTATTCTGTATACCCAGCAATGAAACATCAATTACCTTTATTATCAAACCTCAATGTTTTTATCAGTAATGTTAATCAACTGCAAGCCACTGTGTGCCCAAAACAAGTGAAAGCAAATCAAATCATTTGCCAAATTGTTTGCTTTAGCCTAGGTCTATCCCCAAATCAGATAAAAGAACTCATTAACATAATCATCATAGTGTTTGAAAATGATATAACATCTCTACTTTATAACCGGCCAATACTTAGATATTTAAATTGCTGTTGATTTGAATTTATATTTTAAGTATACTGTGTATTGTGAATTAATATTCAATTAAATTAATACAGCAAATAATCTTTTTAAACATTTGTTGCTTATGTTGGATGCTCAATATTTATTTTTCTTATGAAGTCAGTCTCAGTGTTGGATATTTTGTTAAGTCTTAAACCTCAAAATAGAAGAATCCAATTTTTGCGACACATATGGGTACATTTAAATTACTCATGAACTATGGGCTTTATGGCCTTTATCATTTGATTTTCTTTTATCTTTAGTTTAATGAAGATTAAAATGATCTTCCTTTTCTTCAGGTCTTGCATTTAACAGGCTGTCTAGACAGGAACCTCAGAAGCTCATCATAAAACTTATACATTTGTGAGAAAGAGAATTTTCCAAAAGTCAGGACATATAGGTGAATCATTTGATCCAGCAACCAGACGACTCTTTGCAGAATGAGTTTCAAGTCTCTAGTTTCTACAAAATGGCTTTTTGATACCATCTCAAATGCTCCCTCCAAACTCAGAATACTAGATTCCTCTTACTATCTACCAAAAGCCAAGAGAGATCCTTATGAAGAATTTAAACAGAAACATATTCCTGGTGCTCAGTTTTTCAGTATTGCAGACTGCTGTGATAATACCTCAAAATACGAACATATGCTGCCGAACCCACAGGATTTTGCAGCATATGTGGGTAAACTAGGAATAAGCAATGACACACATGTCATTGTCTATGATGCTTCAGATGGTTATGGCTTCTTCTCAGCTCCAAGAGCCTGGTGGATGTTTCATGTATTTGGACATACAAAAGTTTCAGTTTTAAATGGAGGCTTTAAGAAATGGTGTGAGGATGGATTACCAACATCAAACACAATAGAAAATGTGAAGACAGAAACTTTTAATCCAAAGTTTAACCCAGATTTGGTTAAAAGTTTTGAAGATGTTGAAAATAATCTAAACTCAAAGATTTTCCAAGTTGTTGATGCTAGAGGTGCGGATAGATTTCATGGAACAGGCCCAGAACCAAGACCTGGTAAATTAGATTATATTTATTTATAGAGATATACTTTTATGACCAATATAGTTATACAATCACTATTATGTAGAAGCTGTAGAAAATTAATAAAAAAATTTCAATTTGCTTTCAAAGCTGCTGAAACATAGATTTGATTAAGTCACTGTTCATTTATGCTTGAATATGCCTCTCTGAGTTGACTTTATGCCTCTTTGAGTTGTATTGATAAGCTGATTTAAAGAATGTATTGATCAAACTAATAGGCAAATATCTTGTGAAAATTGATGGAATATATATTGTTTAGGAATTAAACCAGGGCACATTCCTCTTGCCAAAAATATTCCTTATGGAGAAGTGGTGGATAAGAATACTGGGACCTTGAAATCTCCTGAAGAGCTGGAAGAAATGTTTTTGAAAACTGGAATAGACCTGAAGCAACCAATAGTGGCTTCGTGTGGCTCTGGTAAAGATTCAAACCTTCAACAAGTCTCTCCCATTCTTTACCATATGGATGAAATCGACAGGCATTCTTGATTTCTTTATAAATGCCCATAATTTTGTTCATAGTTTCATATTTGTGTTGAAGTTTTTTTTTAATAAATGAAGGTTATTTATGCATGTATTTTCATTAAAGATGCTATAAAAACATATCTAGAAAATTGCCTTTCCATTATTTGGATACTTCATGCTTAATTTAAAAAAATAAATCTGAAGGGCAACATGCAAAGTACAAACTTTAAACATTTGTTATTTTATTTTTTAGGTGTGTCTGCGTGTGTTCTGTCATTTGCAGCATCCACTCTGGGTAAGACCGTTCCTGTGTATGATGGAGCGTGGGTAGAATGGTACCTAAGGTCAAAACCAGACCAAAGAGCAGAATGTCCAGAGGACAGTTAATCTGATTTAACAAAGTTTTTCAATTATAAAGACTTGGATGTCTCTTGCCTGAATTTTTGTAAAATACCTGGTAATTTATTTGTCGGTGCATCTTTAATTTAAAGATATAACTATTTGATGATTAATAATAATGATCAACAATGGTGATACTCTAATAAAAACAGGATTTGGTTTCATTTGTTAATATTTGTGCTCTTTTTATTGCCATATTGGATTATTTCTGTACACTGAATTGAAGGAGTCAGTTTTATTCTGTGTCACAGATGTTTTCTTCACCAGTTCATTTTACATTTATAATTAAGATATGGTATATAGTATCATGCAAAAAAGGAGAAAAATACATGGCAAACTAGACAGTTTTATTTTCCCCTTTATCTTAATTTATGGTGATTTTGATTTTTGAATGTTAAATAAATCTTAGATTGTTATGTTGAGAAAAAAATGAAATAAAGTAAATTAAAAATCAGTCTGGCAAATAGCAATTATCTTCCAAGGCCAAGTCATTCAGATACTGTAACTTGCAGATGGCACAGTCATTACAAAAGTGTGATTCTTGAGCAAGTTTCATCTACATGTATATATACATAAAGTAGCATCACATGAGTATACAAAGTCTATTGATAATGAATATATATTTATTTTATGAAAATCAAATCTTTGTCAATCATCATCTTCAGTATAATCCATGTTGTATCGGATAAGAATGTGGTATGATTCAATATAAATTTGGTGTTTTATTTTTCACATCAAATATGTAAATGTTGTGAGAAATAAATGCTACATGCTTTATGATTTTTGTTCTAATTCCATGTGATGCAAATCTTTTGCACTTTGCCTTATTTTCGTGTCACCTGCAGAGAAGGGTGATGCTGAGCAATCATTTCACCTGGGATGCACCGTTTGTCATAAGACATATGATGAAAAATACCAGTAGAAGGTCTACTTGACATTTGAACTAATTTTCATAAATAACCTGAAAGGCAAATCTCAGATATGTAGCATATCGTTTTTGAAAAAAAAGGGGGGGGGGGCAATCAGAGAGAGAGAGGAAAAAAAATTCAATCTAACTGGTAAAAAAAAAACTGGACAAGCCAAAAAAAAAAGGAAAGCATTACCCTTAATTTACTATAATGTAACAAAAAGTGGGGTGGGGAAGGGCAACCAGCCTATTTGGAAAAGGTGGAGGCCGGGGGGCTGTCCCCCTTGGTGTCTGAATCTATCTTAGTCATTACCCTTATTTTACTATACTACAACAAAACAGGGGGCGACCCCTTTTTTTAAAAAAGTACGGGTGAGGGCCAGCACCCCCCCCCCACCCCCCTCGTATGCTTCGTGTCTGAATTTCTCTTTAGACTTGTGTCTTCTGAATTATGAGACGCAGGGCTTTGAAAATATACAGATGTATATTATCATTTTACAAACAGCGTGACAGTTTGCTTGATGGGGCGTGCTAAAACTTTGTGTGCTGATTATCATTTTACTCATCGATTGGATCAATGGAATCAATACTAATTTGAATATGAAACTCGGAATAAAACAATTCCCTGATAATACTGGCCAATCTCAGTGAAGGATTGTTTACCAGTACAGCATTTGTAATCACCAGCAACACGTGGTCAGTCAAAGCCCGTTTCGTTTAGCATGTATTATATTTGTTGTGATTTGACCGGATGGGTTTTTGGATACATATAAGAAAATTTAAAGAATGGAATTAGTAAGGCTACTCTGCTTCTGTTGTACTATGTACGTAGCTCTATCAATATCATCATTATAGGAAGTAAAACTTGCTTTGTCCGTTCACATGTAATTGTTGTTTATTCAACGCGATTGGTCAGTATTGTCAGTGGTATTGCTGTGTTCTGTGTTTCATATGCAAAGTATTATTGATTCTATTGAAATCAAACATCCAATCGATGAGAAAAAATGATAATCTGCATGCAAAATTTTAACACGCCCTATCAAGCAAACTGTCACGCTGTTAGTAAAACGATAATACATGTATCACATGGTCACAATCGGCTATACAATTTAAAGCCATGATACTTCTAACAAATAATAGATTGAATTCTGTAGTTAAGACAAGACCGATATATCTATTTCCAGACTTAATCTTGATATTAAAATAATCATTTCTAATAAAGTATATAAATTACTCATTTTCACTTGGAGGAATGTGGAAACTAATTCTCAAGAATCTATATATTTTTATTTAGTTGTCACAACTATAAATGATAAGGAATTAATGATATCATACCTGCATTGAAGATATGCAAATAAAAAGCTGGCTATGCTTAGATTTATTTACGTATATCTTTTAATCAGACCCGTGGTCCGAAGAAATTGGGGGGGGGGGGTGTAAAAAGATGAAAAGCAGACAAAGAAAATTAAAGGGAAAACTTCAACTGTCCAAATACTTGAAAAATCTTAATACGTGTTGGGGTGAGTCTTTTCAATATAAAGAATATCTTTTTTTTTAAATAAATAAAAATTCTTTGTTAGGGCTTCAGTTATGAAAATTATTTTCTACATCAAAATTTTCAGTTCTGGATATAAAAAAATATATATATATTTTTTAAAATTCAAAAATATAATTTTTTGATACATCAAGAATTAAAATTATGATAACAATGTATACACATTGTTTTAAGCGATTATCAAAGTAAATCGTCGTACGGGTTAATTAACTTTTTTTGCTTTCGTTTCGAGGAAATAAATCCGTAAAATATAGTAACAGGCATCTGCTTTGTAAGTAAAAAAAAACTCTATACTTATTTTGTGTTTTTATGCTTCTCTTATTTACATTGTTGCAATGATCCATTATGAAATAATATAAAGCATGTAAATTGTTTGCTAAATGTCCTTTATTTACCTCGTGGATAGCTTAATTAACACTGTACCGTGACGACCACGTTTCTATTTGTGCACATTTAAAAAACCGAAAAAAAAATTGGGACTATCAGAGAGCTCTGATATTACATACGTATCAAATATGATTTATGATTTTATACTTTTCTTTCGTTAGGAAGCAATGTCGCAGTTCAGTGGGACGAAAAATCCACCATGGGCGAGGCCACAAGCAGGTAGATTTTTTCTTCTCCTCCCTTTTGTATCAGCTGATCTACTTGTATTACATGTATGTACAAACAGAGCAGCATTACAACTAAGAACAAGGTGGCAAATAAGCAAACATCATTTACTGAAGCATAAGCCCTACTGAAATATTATGCACATGTTTGAATTCATTGATTTTCCCATCTCCAGACTTGTATGAATGACATTGACTGTAGCCAAAACTAAGTCATACTTACATTTATTGATTTTCATAAATGTCTTCTTTTTGATAGTTACAGACTTCACAACTGTAACTCCATCACCATCCATAAACAACATGCCTCAGTCTCAAGTTGCTGCCCCACTGATGCAGCAGCAGCAGGTCCAGCCCCTTTATGGTATGTCCAGTGCTCCAGGCCAGAATGTGGTTAATCCCCAACAGTACACAGCACAGCAGCTCTTAGGTTTACAAGCACAGGTTAGATTTTTAAAGTATGGCTTAGTATTAATGTATAAATTTATATATACTTTACAGGGAAATTTTCACCCTGTTTTATTTTTTGTCCCTTTTGCCCTACTCACAGATGGGCAGATTTAGAATGGGAGCATATTCAAAGAACACAGTATATTTCTGTCAGCAGAACACTGACTGGGCAAACTTATGAAGAGGAAAAACTGCCAAGTGTGAAAGGGTGAAAAACAAAAAGGGGCAAAAATAATGAGTTTACTTTGCAAGCAATATTTTTGCATTTTGAAAAATGAACATTCATAGTCAAACAAAATTCCCTGTAATTTTTTTTAAAATTTTTTTTAAGCAACAAGCAGCAGCTGCACTCCAGCAGCAAGCACAAGTCATTCCACAGCCAGGTATTGCCATTCCAACCACTCTAGCCACCACCCAGGTAGCCACCGTCAGTTACCCCGCCCCCAGAGCCGCTGCCGTCCCAGCCAATCAGCCAAAACAACGAGTATTTACAGGCACCATCACCAAACTACATGATAATTTTGGATTTGTGGATGAGGATGTTTTCTTTCAGACAAGGTTACTAATTTAGTGGACAATTTTAGAAATTGTACTGTTTTATTGAATTATGTTGAAATGTTCAGAAATTGTATTCAAAATTTGTATTTGCAGTTGTGTGAAAGGGTCAGCACCAAAGGTGAATGACAGAGTCTTAGTTGAAGCTAGTTTTAATGCAAATATGCCGTTCAAGTGGAATGCAACCAGAATTCAGGTTCTACCAAATCAAGTAGTAAGTGTTATGTGACTGGGGATTTTTTGTGCAAAGAAAAAAGTGCTACATTTAACACTTAAATGCTTGGTGAATAGATGTGTGTGTACTTGTATTCTTGAATGAATACTAAATATTGATATTTTTATTTTGTATATAAAGGGACCCCAAGGTAATCATCAAAATCTCAATAAACCTGTGTTTGGTGTGCAGCAGGGAAATCAGATGGGCGGCTTCACTGGACAGCCAGCACCTCAACCACTGATGCAACAAGGTAGTTGAATGGAAACAATAAGATTTTCTTTGTTTAGAATATCCAGATGTATTTTTTTTATGTCTTAATTAGCCCCTTTCTAAGTTTTTATAGAAAACCCACTTGAATGATTCATGCTTCAAATTCATATAAAAACAAACAACATACCTAAATATTTATTAAACAGTGATATAAATGTATTCAATATTTTCATTTGATTTTCAATTTATTTATGGTAAATTTTTTGGATTTTTTCTAAGAGTAATACCTTAACATGTCCTTTACTTGAACTTTTCCAGTGAGATATAACAGGCTCAAATTACCAAAATATAACTAGAGATAGAAAAGATCCCAGAGCAGAAGTTTGATTTAGAGTTATTGAAATATTTTTTGTTTTTGTTAATGTAGGGTTCAACGAGGCCTTAATCCCAAGGAATACAGGCAATGTCAGGAGGAATGAAAGGTTTGAAAGAGAGAGAGAAAGAAAAAGAGATAGAGAAAGAAGGGAAAGAAATGATAGACCTCCTCCACCAAGGAAGCGATCAAGATCTAAGTCGCCATCGTCAAAAAGATCTGAGAGTACCAGTCATCAAAGGAGCCCAGCAAGACGGCGACCGAGAATTGTACCTAGATATGTTGTCCAAGTGCCAAAACTTTCATTTGATATGTAAGCATATTTACATATTGTGGTTTCATTTGTATTTGTGGAATCAAGATTTTGTGGTTTTGTTAATTTTTTAATAGTTACTTTATTGAGCTCTGATATAGTCTGTTGATCAAACAATTTTAATTTTGATCACCTTATTTTATCCAGAAAAAAGTTTGGAAATTGATGTTAAGTGGAAAGTGAAAAAATAACCTTAGATTGCAGTGACATAAAAAAATATGAATATTTATGATCAGCATTGTGTAATAATCTTATTTTACATTTATTTTCTGTTACAGGAAAGAAGCCAATGTTATTTCTTTGAAATCAAGATACACTAACCTGTACATACCTAGTGACTTCTTCAATGCCAGCTTTGAGTGGACAGAAGCTTTTCCTTGCTACAGGCCCTTTCAGATAGGAAATCACTGTGGCTTCCATATCATGCACAAGGATGTGGAACCACTTAATACTAATGACTCAGTGCTGGACCCACCTGATGCAGATCACCTTTTCAGTGCTAAGGTAGCACACACAAGTAGTCGAAGTAGATTTGTTGCTTATCATGGGTAGATAGGGCAAGAATTATTTACATGAGTACACTGTACTTAGAGAAAGTTTGTGTAATTTTGTATAACAAACATTTTTTAACTTTTAATTTTTATGCGCGAGAATGCATGCACTGAGAAAAAAATGTGCTATCATAATTTTGTACTACAGTAAATCACCATATTTATAACATACACGATACACTTGTATGTATAAATTTTGTAGGTGATGCTGATGTCCTGCCCTAGTCTAGAAGATTTGTATCACAAGTCCTGCGCCTTGGCGGATGATCCCCCAGAAGTACAGGAGGGATTTGTCCACCCCACCAGGCTCATTCACTTCCTGGTGGGGCTCAAAGGAAAGAATGAAACCATGGCAATAGGGGGACCTTGGTCACCTTCCATGGATGGCCCAAACCCCAGAGAGGACCCCCAAGTTCTGATTCGGACAGCCATCCGAACTACCAAGGCTCTGACCGGCATTGATCTTAACAGCTGCACTCAGTGGTAGGTGATCGTTTTGTATGTATGTTTCATATGCTGTTCCGTGTTGTAGCAAATTCAATTTTCCATACTGCTATTTTTTTTAACCTTAATAAGTATATTTTTTTTACCTTGGTAAACAAAACAATAGTGATATAAACATTAATATTTAAATACATCTGAATTACATTTTGTATCAGATTTTATGACTAATAATGTCAGATAACAACTTTGTTGTTTTCTCTTCTCAAATTTTTTTTTTATATATCTCATTCCCTTTCTCTATTTTTCCCTTTTTCAATGAAACAATGGACATGTAATTGATAGTTTACAACATACCAGGGTAATTAATATTTCATCTGAATATTTGCTGTGAATTAGATTTCAATATCCAGAAGGAAACTTAGGTTCTTAATTTTTTATATTTTATATGCTTCAATATTTATGGCTTGCTTGCTCATTTGTCTTTCATCTACAAATACAAGTGACTGAGCCAAAAATATTAGAACCCTGTTTTGCTACTGGCTTGTAAGCCACATTCTCTAAAAAAGCCCTTATTCTTTAAAAAATTGAAGCAGAATAAAGCAATTGTGCTCAAATAACTCGTTAAGGTAGACTCTCATACCAAAAACCATCTCAATATCTGGAAGAGTGTAGGAAAAAATAGTGAAAAACCAAGTTGGACAGACTGATTGACAGATGGGGACAGACAAACAGACAGATGCAGAGAAAACTTATAATCCCTTCAAGGTTTGAAAGTATGGGTCTAAAGAATTTGATAGCAAATGATTCTTGTCATATTGATTAATCTACTGTAGATTCCTAAATATATGCGTGGAGTTAATTATAGCTTAATTTTGTTAAAAACACCACACGTGAAATAAAATTCCTCATCTTTATTATTATGGTGCTGAAATCTATGTACAATCTCTTGATCAACCATCCATTCTCTAATTACTATTCTTGCAATTTGACACTGAAGAGCCCATTCACGATAATAAGTACTTGCAAAAAAATAAGGAATCTACAGCAAGTTATCATAGATTTTTAATAAAAAGGTCAATAGCTGTAAATTAACTAAATTTTGTGTTAATCTTGGGAATTAATACAGATTAATTTTTTTATATACCAATTAAAGTTTAATATTATTGGTTTTAAAATGTTATGGACAAAAAGACATTATGAACTTCGATTTGATATCACAAACTGACATTTGATTTCCATGCATCTTGTACATCATCATGTACATCATCATATGTTATAAAGATTTTGACACTTTTGTTAATTAGTAAATTACATTTCACTTTATGATCTTATCATATTTGCTGTTTTTGGGTGGGTTGAGTTTCATTAATTAGGGACAGTTGGCATCCATATATACTGTGTTTGCCAGTATCATTTAAAAGTGATTTTTTTTTCCCTCTCAGTGAAATGAGAATGTGCTCAACATTAAGTATTGAATGTACAACCCACCTTTCACACAGGTACCAGTTCGCTGAGGTGCGGTACCTACGTCAAGAGGAGATGCACAAGGGCAAATTGGTTCCAGCTCGAGTAGAAACCACCGTCATATTTTTACCTGATGTGTGGAGCTGTAATCCAACCCGCCTCGAGTGGGCAACTTTGCAGGCCGCTTATAAAAAGCAACTCCAGAAAAAAGTAGCATCTGTGACCAAGGGAGAAGGGAAAGAGGCAAATTCACAGGCAGAGCAATCTATATTTAATCCAATTCCACTTTTTTCTCTTTAAGTTTATATAGGTTTTTTTCTTAGGCTGCACAAGCCATGACTTCATGTCATGGAACGTGCATGTTCCAGTTTTGATTCACAGTGTCCAAGATTTGAGGGTTTTTATGGCCAAGCATTGAACCAAGAAAAAGATGTAGTGTGTACATGAACCTAGTTCACGTAGCACTGTCCACCACTTAGTGGTTTTGCACCAAAACAAAGACCTCATCAGGAATGCAGAATTTTTCAGATTTATTCTTGTACCATGTACCACATGCAGCCTTTAGAACTTGTTAGAAGTTTAAAGTTTTATACTCACATTGTTAATACTACATTTAACTTACACAAGAAATATTTACGATACCTGAACAAATATCAGTTTGCAAATCAATTTCATAAATTTAATTAATATTTTAAAAAAACGTGTTTTTTTTTTGTTTTTTTTATTTTAGATGAATAAATACATGTAGAGGTATTTGTTCAGGTCTCTGTAACTTACAAAAAACATTACAAGTAACACTTTTCTATACAACATTATGAAGAAGGTATTTTACCATGGCTGCAGTGATTTAGATTAATACTTCTGTGTGTTTTACTGTTGTTGTTTATTTATAGGAGGAGGAGGAAACTGAAGGAGAAATTAACGAGGAGAATAAGGAGCCAACTCATTACTCTGAGCTTGACCCCAAAACTATGAAGGTTTGCTTTATGGGTTTCTTTTATAAGGAAAAAAATTGTACCCGCTGCCCATATATTGGGGAATAGTAGTGGAGAAAATTTTCAATTTACTATAGATAAAAATATGTAACTGTCTGAATGAACAAGACAAATGATTTATAGATAATTGTAAAAGGTTTTGATAGCTAATGCATGTAGAGAAAAAACCTGTTACTGTTAGCTATGAACATTGAATTATGTTTAAAAAAAAGACTATAATGTGAATTTGTACAGAATTTTATGTCTTATCCACTTTAATTTATAGATAGTAGATCTTAGAAGAGAACTGGAAAGTAGGTCAGTGAGTTCAAAAGGTCTGAAGTCACAGCTGATTGCCCGCCTCACTAAAGCTTTGAAGTCTGAACAGGAGAAAGAGGAGGAACAGGAGGCCATGGAAGGGGTCAGTAAACACAAATACAGTCAAACCTTGCTATCTCAAAACTAGATAGAGGAAACATTTCTATATTGCATAGAATTTAAACTGTCAAGGGTAAAATAAAGAACAGGTGGATTGGACTTTCAAATTTCTTTGCATACCCATGATATTTGAGATATCTGTGTTTCAGAAAATGAAGTTTAATTGTATGAATCTATAAGTATGAAGTAAAGTTGTACTGTTGATGATTTTGTTTTTATGTTTCTTTTTCCCAGCAACAGAATACAGAAGTCAGTGAGGAAGTAAAAAAGAACTTAGATGCAGCTGATGAAAAATCAGATGAAAAGAAAAAAGAGGTACTGTTTTACTGTATAAATGCATGAACTGTAAACCAACTTTTATTTGCAAGTGAGAAATATCCACAAAATGACCCAAATTAAGTGATTTTTTTTACTTGCTAATATCTCTTGCCATGAACCATTTATTTACCAAATGAATATGAAAGTACTTATGTACTGTAGAATGTTGCCTCAGTTGCAAAATTAGTAGTGGCATTAGTAGATGGATTCCAAACTTGAGAATCACAAATAAAAGCTGTCTCGAATAAAAGGTTTTACAGTAGTTCATAAATTAGTACAATATGTGTGATCCTGTATTGCAACTCCTTCACTGATAATTTTAACACAATTTCAAAGCAGGAGGAGGAAAAGAAGAAGAGAGAGGAAAGAGACAAGGCATCATTGGAGAGGAAGTATGCCTTGCCAGATAACCCCAATATCATTGTCCACCCCAGCTCAGTGGCCAAGGGAGGGAAGTTCGACTGCTCCCTCATGTCTCTCAGTGTTCTACTGGACTACAGACCAGAGGACAACAAGGAGCATTCATTTGAGGTAAATACAGTGTAAAAATGCATACATGTAGATGTAGAGTATATGTACGAGGGCCGTTCAAAAATTACGCGGACTTGCTGCACAGAAAAAATATTTGACGACATAATCGGGCAAAATGTTGCACATTATATAAAAGAATCTTTTCCTATATGGTCTACAAAATTTCATATCAAAATGTTGTAAATCGGTATCAATTATGAATGATTTTTCAGGACATATCATTTAGTCACGGAGCAGCAAAATCTTCGACGTCACAGACATTATAAAAAAATATGTGATTGAGCTTTTATTTTCTCAACATTTTCCCAAGAGTACCTGTATAGTTTGAGTCATCTTATCTTTCAAAACACCATTTCTTGTCAAGCTTTAAATCTATTAAACAAGTAAAGAATATTCTCTTTTTTTGTTTTAAAACCAAAAACTGCAGGTATTTATGAGATATAGTAAAATTGATGACTCTCAATCACGTTCTTTACATTCCAAATAAAGTTTTCGTCGATAATCCTCTTCCCGTCCTCCCGTATAGCCATTTTACAGAGGTCTAATGGTTTAAAATTCCTATTCACTATTTGTGGACGAATGTCACGAATACCCTAGTTTACTAAATGTTTTATTATGCATATTTTGGATCTATGTTGGTGATATCTCGAGCATTACACATTAGGGCTGGGCAATAATATCGATATTTCAATATATTGCAATACAAAGACAAAAAATATCGTATCGCAATACAATTTTGTAATATCGGTGTATTGGCAATATTTTTAGATTAAGGAATTTTGTCATTTAAATATAAAAATGGACTTATGAAAGTTTGTTCTTAAGCCAAACAGTAAGTCAGAAGATGTTTTGTGGGAACATTTCAGAGCATAACTTAAATGAAAGCAACACGATTTTTTTTTCGTGTTGGTTACTTATCATAGTTATGTACATTCTGCATGTAAATTAAAGTAAATATAGTAAGAAAATGCCATTTTATTACATTGAAAATATTGCAATACATATCGCAATACAGTGACAAATATCGCAATATATCGCAATACGAAATCTCGGGCCAATACCCAGCCCTATTACACATAATTTAACTAAAGTGTGGTGCGCCGTCAATTCACGAAACGTCATTTTCACAGTCGTTTTCACGGGGATCGCATCAGAGGAAAATCACTATATTTCTATTAGTACTTCAAATATCACGCCAGAAGTCCAAATACATAATAAAAGAACAATTTAAAGATACCCGTACATTTGAGAAAATTGTCGAAAAATATTGCGAATTATAGAAAATAAATGAGTTAAATTTTGATTCCGCATGCTTTTGCTTCAAATTTTTTGTCGTGCTCCGTACCTCTAAATCAGCGATATCAATATACCGATAATTTTAGTATAATTTTTTTTTAAATACAGAAATTTTGCCCAAAATTTATTGGAATCTTTGAGATACATATTTCTGTGAAATTTCATTACTCTGTGACGTCTGTAAGAGTAAACAATAGCAAAGTCCGCGTAATTTTTGAACGGCCCTCGTAATTCAAATACATGGGACATTTAAGGCGCATGTGAATAGAGTGAAAAGTAATTCATATACATTGCATATGTAGAGGAAATATATGATGTGCATAAATTTTTTTTACAAGTAAAGAATATGAAATGTAATTATTTTTTGGAAAAAAAAACAACAATGTTATAAATAATGAAACATTAGATTGTATGTGTATATATTCTAGTTGTTTTGTTAAATTAGAGTTGTTTCCCCACAGGTGTCACTGTTTGCTGAACTTTTCAATGAAATGCTGATGAGGGACTATGGTTTTGAGATTTACAAGGCTTTGATCAAAGCTCCAGAGAAAAAAGAGGAAGAAAAGAAAGAGAAGAGATCAGCTGATGACAAATCTAGCAAGGTTAGTTTCTTGAAGATTTTATGCATAAAAAATGTTGAATATTTTAAATACGGATCTTTGTGCTTGACAAGTTCATCATGATTTCAGGATTCAAGTTCTGCTAAAAAGAAGAAAACAGATGAAAAAGAAAAACAGGAATCCAACAAAAAGGTAAGAAGACTTCTTAAATGATTTTTTTTGTTTTGGACATATTTCTTTGCTTATGACTGTGTTAAAAAAGGACTAGTGTCATCTTGTCATTGACAATTTTCTTATACAGGATTCTAAAGAGAGTAAAGAGAAAGAAAAGAAAAAGGAAGATGACAAGAAAGACCAAGAGAAGAAGGAAGAGGAGGAGGTGGATGATGATGAAGAAGGTTAACATACTGAATTAAACATTTGTTAATTTTCAATTTTTGCATGTGCCTTTGTTACAAAGCCTGATTGATTTATCTTTAGAGGTAATCTGATATGGTTAAACTTGTTTCGTAATTACAGTTTATGAATAGTTTAAATAGCTTTTGATTTGTGTGTTATTATATATTTATAATAATTGTATCATTGTACCTTTGCTATTGTATTCACAATCCCTTCATGGCAAAAAGCAGGCAAAAAGGACAAAGAGGAAAAGAAGAAGCGAGAGAAAAAGAAATACCAGACAAAGGATGCGGCTCTGTTGTTGGCTTTTACTTACTTTGACCAGAACCACACTGGCTACTTATTGGATAAGGATGTGGAGGAAATTATACACACCATAGGTCTACAACTTTCCAGGGCACAGGTACACAAAAGTTTCAAGTTATATCACAGAATTATAGAGAAAAGGGATTCCTTGATTTACTGAATGCTAATGGAGGCTGATTAACAAAATTAAAGTGGATTTATTATTTATGGTAGGTTAAAAAACTTGTTCAGAAATTGGTGACAAGGGATGCTCTGAATTATCGTAAGCTGACAGATAAGCCTGTCCCCACCCCTGGGGAAAAGGAGGAGGCCACCCAAGAGGAAAAGGAGCTTAAAGTTTCTGACATCGTTAAACTGTCAAAAGGTAGGTGGATTGCACCAAAATGTGTTTTGTATTCCTCTCTAGTATGTCTAGGGTGTTTTGATAAAACAGACATAATATGATAAATAAGCTACTTCATTTTATTGTTAAAAAACATTTAAAAGCAAACTGACTGTTTCAGGTCTGTGTTTCTATATCCAATCTGTTATTGATCTTAACTGAAATTTTTTTCATGGCAAGATAGAGACTGCTTTTGATTAAGTTAAGTTTCAGAATCAAAATTTCCTATCTAACTGAAAGAATTAAGACTGTGTCTGACTGTCTCCACCAATGGCATTCTGTCTCATGACATTGTACAACTTGTGTCATTAAATCTTGTTTTGTCTCATAATAGGTAACAGTGAATACCTTCCTTGTCAGTCCCCAGTAAAATCAGAATCCGTGGATATGAAAGTGGAGAAGAAGTCTCCAAAGGCACAGGAAGTAAAAGAGTCCCCGAGTCACATGATCACCTACAAGGGAGCCATGATAGATATAGAGAGCTTAATGTCTCAGTTAGAGAGGAGTGAGAAGACCAGGGCAGAGATGGAAAAACAGATGATGGAAATCAACAAAGAGAAAGGTGAGGAAAAAAGACAGATTCAATTATGTTATGATGTATTTGAGCAAAAGATGGTTAAAAAAGCATATACAATGTACTTCAAATACATGACCAATTGTGCATGTGCTGTAAATCACTTTTTCTTTGTGAGAGCTTTATTAAAAGAAATTCATGAAAATTTTCTTTCACTTATAAAAGCCAAACAACAATCTTGCAAGGATAATGTGTCATAAAAATAAATATGTTATAAAAATAAAATACAGTATATGCTTGAAGGTATAGCTCTGTATAAATGAATACAGTTGAACTTATATCTTGAATGTCAGTATCTCAATTTTCTGAAAATGTAAATGTGAATTTGAAGTCACTGCCACTCTTTATGTATTTTAACCTTAATATTGCAAACCTTTTGATATCCTGGGATTTTTTTCAGTTTCATGTATTTCAAAATAATAAGATTTGACTGTATTTTGAGATATTTTTTATCAAAATTTAATGAATTTGAAAATATTTTGCAGAGCAAATGAAGAAGAGCATTGGTGTCAAGGATGAGAAAAGTGAGAAGCTGTCCATGGAGCTGAAGAACCTGAAACAGAAGTTGTTGGTACAGGAGAAGATCACCAACAACTCCGAGTCCACCAGTAAAAAGTACCTCTCAGCCCTGCTGGAATCCAGGGAGCATCTCAACTCCATGTTGTCTACCGTCACAAACGCTCTGGGGGAGAAAGACGCAGTGGAAGACATCAAAAAGGAGCCCGAGTCTAATGGAAATTCATGATGATGGAGAGGTTTTTAGAGATAATCAAATTGAAATAACAGGTTCATTCTCATAATTTTCTTATTTGAATGAAATTGAAAATGGTTTTAAACTTTTATAAAGGAATGTAGAAAGATATCTTCATGATAAAAAAACTCTTGAATTCTGCCAACATAAGTTTTTGGTCTTAACATATCTGAATGCAGATGATTAAATGTTTGAGAAATTAACTTTTGTTGATAAACTTTGATCAGGTCAGGAAACTTGGTTTTGTGCTGTGTTCATTTAATCATATGATGAAATTCATATCTTGAACTTGGTGTATATAAATCTTTTATGATGGCGAACATACATATATTTATGTATTGTATGCCAATTTGAAACAGTAAATTGAATTGTGAATGAATATGTACAGTGCTCTTAAAAATAAAAGAGAAAATATCTGAAAATGTTTTTCCCTTTCATTGTCCACAGGTTGCAGTTAATTGTCAGGATGAAAAGTTTTCTTGCATTATATGAAATATAAATATGAATTTATTTTTAGACAATTTTTCAGATCATTCAATTTCAACAATACAGTGTATATATTATATAATGTAGAAATTAAATTTTCAAAAACCTTTGCCGATGAAGGTGTTCAATAAAGAACAAAAAATCCGGAAGTTCGTGTACAAATTTATTGCTCAAAATTCATATATATTTATGGAAAAAAATTATACAGATTAGAAATAAAGAAAAAGAAACTTTATATATATAAAAAATATTACTTCATAACTGTGTTAATTTTTTTCTGCATTATAAAATATTTAATCTCTCCAAAAAATCAAATATCTAAAATAAATGTCGAAGTATTGCATAAAGATTCTTTTGTGTCAGAATTTGTAAATGAGTATTAAAATCATATACATGTATAAACCACTCTTTTCACACACTTAAATAATGTAGTATAAAAATGTCATCCTTTACCCTTACAAAGCATTGGTACGAAATATGATGTATTACCATGCATGGACATTTGACTCTTATCAAGTGTTTGTGATGGGGGGTGGAAAATGCTTAAAATGACAGTATTTGTAGATGTCAGATCACATGAAAGAATTGTATTTGCCAGTTTCAGTGATGTCATTGTAGTCCATCTTAAGAAGACATAGAAACACAAATCCTTCTAGAATGCATAGAGAATTGGCTGCCCACTCCAACATGAAGGAGAAATTGTACTGCACGGTGGTGTTATTGGGGTAGATGTCACGTGAGGTAGAATCCATATCTCGTAAGGCAATGAAGCAGATACCGCTGGCAATACCACACATACCTGGCAAAATATTAAAATGAAAGCTGCTTACTTAGAAGTTAGAACATAATATATCGATACTGTTTAATAAATCTGATAGAAAAACATATTAAGTTAATAATTTCAATTGAACTTCGTTTTCTCGAACACATATTTCCCAAATACTAGGGATATATATCAAAGTTAGCAATCCCAATCCCCTTATTATCTCGAATCCTCGGATATGTCATTTAAAATCTGGGTCCCCCTTCCCTATTTGACAGTGACCCTTTAGTTCCCACTTGTCAAAATGAGAAAAGTTAACCAATTTTCTAAATGAAAATACACGTTGAGCTACAAACCTGCTATAAGACACAAGATTGATGATACGAGATAGAGTGTCGATCGTTTGGCATCGTTACACTTAGCTGGCCACAGACCACATATCATTGTCATTATGGCAAAAATCTGGACCCCCGCCGAGGCTACGGCACAGCCCACCCAGGCTCGCTCCATGTCTGAAATGAAAAAATAGTATAAATTCAAAGCTATTTATTACAGCTTTTAATTGTTGATTATTAAAGTTCTCTGTACAGTTGCCGAAGGAAAGTAGTGATTTGCAATATACCCTTACAGATATGAATATATATATCAACTTTCACTTGCTGAAATGCTGTAAACAAAAGAAATTAAACAAAATTATTTAAGAAAAGGTGCTAAATTTTGGCAACTGTTGCAGCAAACTATCAAATTCTCTTTCTCTCTCTCTCTCTCTCTCTCTCTCTCAAAACGTTGACAATCAGTCTGTCAACACATTTTTCCCTAGAGCTACAGTTCTGCAGCAAGTTGGGATCCAAATGTTATTATATTTGCACTGATCAAAGGTCATTCTTTAACACAATACCAAACTAAACAGAAGAAAAATATTTTGGATAAAACTCACGTAGGTAGCGCTCATCCTCTGCTTTCTTTGGCGATACCCTTGGGATCAGATCCTGATAGGTGTAGGCGCATTTGTTTACACGTCTCTCATAAGGTACATCTGAATGAAAAATATATGATGCTTTGAAAAATATCCCCTACATTTCCTCTGTGGTTAAATTAGTGGAGGATATAATTATATTTTTCAAAACTTCGTGAAGGAGGCGCATAGTGTAACAACAACGATATTGAAAAATAAATCCATATAATGATAGTACTAATTTGCTTTCCAGGGCACATGTACTTTTAAACAAATCTCAGATTTTCTTTATTTTGATAATTTTATTTCACACAAATTCAACTGTGTGTTCGATATTCCATAAAAAATCCAACAACTGACAAAAATACCTTCTACACGCAATCGGGAAAGTGACAATTAGAAAATTTTTAAATATTGCTTCCGAGGTATACAGTTATTACTGGTATTTTGGCACGATCATTTTATCATATAATTATGTCCAGAATATCATTAAGAGGCCGGGGATGGGGATGGGGTGGCTCAAGTAAACGCATGCAGATACAATCACTTGCTTTGGAACTTGGATCTTACGATATATAAAGCTCAACTTACATAATTATAAGACACATGGGGGGGGGGGCAACCACACGTCAGATGGGTGGTGTTACATTTTCTATAATTTTCTTGTTTATTAAATATAAATTGATATTCCCTTAGTTCATGACCCAGCTCACACAACCACACTCTTATAATCACAGCTTTTTAATACCTTACACCTTACATTTTCTTTCAATGTATAGGTCCAACCGACCAAAAAAAGATTTTTAATACCTTAGTGTACAATCTATACCCATGTCAAAGCGTAAAAAAATCCGACACACCTTAAACTTTCCGCGAATAACATTGAATAGGCCGTCATATAATACACGTGGTAGCCAGTTCAAGGGAAAAATGCTTTTGTTATCTCAAAACCGTGTTGTTTGTAAATGTTTTCATTTAGAATGTATATGGATTTTTACCTGCATGAGTTGTTACATTTTGTCTGTTTAAATCAGTGTGATAAATAATTAATCACAATGAAACATGGCATGACGTGTTCTCTGTATATTTTCAGTTCTTATATACTAGTATTTAATAACTCCCAAAACATGTTTCCCCTAAGTATATCATTTTCTTCTTCTTGCGATGGATTACTTAATTTTTTAGTGAAACATATTAATTTTCGTGTGTCATTGAACAAAATGTCTTTGTCAGTTTTTATACTGACTCATAGCTGCGTTGGGAATTTAGATAGAATATGTAACTTGTCCCATCGAAATCTACGCCTTTATTTTGAGGACAATGAGAAAAAAATTCTGCTATACAATTTATTATTACAGAAATCCAAGTATAGGTGTGGCATTTTGTCGTTCTGAACCCACGTGTATCTTCGACTCATTTGTACATCACCAGTTTAAGCTAGTCTTATTTATTTATGTTTTAATTTGATCTTAATCATATACACATTGTTGTATTATTCATATCAACCCCCGTGGAGAGAAATCTCCCTATTTCACCTTGATTAAACATATTGATCCGTACTAATGTTTCTTATTCGTATCTACGTACGCTATGAGATTTCAAACCATTAAATTTAACACGTTTCTCCATATTGATATTATCAAAAAGTTTAGCACAGATGTCAATACATACCCTTGGGTACCTCCTTTGAGTAACATTTTCTCCACATTCCGAAATGGTACGAAAAAGTATTAGCCACGGTTGTATTAGAATTGTCATTGTTAACCGTGTACCAATAGTCTGTCACTATACTGGTTAGAATAAGTCCCAAAGAAATCAGAATCATACACAGAACCAAAAATAAGAGACAGAGCTGTCCACGCCCCATAGTCAGTGGTCAGGGCAAGATTTTCTGTGTAGTGGTCAAGACAGCGCCCCTACCTCTGCTACCACATAACCGGTTACGGTTCCTCTGTCACAATACCTTAATACCTGTAAAAAATGGCGAGGACCGTAACGAGGGGCGGGTCTCAAAAAGCGAAATTTTCAACTACCATATGCCAGACGATTATTTATGTAAATTTGTCAAGACAAAAATTGCATTACATTCCAAACACAGCTATTGAGGTGACTAAAACGTTCAATATAGGAATTATTAACATACGGCTATTGATATTACGTGGTTTCATGAATATATTATTGGATTTTTTGGGGGTCTCGTGTTTCAATTTCCTTGAGATAATTAATGAGTTCTTGAATTAATTAAACCATGCTAAAATTTCTGTGTCACTTAAAACGTTAATTGACAAAGGATTAGACATTGTTCATTAAAAATAACATTTTTACCATAAGAAAATATATTATAATCGTAAACAAGGCAAATGGATTAAAACACAGAAGACAGCTGTAATTTAGTTTGACAACATTAATTTAGCGAAACATTAACTCTGTATGACAATTATTTTTATCGTCCCAGGCGAATGCGTTTTATCGCTGTCTATTAGCACCGTATAATGTATAAGTGTAATAAAAAAAACATTGAAAGCATAACTATGTATATGAAAGAACACATGCATATCTTCAATCATGATAATCTTTATCATTATTCTTATGCCATTTGGTGTATTCAATTTCTATCCGACTTTGTGTACACGTACACGATGTATAAAACTGTATTTCAAAATCTTCTAAATTAAGAAATAAAACATCTTTTGATTCAAAGTATACTGTATACAAATTTTGTTGTTTGCCACCCCACTTTTTGTTGCAGTATAGTCAAATACCTGTCAATTATTTTTCTTTTCGGGTAGTCTAAGTTGAACATTTTTTTTCAGGCGCTACCTTTCAAAAATTATGCTAAATCCCTCAAAGAGATCCTAAATCAAAGTATTTAGTATAGTTAACTAAAGTAAATTATAATTAATTTGATAAAATGTTAATGACAGTATTATAATCTTGAAGCTGTTTTTTTTTCATATATATAAGAACGTAACGATGTAGATCTGTCACAATCACGTCACAATAACCTTGGCGTCATAATGGTAATGACGTCACAATAATATAATCCCGAAATTCCGCTGTTGGATACAAGAATACACACACACTGAAAAACACCATGGGTATCTTTCAGAGTTGTCTTGGCAAACATAACAGAGTAGGAGTGATGGGGAAGGAAGAAATGGAGGCGTATGAAAAGGTACGTCAGACAATGATCACGGAGGATGTATATGAGAGAAAGGGCGGAGTGGCCTTCGATCTAACTTTCCTCACTGCGGAATCAGCACTAAAGCTGCCAACCAGGCCTCCTAGCCGACTGACCAGTGACAAAAAAGAGGATTTTGAAAAGTGGAGAGGTAAGTTATATTACTGAACAACCTAACTAAAGTACAAAGTTGCATAATTTCTAAATCCAGGTTTTCTACTTATTTTTTTTTAAATCATCTTTATCATTCATTTTAGAAAACCAAGAGAAGACACAGGCCAAAAAACAAGAGCGGGCCCAGCAGAAAAGAGAAGAGGCCATCGTGCAGAAAAAAATTGAATGCGCCCACAAGGAAATGGAGCGACTTGAAAAATATGCCAACATCAGTGATTAATTTTGTAAATATGAAGTGGCATAAAATTTACTCCTGGCAGAACATTTGATGTAGATGGTCTGGCGAAAAATAGACTGGCATAGCATAAACCCAAAGCATATTACAATCATGCATTTCTAAACCATAAACCTTTTGGCCCCGGAGAGAGGACACCAGAGCTCTTTTCCCTCTGCTCTTTTTGGCTGTTAATTTACTCTATTCTTTTTTAGATATACGGGTATACTTAGTATACTATTTTCCAGAAGGGTTGCCTCACAAACTGTCGAAGCTAGCATTGCTGACAAAATCTGACTATTCTACATTCATGTTTTGGCTTTCATTATCTGGTAACAAAGCAAGCGATTTTGATCGCTTTGCCGAGTTATCAGAGCAAAATTACTTCCAACTATTTCGAACCTTTTGGCCTTTCAGGGAACCTGTCAATTTAAAACTTTTGAAATTGTAAATTGAAACATCAATTTTACGACGTCTTAAAGCTCCGTTGTCCTCTCTTTTCAAAATTTCTTTTAGGCGATGTTTATTGAATTTTTAAATAAACATATTTTGTCTTTGATTGAGTTATTTCTCTTCATGTAATATGTATTGATCAAAGGTTTCGAATGAACCTACATTTTGAAGCCAGCAAGAACCACTGGATTTCATACTATAAAGCATAAAATTAATTGTATTCTTTTTGGTGCTGCATCGATATATATTAAGTTTGCTAATACCTGCTAGTGTTCAGGTTTGCTTTGCCAGCAGTAGCGTTACGTTGATCCAAATGTTTCTCGATTTTTAAAAGATAAACTTCATTTAGTTGCTACGGTGTACGTGGTTAGAGCGTCTGCTCTAGAGTTGCCAGGTAAGGAGTTGATCCTTACGTCGCGATTTCGAATCCCACCGTGGGACATGGATACTGGTCCTTCGAATGAGACCATATAAACCGAGGTCCCGTGCCACAGTAGGTGCTGGCACGAAAAAAAGATCCCTCCCTACTCAATGTACCTGAGTGCCGAGTACAGGAAAAAAATGCAGCTCTTCACCGGCAAGTGGTGACGTCTCCATATGAGGGAATATTTCTCGAGAGAACGTTAAACAATATACAATTAATCAATCATTTAGTTGTTACCGTCGGTAGAGCGCTCGTTCCGTGATAGGAAGGCCGTGCGTTCGAATCTCCATCTTCGCTAGCCAAGGGTTTCTGATACGCTACCCTCCTCATAAACCCTTGGTCTACGGTGTTCATAGAAATAGGGATTTTTTTCCAGAGTTCTGATTGGATTTCAGTACACCCAGGTCGACCAATCACCAATTGTTTTTTGTAAATGACAATATTTGCGTTCGGGATACATCTTCACTCTTTAATCTCGGAAATGAAAAACGCAATTAAACAACGATCCGTAAGATAACATTCAAATCTATGAATAGCCATGGTGTCATCCAATATCTTCTAAATATGTGATTAAGAATCTGTATTTAATGCTTCAGATTTGTTCTATAAATAATGAATAAACATAACTCAATTAATACTTCTTAATTATTCTTGAAAAAAACTTTGATTTAATTTTTTTTAACACGTGTCTTTATTTCTGGCGATGACGCAATCTGTGACCTGATAGGTTTCATGTGACGGAAAACAATCCCGTCTTTTGACTTCACCGTATGCCAAGGGTTTTTGAGGAGAGTAGCGTATCAGAAACCCTTGGCTAGGGAAGATGTCGAATCTCGGCCACGACTGACCTATAAGTCGATAAAAAATGGGTAAAGCAACTGTTCCTTCGCAATGCGCTCGGCACTTGCAGGGAAAGTTGCGGGTCCTTCGGATGAGACCTTAAAAAACGAGGTCTTGTGTCATGGCAGGCGTTGGTACGGTAAAGATCCCTCTCTGCTCAATTGCCCTGAGTGCCGATCGAGTAAAGGTCAAAATTTGAAGACCTTCACCGGTGTATCGCGACGTCTCTATATGAGTGAAAAAGTCTCGAATGGAACGTAAAGCAACATACAATCAATCAATCATTAAGGTGTTGGCGGTTCCAATCTAAATCTTAGATGTTAATCCGCGCGGATCTATTAAGTCTAATTTTAATTAGATTGTTGTTGGTTCCCATTAGTTTGGTTAGGTTTCTTTTGGTTTTATGTTTGCCGAAGACTCTTGGCCCCAGAATAAGGAAACAGACTTAGATCAAAGTTTAAACTGTAATCGCCTGTAAATGTTTATCGTTAAATATTTCTTTTAATTTTGCAGATAAAAAAAATTTTGGCGAAGCAAAAAATGGGAATATTTTAATTTTCGATTGTTTGACTTTTAACATTTAAGTGCAATGAAAAATGGAAATATCGAACAGCATTCAATCTCCAAAGTCCATTCAAACAAATCAGGCGCAGAACTAATAAGGACCTCTAAAACATCAGAGGTAGATCAAGTGCCATGGAGGATTGAACATCCTTGCTGGCTGACCCATCGCACCCGCCTTATGCTCCTTGTCTTGATCGGGTGAAAAGGAAAGATCTGTAGACATTTCAGTTTGTAAATTGTGGACTGATATAGGCCACGGGCAGACAGTTTGGTTCGAGGGTCGACAAAACGCATTTGTCCTTGAACTCAGTCAATAAATGTTTTGTTATACCTTTCGTATTTTTTTTTGACATGCATGTATTTTGTTATGTATTCCGTGATGTACCTTCAGGTCCATCAGTGTTTAACACCAACGTAATCTCCGCCCATTCTGTGTGTGACGTAAACGGTCCAACATCTCATCGACCGGTGCAACATCTCACTCAGATGTCAATCATCGATTTTTATGCCCGCTAAGCAAAGCATTACACAGATGTTAGACTTTTTGTATAGAATTTACATAGAAACAAATTGTCTAAGGTATAACAACAATTTGTATGCATGAAAAACGCCGGTCAACATTTCACTTAGACATAGATTGTATTCGCCGACAAGGTCACTGTATCGGTCAAAGAACTTAATGATGTAATTAAATGATGATTTTAAATGAAACTATTGATCTGTTGTTACATGTATTCAAGTTTCATCAACATGTTTGTCAATAGTTTGCCTCGTTTTAAAAATCTTACGTACATCATGGTGTTGTGTATGTACAGAATTCACTGAGAGACATAAACCCATTATGCAGTTGATAAGGATATACTTCTACATAATTAAGGGGAGTTGAGGATTGAAAAGTTGAAGTCATCACGTTTAGCAAAAACCTTTGTTGTTGGATTACCACGAACTGTTTTTTGCTAGTAAAATATTCAAATATGAAACAGATGTGTCAGGCTCAATGGTATCGTTTATTTCAAAGTCACTGGAATATATCGAGTCGAAAAAGGAAAGGAAATCATAAATTTATGATAACGTCATCGACATTAAAAAATAGGTCTTCTAAAAAGACACAATTGGTACCCATGGGGATTTCGACACATTGTTGGAATATATGGTCTCTAAAACAACATAGGTACATATGTTGTCAATCAGTAGCACAAGCATCTGTTAAATGTCAACTTTGAAGTGCTGGTATGTACGAATGTTTTTTGACGTTTACCAAAAAAAAAAAAAAATCTTGAAAATTTTGGCCAATGACCAGGTAAGTTAATCTGAGCTCCATTTTATTTTTATTTTCCAGACAAAAGCATCTGTTAGTTATGTAAAAAAAAAAATCTGGACTTAATTATATCGCAGGGAATAGTTATATAAAGTGTCAAAAGCCTAAGTTTCTATGTTATTAATATTGATAAAAGTTTTGTGGATTTTTAAGTATCCAATTCTCTTTTTAGTAGATTTACATATTTGCATCACTTCTCAAATAATTATATTGATGCGCAGAACTCCTGATGTTTCACCTTCTTAGCCCACTGGAACCCATTATCTACATCGATTCATTCTTTGTTCATATCGTCGAAAGCAAATTGAAAGTGGAAGAGATTTTTTTAAAAAAATCTTGACAAGCAAAATTAAAAAAAAAAAAAAAAAGAAGAAGAAGAAGAAGAAAAGGAAAACGTATCCATTGTCCAAACACGAAACGACCAAAATTGCAATGTGCCTGTTGAAAGTGGGGGTGGGGGCTAAACCTAAGCCCGAATTTTCAATGTCTATATTATGTCTATCCTTGCAAAAAAAGGGGGCTAACACACACACACCCCTAGCGCCCCCCCCCCATTTCCGACGCTTATGTTGCTTGTAAGGATTTTTTTTAATTTTAGGAATCGAGTATAAGTATTGTAATTCAAATCTATTTTGATTGTTGGGAATATTAAACATACATGTATCTAAAACTGACAGGTGATTTTAAAAAAAATGTAAGCATTTTTTCTCACGCTGGCTCCCACTTTCAAAAACGATGCTACGTCCCTGAAAGAGATGTATCAATCAAAGTATTTAGTATTGTTACATGTAACTAAAGTAAATTATGATTAATATGATTTTATGCTAGGGACAGTATTATGACCTTGATGCTATTTGAACGTAACAATGTAGATCTGTCACTATCACGTCACAATAACATTGGCGTCATAATAGTAATGACGTCACAATAATCTAATCCCGAAATTCCGCTGTTGGATTCAACCATACGCACACTGAAAAAAAACACCATGGGTATCTTTCAGAGTTGCCTTGGCAAACATAACAGAGTAGGAGTGATGGGGAAGGAAGAAATGGAGGCGTATAAAAAGGTTCGTCAGACAATGATCACGGAGGATATATATGAGAGGAAGGGCGGAGTGGCATTCGATCTAACTTTCCTCACTGAGGAATCAGCACTAAAGCTGCCAACCAGGCCTCCTAGCCGACTGACCACTGACAAAAAAGAGGATTTTGAAAAATGGAGAGGTAAGTTAAATTTATTGAACAACCTAATTAAAGTACAAATTTTGTATAATTTCTAAATCCAGTTTTTCTACTTACTTTTTAAAAAATCATTTTTATCATTCATTTTAGAAAATCAAGAGAAAACACAGGCCGAAAAACAAGAGAGGGCCCAGCAGAAAAGAGAAGAGGCCATTGTGCAGAAGAAAATTGAATGCGCACACAAGGAAATGGAGCGACTTGAAAAATATGCCAACATCAGTGATTAATTAAAAATATGAACTGCATGCCATAAAATTTAACCCTGGCAGAACATTTGATGTGGATGGCCTGGCAAAAAAAGCCTGGCATAGCATTCATCCAAAGAATATTGCAATCATGTACATGTATTTCTGAATTATAAATCTTTTGGTCCGAGAGAGAGGACACCACAGCTCTTTTATCCCGCTGCTCTCTTTGGCTGTTAATTAACTTTATTCTCTTTTGATATACCGCGCCTCACAAACGCCCCCACAAACAGACAAAGCTAACACTGCTGGCAAAATCTGACTATTCTAAATTCATGTTTTTTGGTTTTCCTTTTTTTGTATCAAAGCAAGCGAGATAGTTCACTTTGCCAAGTTACCAAAGCAAAATTAAACTTCCAACTATTTTGAACCTTTAGGCCTTTCAGGGAAGTCTCTGTTTTAAAGGTGTGCCCTGTCAAAACTTTTGAAATTGTAAATGAAGCATCCAATTTGAGATGTCTTAAAGCTCCGTTATCCTCTCTTTTCAAAATTTCATCTCGGTATTACCGGTTATTACCGGTATTGAATTTTTCAATAAATATATATTTTGCCTTTGATTGAGTTGTTTTTCTTCATGTAATATATATTATATGTTTGTCCACGACACCTGGCCCTAGGATCATGAAATAATAGACTTATATCTAAGTCTAAACTTTAATTGTCTGTAAAATGTTTATATATTGTGAAACGAATTTCTCAATTTGCAGAAAAAACAATAATTTTTTGAAGCAATAATGGGAATATTTTAACTTTGGCCTACTTGACTTTTGACATTTTAATACAATGAAACATGGAACAGTATTCAAGCTCAAAATTCCATTTCAAACAGTATCAAGCTCAAAGTCCATTCAATCAATACAAATCAGGAGCAGAGCTAAGAACATTAGAGGTGGGATCTGGTGCCATTGGGGGAGAGAACATCCCCTGCTGACCTATTGCACCCGCCGTAATTGTGCTTCTTATCATGATAGAGGGAAAGGGGAAAGACTTGACAGTTGGAACCAGTAAATACTGATCGTTTATGTAATTCTGTGCTCATTTCTGAATCATTGACATGAACAAAGAATGATAGATTTTTTTTCATATTGCGATATCTCAATCATACATAATACCCGATAATTGAAAATCTTTTCAAATACTTAAAAGCCAAAAATATTACAGATATGATTTCTTAAATTGAAGCAAATTGCACTCTAGAGACATAAAAATAAAAAAAAGTTCCACCTTAAATGTATTAATAAGCTTGTTTATAGAACTTTGAAACCTTAGCCATGTACACATATATGCATATGTGTTTGTGACCTCTTTGACGTATTCTTCACATTTCTTTTACGAACACTGCATATTTCAAGTCTAAAGTTCATAAAATGAAAACAGACTAAGTCAAAATTTCTATTGAATAAATCCTCTAATATACATTTGATAGTTAAACAAAAAATAAAATCATCGTATGTTTGCATTTAAATATTATACAAACATGGGGACCTGTTCCTAGTTTATGATCTTAGGGCTATAGTTTTCGGCTTCATTATTTGCCAGATAAATATGTATTCAAATATTTGCCCTCCTTGTATTTTTTCGACGTGTCTTTTAATGCTTGAGCCTATCTTTAAATAAATTGAAGATGCCTATTTCTAAAAAAAAAATTGAAGGCAAATTTAATTGAAGTAAACATCTAAAGATATGCGAAAGGGAATTGAAAAATAAACATTAAATAATTAAATCTATCTGTAATTGTTTTACAAATTCGCTTTAAAATTCTTGGTGTTAGGTATACTGCATCATTAATTCTATATACGTACGTTTATCAATTCTAATAATTATTACGGCGAGCTTTTGTTATTGATCACAGGCACTAGGGGCATGGACCCCCCCCCCCCTTTTCCATTTTTTTTCCTTTTTAAATCTGGGGTCGAGTCACCTTATTCCTGTTTTTGTATTCTAATATGCACTATATATTATCAATAATGTAACTCTTTTGTCTCTATAAGCTGTTTTTAAAAATATCGTTTTCGACTGATCAATACAGAAAGTGCAGAAAGTGAACCGGTATGCTACTTGGTGGACCAACAGACTGATTGACAGACAGACCGACTGACAGTCAGCAGCAAAGCAATACGCCCTCCCCTCTTCGAAGGGGGGTATAACTATTATTTGGTAATGAATAATTTTGAATACATTATTTTTAGTCCATAGTGTATGCATTACAAAAGTAGAAACAATAAATCAAATTATCGTTTTGAAGCTTGATAAATAAAGACATCCTTGCAGTTCAGCAACATTTTGTACTTGATCAGTCTATTCTTAAGTACTGTATACTAAAACAGCCAAAACAGGGGGATGAATGCTTTACATGAAATTCAGATGTCTATACCGGGAAAATGGACATGTATGCCCGATGTCCATTGTTCATTTACTTTAAACAAAATGAAACAAGAAATGTTTGTCAAACACTGATGCCCCTAACAAAAATTTTGGGGATTCTTGAGTTTTAATATTTTTTTTAATACTCAAAAAATTTCTATTTTGTTCAGCATTAAGGATTTACAGTCCTTTCTGAAAGTGCAAGGATGTGTCAATCAAATGAGTCCCGAAATTGATAGTTTGTATTTTAGGGAAATTCTCAAGTAACATATAAGTTAAGATACATGTAAATATGTACAGAAAATATGTCAAATCTATGTCCCCTTTTTAAAATTACAAAGGAAAAGAACAATTAAACTAGTTTAAATATGAGAATACATGTATTATTTTTAACTCACCTGAGCTGAAGGCTCGTCTGTAAACTTTTCACATTTTCAACTTCTTCTCAAGAACCGCTGGGCCAGTTTTAACTAAACTTTGTACAAAGCATCCTTGGGTGATAGAGAGCTTAAATTGTTAAAATAAAGGACCAAGTCTCCTTCCAAGGGGAGATAATCAAGAAAAGACAAAAATAGGGTGGGGTCATTGAAAAATCTTCTCAAGAACCAGTGGGCCAGGAAAGCTGAAACTTATGTGAAAGCATCCTGAGGTAGTGTAGATTCTAAATTGTTAAAAGCATGACCCCCAGGGGTAGGGCGGGGCCACGATAAGGAATCCAATTTTTATATCTAAATATATAGGAAAAATCTTCTCAAGAACCAGTGGGCCAGGAAAGCTGAAACTTTGGTGGAAGCATCCTGGGGTAGAGTAGATTCTAAATTGTTCAAATCATGACCCTGGAGGGGGGGGGGTTAGAGGTAGATATAGATATAGATATAAGAAGAGGGAAAATCTGGTAAAGAACTGCTTCACCAAAGTTACTCAAGTGAGCGATGTGGCCCATGGGCCTCTTGTTTTTCTACTTATAGGCATCAACTCAAAATTGTTAATATTCATTTGAAGAGAGCAACAAAATTGCATATGGAAATAATATATTTGCACTCATTACAGTAAATAAAACACTGCAAGATGAATTGATATTTTACAATGATTTTAGAAAAGTTTGATCAGCTGAGTCTGTTGGCACTCCATACATCCAGTGATGTACATACAGTGAAACCTGTCTAATCTGACATTAACTGGGAGATCAATTTTGTGTCAGAATAGACAGGGTGTCAAATTACAAAGTGTAAAAAATGGAAAATAGTAAAATGGGAAAGAAATTTAACTTTGGAATTCACAGGATTGCACAAGTGACAGGCAGATTAGACAGTTAACACCAAAACTTCTCCTCTGCTTTTAAGGGCTTGGAACCTTCTGCTTGAAATAACATGTAAATATGTTATTTCAAGCAGGCAGCATTAAAAGTTTTGTGCCTTTTTTCAGTTTTTTTCTTTTTCTTTTTTCTTTCTTTTTTTTTTGGCTTTTCTATTTTTTTTTTTTTTGGCTTTTCTTTTTTTGCTTTCTTTTCTTTTCTTTTTTTTTTTTTTTTTGGTTGTTTTTCTTTTTTGATTTCTTTCTTTTTTTCATTATTTTTTGGTTTTTCTTCTTTTTTTTTTTTTGGCACAAAACTTGCCAATGAGATTAAATAATTTCACATTTACAATTCACAATTTCACATAACAATTCACAATTTCACATTAACAATTCACAATTCACATTAACAATTCACAATTTCACATCAACAATTCAAAATTGAATTAAAAAATCATGATTTAACGTTTCAAATTATGATTTAATTAACATTAACAAAATCATTGTTTAACATTTATCAATTACAATTAACATTTTTATAGGCAAATCAATATCTTGCATTTTCAAATGCAATTAATAATTTTACATCCATTTCTTTCACTGCATATTTAGTCACATCAGTATATAATTAAATGCATTCAATTTCACAATAAGCTAATAACCAAGAGGCGATTACACAATTATTGCTACAATAGCTGAAAATTTTTTACACATTCTAGGAATACTTATGTCTCATTTTACAATCATTACATCTAGAACATATTCAACTTCATCTAAACAATTACAATAATGTACTATCATCTCATTGGCATATTAACAAGTAAGGAGAAAAGTGGGGGGTCAGTGTGGGAGGAAGACGGAGTACCCGTAGAGAACCCACGTGTCCGAATGGGTGACCCCATACCCTAACATAATTCGGACACCCTTTACAAAAATATTTTCAAAATAGTCTTTGAAAAAAAACTGTTACTAGAATGCATAATTTCATCAGTGCTTTGAAGATTTGGATTGATCCTGCATTAATTAAGTCCTGCTTCTTCATCCACATATGTTACTTCTAAAATTTCTTTTATTTTCTGTAAATAAACAAGGCAAGATGTAATTGTAAGGTTTGAATTAAAAAAAAAACTAACAAGAGACCTATATGCTACATTGCTTACCTGAGCACTAAGGCTAGGAAAAAGCAGAAATCAGTTCAGAGTTGAAAAACTTAAACTTGAATCTACACTACCTATGATTTGAACACACACTTGAATCTCCACTATCTGAAGACGCTTCTGAATTAATATGACTAATAATCATAGCCTTTGCTGATATTGAGAAGAATATTTGTATAACTTTGATCCCAAGTTGTGGCCTCTCTTTACTCTTGATGGAGCAATCATGGTTTGAACAAACACTACCTGAGGATGCTTCAGTAAAAATATGACCAATCATTGCTTAGCTGTTCTTGAGAAGAAAATTATTCAAGATTTCTTCATTGTACAAGGTCCATTCAGTAAGTTAAATTTCTTTTTTTACATGTCAAAAGTTCATTTAAAGAGCTCCTAAACACAGAAAAACCCATGCAATGTCCTCACAAAGAAATTCACTTTTAAAGTAAGCATGGTCACTAGCCACACTGTGCTGAAAACTTCTTATATGATCTCTGCCAAGAAGATGAAAATAAGAGATCTTAAATATGTAACTGTGCTTTTCACATAAATCCCAGAATTCATATTTAAGATCAGACCAAGTTATTCCTGAGAAAATGACTTTTAAATGACACCATCTAATTTTCACTATTTCTTTTTTTATTTGGTTTGATCTTCACACTCGGAAAAGAAGATGAAAATGTGAAAAGTTTATGACAACAATGACACCGACAACAACAGACATCGGACAAATTTTGATCCGAAACCTCATGCACTTGAGCCTTTAATTTACTCAGGTTAGCTTAAAGATACAAAATAGCAATCAAGGTCAGTTTTCCATAACTGAAGGATTCTCATCATTCATAAGATCAAGAAAATCCACAATGGCATGAATCCAGTTCAATTCCCCCCTTAGTCTGCTCTCCAAATCTTAAACCTTAAAATAAAAGGAATATACTCAGAAGTATATACACATACAGTAATTTTAATAACATGATTTTATAAAAAGATTCTGAGAAACTGGAAGACTATGTTTTGACACTAACTTAGGAAAAGTGATGTCAAGGTCAAAGGAAAGGCCAAGGTCAAAAATGTTGATGCAGTTGAATAGCTCTTATCAGTGTATGAAGTTTGATAAAATATCTTGGATGTTATCTTTAAAAATGAGCTAAACACTTACATAAGAAAAATGTACGGTAGTCAAAGGAAAGGCCAAGGTCAAAAAATGTTGATGCAGTTGCATAGCTCTCATCAATATCTATTAGCATACGAAGTTTGATGAAAATATCTTGGATAGTTTCTTTGAAACTGAGCTTTGAACTAAGCTAAACGCAGTGTGACAGAAGGATAGACAGAAGGACGGATGGTGGACATCAAATACTATATGCCCCGGCCATATTCCTGGCGGGGCATAAAAATACTAACACGAAATATCTTTGTTTGCTTGTCTGTTTCTTGTTTAAAGTCCCTATTGAGAATTTTTCACTCATATGATGCTCTAAAATACCACTGTGCCATGCAGGCAACAACACAAAATATGAAATTTGATAAGAATTTCACAACATAAATAAATTATATCAGATGTATCATTCTGAGGTTTTGTATACCACTTCCAGATGTAAACAAGCAGTAGAAGGTCAAACATATTAATTAATGTGCACAAATGAGGTCTTGGTGGTGACTTTTGCAGCAAGGTGTGTATCTGGTCACATACTGCATCAGGATAATTAGCACGATAACACAAACTCTGTTTATAGAATGTAATGCAGACAGGCTTAAGGAGGACCCAATGAATACAACATATTTAAAAAAAATTGAGTCAAAAATCAACTTTTATTCGCGACGACTTTATTTCGCGATTTTCCGGGAGTTAAGTAGTTCGCGACGATTAAAGTTTTCAAGATTCGGGAGAAAATACATATTTACCAATTATGTTTGTTTTATAAAACTCTACAATTTAACTTCTTTTGAACAAGCATTTTAGAAAAATGTATCAGCAGTGATTTGGAGTATACATTATAAACATATAAACTTCTAGGCAAAATTTTAATATTGGTGTGAATTAAGAGATGACATATTTGGTTAAACACCATTACAAAAGCCAGCTATATTGCTGACAACCAAAAAAATGTACCCTGGACTAAATATTTGGTCTACTAATTAACTGACCTGTTTAATACATTGTATAAAATTTATACAGTAAGATAATTTTAGAATATGATAATGTCATACCTGATCAGTATGAGCTATCCAGTGTCTATTTTAGTGTTTCCACTAATATTTTTTGGTTATCACAAAAAGGACAGAATTAAGCAGGTGCATTTTTCTTTAAATGGTCAATTAGTCATGATCAACTCCTTACTATGCTACTCTATAGCAGATGCTCTTAAATACCACTGTACCATGCAACAACAACAAAAATGTGAAATTTCATTAGAATTTCACACATAAATTATATCAGATGTATCATTCTCGGGTATTATTGGTATGAATTAAGAGACAGCATATATGGTTGCACACTATTACAAAATCAAGCTACATATATTGCCGACTACAAAAAGAGTCCTGGACTAAAAAATTGGTCTACTACTTAACTAGACCTTGCTTAATATAAACAATAAGATGAATTGGAATATGAAAATGTCATATACCTGATCAGTATCAGCTATCCACTGTGGTATGTCTTGGTGGAAAAGTCCACATCCATCAGGGATTGTCCTCCAGGTGTTTCCACCAAGTCTTGTTGGGGACATCTGCTGTTTCCACATTTTGAAGATCATTGTCCATAAAGATTGTCCGTGTTAATTGTTTCCACCAATTCCTTTTGGCTGTACCTGGTGTTTTCACATATTGGAAAATCATTGTCCATCAAGTTTACCTCAAGATTCATAATGGTCTTGCCTCCTCAAGATTTATTTCACTAAGTCTTTTTAGAAGTATTTGCTGTTTTCCCATCTTTCCACCAATTCCTTTTGGGTGTAGCTGGTGTTTTCACATATTGGATTTTCATTGTCCATCAAGTTTTCCACAATATTAATAATGGCCTTGCCTTCTCAAGATTTATTTCACCAAGTCCTTTTAGAAGTATTTGTTGTTTTCTCATCTTTCCACTAATTTCTTTTGGGTGTAGATGGTGTTTTCACATATTGGAAAATCATTGTTCATCAAGTTTGCCTCAAGATTCATAATGGCCTTGCCTGCTCAAGATTTATTTCACTAAGTCCTTTTTGAAGTATTTGCTGTTTTCCCATCTTAAAAGAGGTTCTTCAAGCTTGTCTATTCCAGTTGTTTCCATAAAGTTCTGTTGGCTGCAGCTGCAGTAAGAGTCAGAAAATAAATGGAGAAAATACATCACTGAAGTTTTTAAGGAAAATCCTCATTTAACTTTTTAAATAATTGTTATGTTGTCTCAACAGTACTATACGTGGTTTAACACGTTTTATATTATTAAGCAAAAATTCAATATTGATGTAAAGAGTTGGTTTACCTTAGCTTAAAACACCATAACAAAAGTCAGCTATTGCTGACTTTAAGAAATAAGACCAGCTAAAATTTTGGCCAGCTAGTTTATTAATAAAATGATCTTAGATTATGATAATGTCACATACCTGATAAATGTCATATCAGCATCCTTTGGCTATTCATCCTCCAGTTGTTTCTATCAGGTCCTTTTGGGTTCATCTACTGTTTTCACCATGTACTGTTGGGTGCATTTGCTGTTTCCACATCTTGGTAGATCAGCATGTACTGGCTATGCATCATCCAGCTGTTTCTATCCATGTCCAGTTGGGTACATCTGCTGTTACACATGTCTTGTTGAGAACATCTGCTGTTTCCACATCTTGGAAGATTAGCATTAATTGGCCCTGCCTCCTCCAGCTGTTTCCACCATATAATGTCCTTGTTTACAATCACAAGCTTTCTTGTCTCTGACCAGTAGAGCTAAACATAAGTCAGGCTAAAAATAAAAAGTCAGCTAGTAAATTTGACATGGTTAATTAAATGATCTTTAATATATAAATATTGCATGTAGTTGAGTGTATATTATACTGAATGTTTTATACAAATACATATGTATTTGTGAACCATGTTCACAAATACCACAGTTCACAGTGAACCGTGCACCCGGAAATTCTGTGCAGTCGCTATTTTTGGGAATAGCACTTGTTGTCAAGCAATGTTGACTGTTGCTATGCTTGAGGGCATGACTTCATTATTCAGCGGGTAATAGTGTTTTTTAACAAATGTTTCTCCACCAATCAGATTCAACTAATTTACATGAAAGTACTGTAAATCACTCTTTATTCGCGAGAACTTTATTTTCGCGTAATTACGCGAGACAGTGTGCTCGCGAAAATTGAATTTTTGCATATAATAGTATTCCTTAAGATGATATAAAGCAATAACCACAATTCGTGAAAATTTTGTCTCGCTAATCAACAGTCAATGACTATCTCGCGAAAATAAGGTGTCGCGAAAATTTAGTGATCTACAGTATAATATTCTTGATTATCTCATACACATGTACCTGATCAGTGTCATTATCTCCTTTGATATGTCTTGTTTGGAAGGTCAACATCATCAGGCAAGTCTCCTCCAGTTGTATCCACCATGTCCTGTTGGGCCCATCTTCTGTCTCCATCAAGTCCAGTGGAGTGCATCTGCTGTTTCCACAAAGTCCAGTGGAGTGCATCTTCTGTATCCACTAAGTCCTTTTGGATACATCTGCTGTTTCCACCAAGTCAAGTGGAGTGCATCTGCTGTTTCCACCAAGTCAAGTGGAGTGCATCTGCTGTTTCCATCAAGGACAATAGGGTGCATCTGCTAAAAATATCAACAGCTTTTTTTCACTGCATGCATTTTACACTAAAATACCCTAGTCAGTCCCTTTCAACTTCGATTTCATTTCCTTAATTTCTTGGATTTACATTTTTATTCTGATCCTAAATTTTTGGTCTTTGATTGATTATTATGAAGTTTGGCTGTACATTATTGATTTGAAATGGAATATTATAAAGCTATAATCTAACAATAATACTTCATTTCAGTTTTCTATATACAGCAAAACTCGTTTAGTACAAACACGGACATTGCCAATTCACGGTTATAGTGAAATTATCTTGGATCTCAGGGCTTAATAAATTTAACAAATTCCATATACTGATATGAATTGTGGATATAGTGAAGTAGTTTTATAGGTCCCTGTGACTTTGTTTAAACCAAGTTTTACTGTATTTTTCAATTATTATCAATTTAATATTTTCTATCTTACCTTATCGATGATGGTTTAGAATTTGGCTTATTTCTCTTCTTCTTTAGTGTATTGTCCGACTATAAAATACTAACAAAATTTTAAAATAGAGCTGAAATAATTAGATACAGTAAAACTCATTTGGTACAAACACAGATAAAATATTGTGAATTCTTAGATATTAAGTGAAATTATCTTGAATCCTTAGCTATATGAATTTTATGAAATCATTACACCAATATAACAAATTATGGATATAGCGAAGTAATGTCATAGGTCCCAGTGACTTCGTTATAACCGAGTTTTACTGTAATAAGGCCCTCAATAAGACAGATGTTTTACACAGTGTTTCCTCATTATCCAACATGTCTAATGATGATGCTTATGCACAACGCAACAATGAACATTACACATATTCTTAGGAATAATAAATGCAATAACAAATAAAAATCACAACAATAATAATTAACAAAAATTCATAACTATTATAACAAATAATTAAAAATCTCAACTAAAGCAAATAACTAAAACACATAACTATAACAAATAACTCATAACAACGAATTAAAACTCATAACAATAACAACTAACTAACACTTATAACAATAACAAATAATAAAAAATCACAACAACAGCAAATAACTTAAGCTCCTAACAACTAAAACTCATAACTGCCACATTTCAAATAAATGGAACTCATAACAGTGTCAACTAATACAAACATTAAAAACATAATGTAACAATTAACAAATAAAACATTAAAATTAACAACTTTTACAACCCTCTCAAACAAAAAACTATAATAACAACTCAATAAACAAATAGCAATTATAATAAAAACCTAATGTACAAAAAACAAATACTAACAAAGGAAACAAAATATAAACCAAAAAGTAAGAGCTAAAATAACAAAGAGACCTAACATCAAAGAAAACCAAAAAAAACCTCAACTCCAGCGTTGTTGGCATGCTGTTCCGATCCAATATGCCCAGCCTCCTCCAAGTCCTTCAACGATGAAAAGCCAGCAGCCTCCAAGTGCACGATCTCCAACGATGACATCCCGGCAAAGAGAGAACAGAGAAGATTAGACAAAAAAAAAAACAACAGAACAAAAAACAAAAAGAAAGAACTACTACAAAAAATGTGTTGAGAGTGGGGGAGGGGAGGGAAATGTTAGTACTAATTAGTAAGAGTGCACAAATGATAATGAAACCAACTCACCTCTGCTTTTCCTTAACAACTAAGCAATACCTCTGTTCCAGCGTTGTTGGCATGCTGTTCCGATCCAATACGTCCAGCCTCCTCCTTCAATGATGAAGAGCCAGCCGCCTCCTAGTGCACCAACTCCAACGATGACATCCCGGCAAAGAGAGAACAGAGAAGATTAGACAAAGAAAAAACAACAGAACAAAAAACAAAAAGAAAGAACTACTACAAAAAATGTGTTGAGAGTGGGGGAGGGGAGGGAAATGTTAGTACTAATTAGTAAGAGTGCACAAATGATAATGAAACCAACTCACCTCTGCTTTTCCTTAACGACTAAGCAATACCTCTGTTCCAGCGTTGTTGGCATGCTGTTCCGATCCAATATGTCCAGCCTCCTCCTTCAATGATGAAGAGCCAGCCGCCTCCTAGTGCACCAACTCCAACGATGACATCCCGGCAAAGAGAAAACAGAGAAGATTAGACAAAGAAAAAACAACAGAACAAAAAACAAAAAGAAAGAACTACTATAAAAAATGTGTTGAGAGTGGGGGAGGGGAGGGAAATGTTAGTACTAATTAGTAAGAGTGCACAAATGATAATGAAACCAACTCACCACTGCTTTTCCTTAATGACAAAGCAATACCTCTGTTCCAGCGTTGTTGGCATGCTGTTACGATCCAATATGTCCAGCCTCCTCCTTCAATGATGAAGAGCCAGCCGCCTCCTAGTGCACGATCTCCAACGATGACATCCCGGCAAAGAGAGAACAGAGAAGATTAGACAAAGAAAAAACAACAGAACAAAAAACAAAACGAAAGAACTACTATAAAAAATGTGTTGAGAGTGGGGGAGGGGAGGGAAATGTTGGTACTAATTAGTAAGAGTGCACAAATGATAATGAAACCAACTCACCTCTGCTTTTCCTTAACGACTAAGCAATACCTCTGTTCCAGCGTTGTTGGCATGCTGTTCCGATCCAATATGTCCAGCCTCCTCCTTCAATGATGAAGAGCCAGCCGCCTCCTAGTGCACGATCTCCAATGATGACATCCCGGCAAAGAGAGAACAGAGAAGATTAGACAAAGAAAAAACAACAGAACAAAAAACAAAAAGAAAGAACTACTACAAAAAATGTGTTGAGAGTGGGGGAGGAGAGGGAAATGTTAGTACTAATTAGTAAGAGTGCACAAATGATAATGAAACCAACTCACCTCTGCTTTTCCTTAACAACTAAGCAATACCTCTGTTCCAGCGTTGTTGGCATGCTGTTCCGATCCAATATGTCCAGCCTCCTCCTTCAATGATGAAGAGCCTGCCGCCTCCTAGTGCACCAACTCCAATGATGACATCCCGGCAAAGAGAGAACAGAGAAGATTAGACAAAGAAAAAACAACAGAACAAAAAACAAAAGGAAAGAACTACTACAAAAAATGTGTTGAGAGTGGGGGAGGGGAGGGAAATGTTAGTACTAATTAGTAAGAGTGCACAAATGATAATGAAACCAACTCACCTCTGCTTTTCCTTAACGACTAAGCAATACCTCTGTTCCAGCGTTGTTGGCATGCTGTTCCGATCCAATATGTCCAGCCTCCTCCTTCAATGATGAAGAGCCAGCCGCCTCCTAGTGCACGATCTCCAACGATGACATCCCGGCAAAGAGAGAACAGAGAAGATTAGACAAAGAAAAAACAACAGAACAAAAAACAAAAAGAAAGAACTACTACAAAAAATGTGTTGAGAGTGGGGGAGGAGAGGGAAATGTTAGTACTAATTAGTAAGAGTGCACAAATGATAATGAAACCAACTCACCTCTGCTTTTCCTTAACAACTAAGCAATACCTCTGTTCCAGCGTTGTTGGCATGCTGTTCCGATCCAATATGTCCAGCCTCCTCCTTCAATGATGAAGAGCCAGCCGCCTCCTAGTGCACCAACTCCAACGATGACATCCCGGCAAAGAGAGAACAGAGAAGATTAGACAAAGAAAAAACAACAGAACAAAAAACAAAAGGAAAGAACTACTACAAAAAATGTGTTGAGAGTGGGGGAGGGGAGGGAAATGTTAGTACTAATTAGTAAGAGTGCACAAATGATAATGAAACCAACTCACCTCTGCTTTTCCTTAACGACTAAGCAATACCTCTGTTCCAGCGTTGTTGGCATGCTGTTCCGATCCAATATGTCCAGCCTCCTCCTTCAATGATGAAGAGCCAGCCGCCTCCTAGTGCACCAACTCCAACGATGACATCCCCGCCAAAGAGAGAACAGAGAAGATTAGACAAAGAAAAAACAACAGAACAAAAAATGATAGAACTACTACAAAAAATGTGTTGAAAGTGGGGGATGGGAGGAAAATGTTAGTACTAATTAGTAAGAGTGCACAAATGATAATGAAACCAACTCACCTCTGCTTTTCCTTAACGACTTAGCAATACCTCTACTCCAGCGTTGTTGGCATGCTGTTCCAATATGCCCAGCCTCCTCCAAGTCCTTCAACGATGAAAAGCCAGCCGCCTCCAAGTGCACGATCTCCAACGATGACATCCCGGCAAAGAGAGAACAGAGAAGATTAGACAAAGAAAAAACAACAGAACAAAAAACAAAAGGAAAGAACTACTACAAAAAATGTGTTGAGAGTGGGGGAGAGGAGGGAAATGTTAGTACTAATTAGTAAGAGTGCACAAATGATAATGAAACCAACTCACCTCTGCTTTTCCTTAACAACTAAGCAATACCTCTGTTCCAGCGTTGTTGGCATGCTGTTCCGATCCAATATGTCCAGCCTCCTCCTTCAATGATGAAGAGCCAGCCGCCTCCTAGTGCACCAACTCCAATGATGACATCCCGGCAAAGAGAGAACAGAGAAGATTAGACAAAGAAAAAACAACAGAACAAAAAACAAAAGGAAAGAACTACTACAAAAAATGTGTTGAGAGTGGGGGAGGGGAGGGAAATGTTAGTACTAATTAGTAAGAGTGCACAAATGATAATGAAACCAACTCACCTCTGCTTTTCCTTAACGACTAAGCAATACCTCTGTTCCAGCGTTGTTGGCATGCTGTTCCGATCCAATATGCCCAGCCTCCTCCTTCAATGATGAAGAGCCAGCCGCCTCCTAGTGCACCAACTCCAACGATGACATCCCCGCAAAGAGAGAACAGAGAAGATTAGACAAAGAAAAAACAACAGAACAAAAAATGATAGAACTACTACAAAAAATGTGTTGAGAGTGGGGGAGGGGAGGGAAATGTTAGTACTAATTAGTAAGAGTGCACAAATGATAATGAAACCAACTCACCTCTGCTTTTCCTTAACAACTAAGCAATACCTCTGTTCCAGCGTTGTTGGCATGCTGTTCCGATCCAATATGTCCAGCCTCCTCCTTCAATGATGAAGAGCCAGCCGCCTCCTAGTGCACCAACTCCAACGATGACATCCCCGCCAAAGAGAGAACAGAGAAGATTAGACAAAGAAAAAACAACAGAACAAAAAATGATAGAACTACTACAAAAAATGTGTTGAAAGTGGGGGATGGGAGGAAAATGTTAGTACTAATTAGTAAGAGTGCACAAATGATAATGAAACCAACTCACCTCTGCTTTTCCTTAACAACTTAGCAATACCTCTACTCCAGCGTTGTTGGCATGCTGTTCCAATATGCCCAGCCTCCTCCAAGTCCTTCAACGATGAAAAGCCAGCCGCCTCCAAGTGCACGATCTCCAACGATGACATCCCGGCAAAGAGAGAACAGAGAAGATTAGACAAAGAAAAAACAACAGAATAGAAAACAAAAGGAAAAAACTACTACAAAATATGTGTTGAGAGTGAGGAATGGGAGGAAAATGTTAGTACTAATTAGTAAGAGTGCACAAATGATAATGAAACCAACTCACCTCTGCTTTTCCTTAACGACTTAGCAATACCTCCAGTCCTGCGCTGTTGGCATGCTGTTCCAATCCAATAAGCCCAGCAACCTCTAAGTCCTTGTAACACCATCTCCAACGATGAAGTCTCTGCAAAGAGAGAACAAAGAAATCCATTCGAGCGTTGTTGGCAAAGTCTGAGTTCATGTCATTATGTCTAATATTAAAGACTCTATCCCTAGAAAGTAAACTTGTTAGACTGAAGGCTATTGAAATTAATAAAGGGCATTTTGGTGTTGTTATTCATATCTTTGTCAGCATCAAAATAAGGTACATGTATCTGGTCTGACAAAATATTGACTGGTCCAATAGAACGATCAACTTTATTGAATCAAACGTCTGACAGTGATTAAAAAATTTCGACAAGTCTGCATGCTCATCATAGGGTTCATAGTTAC